TCGCACATTGGAAAGGGCTGGCAGATCCCTGGTAAGCAAATGCACGGGGTACGACTGGACCCGCTCTCCATGCGGGGGTCGTGCCAAAAATTTTTATGTCCCACCCGCCCACCCGTTACGCTGATTCTTCGCGCCCGCGAGCGGCCACTCGCGGTGACAGAAGAACGAACAGGGAGGGGGCGTAGAGGCATCCCAGCGGGCTGTCTCTACTGTGAGGGACCTGGAAGCCCTCGCTCTCTCTCCCCATCACGCCAATACTCATGCCCCTTCTGGTGGAAAAAAAATCAGAAGATGTCCGTCGTGATAGGGGGTAGCACAACATCAAACTTACGGCATGTTGATGTTGGGTAGTGCAGGTATAAGTACAACTGCACCACTGGCCTGCCTGCGTCTAAGCAAAAGGAAAATCTAAAGCTCGGTGCTGATCAGACACCAAAATGTAGATCAAAACAAGCCAAAGTGACTACTCCAGTACTGCTCGCGCTCAGTGTGAATAGTATTCGGATCTTTAGGTCACAACACCGACATTCCTAGGTCGTTGTCATGATCACCAGAATGAGATCAAATTTCTTCGATATAAAAGATGGCTCAGCGGAAATGAGAGGATCAAGAAAGAGTGAGGTAACAAATTAATTCCTTAAGTTACCGGGTAACTTAGTATCCGGCCGGCCGCCGGACGCTAAGTTACCCGATTCCAGCCGCCAGCCCGTTCCAGCGGATCGGACCGCTCCCGGGATCCCGGAGGCTGGCGGCTGGAACCGGGTAACTTAGTGTCCGGCGGCCGGCCGGATGCTAAGTTACCCGGTAACTTAAGGAATGAATTTGTTACCTCACTCAAATAACTCAATGAAGGAATGCAATCGAAAACGCACTAGAACATGTTGCGATCCATTGATTGATGCATGTCTTATCTTCAAACTTCTTTTCAGTGAAAGTCAAAGGAATCAGCGCACAATCAGTGTGACTTACAATTAGCAGTGCCGTTTTATCAACATCATTGCTTGCGATTTGCATTTGTAGAGCTAGAGGTGTATTTACGCTGGCACGCACACGCTACAAGATCGAAGCTGAACTTCGGGCCGATTTTTTACAACATGAAGTAGAGTTTGTTGAAAGTAATATAGTAAATCGTTTATTTTTCTTTGCAACCGCTATCCTATTCGAACGAAACTACAAGCAGCAAAATGGCGTTTTTTGGTCTGAAGGTGAAGCCGGGAAAGCCGGTCGCAGTCGAGGATCCGTTGTCCCCTATGTTGTTTTTGTCTCGCGTCACGGTGCCCGCTGACATGCAGAAGGGGCAGAAAGCGACGCTGAAAATCATCTCAGCGCAGGACAAACAAAAGTATAATTTGAATCGTAGATACACGTTACAAGATCGAAAGTTCTTCAACACGCAGAAGTGTCTGCATTTTTACCGCGGCTGATGAATAAATGGCGAAATAAATGTAAATAGTTCTTGTCTGCTACAGCTTTCATCTGCCTGAAAGTGAAAAACCAAGCCACGAAGTTCTAATTCTAGTTCTACAGATTTTCGAAAAAAATAACAGCCCGTCTGGATTTGCCGTTGCGGTGTTGAAGCCAGGTTTCGAATCGGCCGCTGTCAACCTCTATGTTGATCTATGCATTGCAAAAGTATCGTACTAGTAGTAATTGCAACACAAATTTGCTCAGCATGACAAATGGAATTTGTCATGCTGATTTGCGTTGGGAACGAGATTTGTAATGCATGACTGCAATTACTACGAGTACGATACTTTTGCACAGGATATGATCCGATGGAAACCAAATTCGTAGCTGACGGGCCGGTTGCCCTGGATTTGACCGGATACTACGCACCGGATCAAGGGGATGACGATGACGATATGGATTGTAAAAATGTCTGGGTCTGGGAGATTGCGAGACTTGTCATGCTAATCTGGCATGACTCTGGCATCTGTATTGCGTGGCAGCCAAGAGCTCCTCTAGCCTGTCAAGTAAACACGCAGTTTCTCATGCGGAATACGCAACACAGAAGCATGAAAAAACTTGTCATGCTTGGCGGCGCATATACAGTGTCCGTATTATTCAGTGACCTGCATCACAACTTTCCAGACCCAGACATTTTTGCATTTGATAGACGAGTCGATGGAGTCGATGGATCTGGATGAGGAAAAGGCAACGCAAGGCGAGGAATCTTCCGACAAGGACAAGGTACTACACACAAGCTGATTTCGATTTTGAATAAAAGTAAATCTTAAAACTGAATTTCACCTAAATCCGAAGTATGTAGGGATAACGATAGCATAGCTGTCGTGCTGACCTCTACTCGAATAGTAATATGACACGACGCTGCTAACAGCAACAGACCACGTCCTTGCTCGCATGAAATGATAGATAAGTTTAAGTAGTACATCACGGCCAACAACATCTTCACTACAGAAGCGCGCGGAGGACAAGAAGTTTTGCCGCGACGTGGAGAAGCGGTCGCACTTGGTGCCACCATATCAACTGTAAAAATGTCTGGGTCTGGAAGAATCCAACTTGTCATGCTGATTTTGGATTCTAAACAAATCTGTATTGCATGAGCAGCAAAGAGAGTCCAAGTTTTGCTACACGGAAAGAGCATTTGTCATGCGGTATAGGCATCAGCAAGCCCTCACAAAATCTGTGACGCTAGGGCATGCATCACAGACGTCAGGAGTCATGCAAAATGTGCATGACAAACCTGGCAATCTTCCAGACCCAGACATTTTTACATTTGATACACCAACGATGGACGACGAGGAGGAGGAGGAAGAAGAGGAGTACGAGTCTGACAGCGAATTGGAAAAAACGGTAGCTATGCTGAATGACCGCGCCGCTGTCAGTGCTGGTGCTGCAAAGAAGGATCAGCAGCCCGCGTCCGAGTCGGCTGACAAAAAAAATGTAACCTCAACTACTCCTGTGGAGAAGAAAAGCGAGCAAGTGTCTCCTGCCGCCGCAAAGCCGAAAATTGAAGCCGTGGAACTGCAGAACGACGTTCCCTCCGCCGCTCCTGCGACGGAGGAACAGAAGAAAACCGAAGACAAAAAGAACGCAGGCGCAAAGCCAACCACGACCAGTGCCGACAAGAACGAGAAGGAGGTAGCAAAACCGGCTGCCAAGGAAACCGTCGAGTCGGACCTCGAAGACATGAGCAGTACTATACTTGGTTCCGGGCGACTTCGATAGACTTTAGAGCGCTTAGTTATAGATGCACTATAGTTGAACTTTAGATAAACTATAGACTTTTTGTGTTCGGCCGTGAATTCTTTGTGGCCCTCCCGTTGGCGCCTGCCTTGTTGGCTGCCCATACTCACGAAAAAGCTCGCATTGCTCGAATTTACGGGCAAAAGCCCGGACTGTCAGACCAAAAGCCCGGACGGCCAGGCACTCACTTCCGAGATCTTCTGCGGCCTCGCACCTGCCTCGCCGCCTCTCCATCCTGCTGGTTGGCCCAGCTTTCCGCGCTGAATTCGCCAAGCAAAGGCATATTTTGGCGCAAGGTTTCCCGCGCGCCCGCAGTTTGGCGGATTTCTTCAACCATGTGGCGCAAGAACAGCCGGACCATTGTCGCAGCGCCGGCTGGCCTCCCCCCTCTGTCTTGATCCATATGCAGAAAAAAAGAGGCGCCGGAGTGAAAAAGTGCGCAAAGTCAAACACTTTTAAAGCAAAAGTCATGGACTTGGCACACTTTTTCGGCCCTGCGCCTGTTTTCTGCAGAGTTCGTGGCGCCATGATCTTTGCGTGGGTGGCGCATTGCCTGCGTCGCGCGGCGGAAAAAGGTAGGCGGCCGGATGATGTCTGTACATATGTCGATCGTGTTCAGAAAAGCTCTCTGCCATTTGTGCAGGATTCGTTTCAGAAATTCCTGCCTGAGCAGGCAGCTCTTTCTATTAAAAAGCAGCTTTTTTCCAATAGAAAAAGCTGCCGCAGGCAGCTTTCACGGAGGCAACTTTTTCTATGTGTTGGAAAAAAGCTGCCTGAGGCGGCTTTTTGGCTCAATTTGGAAAAAGCTGCCCAGGCAGCTTTTGTTTTTTATCTGAAAAAAGCTGACTGAGGCAGCTTTTGTTATTTGACAAAAGCTGTCTGAGGGAGCTTTGTTATTTGTGCCAAGGAAACCGTCGAGTCGGACCTCGAAGACATGAGCAGTATACCTTTTTGCGTTTTGAGTAGTAGTTAAGGGTTGAAAAAGTTAAGGTTTGCGTCAGGGTTCTTTTGGTTCGTGGTTTCATAGATGTCGCAGCCCCCGCCATTGTTCCTGTTCGCACAGATTTTGTGCGAGGTCATCGCCCATCCAGATTTTGTGCGAGGTGTCGCCTCAATTCTGACGAGCGCGCGCTGGCTGATTTGTGGGTCAGCATTTCCCTCGAGATCTAGGCTGGCATCTACGCCAGGCGAGCCGCCTCGCCCCGCGCGTTACTTGGTACACGGGGCAGGCTGCCCGGCTTTTATGCCTCCGGATCTCGTTCCGCAATCTTGCGGGACGACGTTCGGAGGCAGAGGTAGAACACCTTCCTGGCCAACCACAGAGATTTTTGTCTCTGTGGTGGCTGCCGCCAAGGCGGCAAGGTTTTGCTCAGGGTTTTGCTTCGAAAAGGCTCACCGCAATCGAAGCAAAAACTTATTTTTTTCGGGAGCTTCCCCCGAGCTAATAAAATAAGTTTTTGCTTTCGCTTTGCTCTCCTTTTTGTGAACGAAAGCGCGGAGTTGTTCTGGGCCGGTAGGTTCGCCCATATCGTGTCCAGGCAACCTGCCTGGCCTTGCAAGCTACTTGGAACAAATGGCAGGGCGCCCGGCTTTTCTGCCTCCGGATCTCGTTCCGCAATCTTGCGGGACGACGTTCGGAGGCAGAGGCAGAGCACCTTCCTGGCCAACCAAAGAGACGCCTGTTGATGCTGAGGCGTCCGCCGCCGACCTCATCTGCAAACCAAAGCCCGATTTTATTAGGTGGCGTTTCGGAGAAAAAATAATTAAGGTTGTGGTTTGAAGATGAGGTCGGCAACCCGGTTTGCCCGGGGCTTCCTCCGAGCTAGTAAGGTATGCCAAAGAAGCCGTCGAGTCGGACCTCGAAGACATGAGCAGTATACCTTTTTGCGTTTTGATTAGGGGAGAAAAATCCATTGCTATCATCAAAATCCTGACCAGAACACGCGAAAAAAAAAGGCTGTTTTTTGGGGCTTTAAACTTTTTCTTTTTTTAGGCAGTCGACGTCTTCGCGCAACCACTCCGAATAAACGTCTGGGCCCGCCTGGGCAGCCATGGTTTGTCGCTGCTTCGGTTGTCGGGTCTTCTTGGAGTCTTGCCCCACATGTGCCGGCCGTTCAAGGCGAGGGAGCCCCGGCTGTGAGCGCGCAGCCCTTAGCAAGGCTTCAGGATTTCTGCTCCTCGCCACTGTCGATGGCGCTTGCGGGTTCCCAAGGCGAGAGCTTTCGAAAGAACAAGACAGCGCCATTAGATTTCGTCCTGCCCGGCCCCGAAGGGGGGTGGCTAGGGGGGTCGGTTTTGCGGGTACGTCAAATCGCCGGATTCTATAGGGGAGAAGGGGGTCACTTTTGGGGGTCGTTTTTGGGGGTGGCTTCTGGGGCTCTTGTTATTGTTGGCAAGTGCGGCCTCGTAGGTCTGACTCTTCCCGCCAGACCGATCGGGCCACAACAGGACTGGACTTGATGCGCCCGCCGGGCTGCGTCGGTCCTAGAACCGGGGCGATGGCCTGACCGCCTTCGGCACCTGGGAAACACGGGGGGCGAGCACCCGGCGGCGCCGCTCACTCCTTCTACCCAATGGCTTCCTGCTGAAGTTTTCATTTATGTGAAACGCAAAAGCCGCAAGCTAAATTTGCCGGGGCTGCGGCGCTCGCAAGCGGTCTGCCAAATAGGGCGAGACCCCCCAAAAAACAGCCAATAGGCTGCCAAGGAAACCGTCGAGTCGGGCCTCGAAGACATTATGGATTGCAAATATGTCTGCGTCTGGAAGAAGACAAACTTGTGATGCGCATTTCAGAACACAGAAGAATCTCTCATGCATAGGTAGCAAACGCTGCCCAATTTCTGTCACCAGAGTGGGCGATTTGTCATGCGGATTCGGCATTGCGAAAGCTTCTCGAAACCTGTTATGATAGAGCTTCCATGCCACACCTTCTCTGTCATGCAAAACCAGCATGACTCTTCCAGACCCAGACATTTTTACATCTGATAGACATGACGAGCAGTATACCTTTTTGCGTCTCGAGCAGTAGCCTTGCCGCCATTTCACGATCCATATCCCCTGGCTTATGCTTTACCAATGAATTGATATCTTCTTCTTCATCAATCTATGATAACGAAAATAAAGAGGGGCTGCGGCAACTTCTTGGACTACTTCTATACATAGCATGGTGCGACGAGGACAACCACAACTTCCGTGTTGAGTATGAAAATCAAATGAATAACTAAAATATCGAAAAACGCAGCTGACGAAGAGGAAGAGTTATACGAAGAGGAGGATTTCGACCCCGACGAGGAAATCATCGCCCTTGTGCGGGAGGCGAAAAGCCGCGGCCTGCAGATCAATCCAGCCTTGCTGGCGAACTACGAGGAGGCCCTTCGTCGCACCGGAGAAGAGGACATGGAATTGGCGCCCCCGACCAAGAAGCAGAAGCCGGCTGCAGAACAGGGGGCCAAAACGGTGGCACCCCCTCAAGGGAATAAAAGCAACCAGAACAAGCAGACCAACGTCAAAGTGAACAAGAAATAAACAAGCCTGGCAAGACTAAGACACGGATCGCTGGCGCACCAGTATTGCCGCCCATCTGCAGCACGATTATAAAATCATGGCGCTTCACCTTTATCTGATCGGCATAAACAATTTTTTGTGTTGATGAAATACAACGAAGGAACTAAGTGTAAATGTTGATCGAAGCTAGGAAACGAGGAATGTTGCCATGGCAATGAAGGCCAGGCGCCATCTTCACTACATGTTAACGCGGCAATGAATCATGATGAACTTGAACTTTCTGGTGCCCTGCATTTTCATTTTTATTCAAACACGCGCTGCACGAACACATAGCACCCTCCTCATACATATGTACTTTAGTAGTATTTTTTACTCTCAGCAGCAACATCATATCCAGGATGATCGAGAGTAGTACGCTCCACACGTATTTTCGCTTCAGTCTAGACAGGCCCGGTACCGTACTACACGACGACGCAACAAAAAAAGATCGAAAAGGACGACAAATCAAAATCTGACCTTCATGCAAGCAAGCTATTCCGACTCCATCCATCTCCAACAACCTCATGATCTGCAGCAGCAGGCGTGGTCATGATGATCTTTTATTTCATTTGTCTCTCTCCATTGCAGCAAAGAATTTTCTAATTCCCCGCTCCGTCCTGATCGGTGCCGTGAAGGAGCAGGTCGGTGTCGGTCTCGGTGTGATGCTGTTGCATGCAATTAATGTAAGTTTTGTCCTCATACATCGTTGTGAAAATCGTTCACTCGTCCCGTCACAAGCTTGGTTTCAATTGCACAAAAAAATTCCAAAGGAATCGCTTAGCATTTTTCGTCCAAAGGAATCGATTAGCATTTTTCGCTGGAGAAGACTCCACTTCCTGCCGTTTATCTTCGTGCAAAGAAAAACATCTCCACAATGTGAATGTGTCATTCGGTCGTTCAAATATTCTACCTACCTAGTATGGCTTCGGTTTTGATGTGGTCTCAGTACGTATGGTTGAGTACCCTGTCGGTGGCCATCATCGGAAAATTGCTTTTTTTCGAATTATTTGTATGCGCAAAGTTGTGGTCTGCCGAACGGACAAAAAGCCAGATTTTTTGTTGTTTTTGGTCATTTTTCGTTTTTTTTTTCCGACTTGGTTACGCTAAATACCTACAATCATGAACGAGTTGTTCACTTCTTTTCCTTCTTTTCCTCAAGCTCAGGGAGACCTTTCGCACCCAGCCCCACTCCCCCATAGAAACTAGCATATCCTGCTGCCTGTAGATGTACACGTTGCCCTGGCCCTACCCATACTGTTGATCAGCGCTAAATATTTCAGATGCGGGCTTGCACTATATCCTAGTCTGGCATTGCATCGAGCTGAAAAGTAGAGTTGTTAGACAACGACTATAATCAGTTTTTCTAATTCGTTTGTGTGCTGCTCCTTCAGCTTCATCTACATTTATTAGTCTCTTACATTTTAGTTTTACCTTTGACTTGCACGTCGTCACCTCGACCTCCAGCAATTGCAAGTTATTATTTCTCTTCAAATTTAGCAGCCTGCTGCAACTGGCTACTTTCAGACGTGCTTTCGTGCTTCGACAGTGATCGTCCTTCCACGACGCCTTACTTGGTCGTTGCACGAGCTCTAGAACGGCCTGCGGCTGCGGCAAGAACATCAGCATGTTTCCTTCCAAATCCAGAAATTCTGCCTCGGCTTCTAGCTCTTCGAGTAGCAGCAACAGGTATCCAACACTGCTGAGCAGCGCGGGTGAACGAGTCCTGCTAGCCGGTCCATCTGCTACATCAACCACTAAGCTGGATCCACAGGAGCATCGCGGCGGCTGCTCCAGAACAGCAAATGACGTCAACAAGGTGGCGCGAATCCCATCCTGCAGCTGCTGCTGTAGCTGCGATTCGTCTTTGCCGTTGGATCAGTTACAACACCTCCTGCTAACAGAGGAAATGTTTTTGGAGCGCGGCAGCACTTCTCCGGAGCAGCATTCTCGCAGCTGCTGTGCGGACCATGATGCAACTCCAACGTGTCTATTTGCTCCGCTCACCCTGGATCGGATAAAGACCCCGCCGGAGATCCTGGCGCTTCAGATGGAGAACCAGCACAATAACGCGGCACCCGACGGGTTCTCCTCGACGCCGTCGTCGTCATTGTCCTCATCGAGTGCTCATTTCGAGCAAGCAAAGCGGGTCGACGTGTTTTCGCTGTTGCCGAACCACTTCCAGCATGCGCAGAGAAACCGGCAACGGCGACTGACGGACACGAACTATTTCCAGGAGTCGGCTCGGTTCGTCCCGGGGCGGAAGAAGACCAATCGCAACGCGTTTGAGCCCGCCATAATCGCGCCCAAGTCGCCCAAGGAACGCTCCGGTGCCCGCTCCGTGCGGGAGCACCACGAGCTTGCGCTCGATTTTGCGGGCAAAAAAACGAAACCGAAACTCTACCTGCCACCGGAGGAAAAGGAGGAGCTGGATAACAGTGTGCTTTCCCCGCGCGGAACCACGGCCCGGTTGCAGCAGAAGATGAGCAAGCAAGAAACATCACTGCAAACGACGAGGACCGTGTTAGAAACCACCGCGAATATCGACCTCGGGACGTCGACGGCGAGCGCCGCCGCGCTGACCGACACCATGCGCCGCACGAACACCACGGCTACCGACTTATCCACCAAGGAGCTTCGCAGCATCATGGACGAACTGATCATGCCCACGGAACGGCAGAAGTCGACCGCCCAACTGGAAATCGACAGCGACGAGGACCAGCTGTACACTTCGGACGAGGAGTTTAACAGCTTGAAACCCAAACAGAAGGAAAATAAACCCGGGGCCGGCCCGACTTCTCGCAACAAGAAAATACTAAACGCGAAGAGCGGCAAGCGTCCCCGGTCCTCGTCGCCACCGGTGAGCACCACTTCCAGGACCTCGTCCCCGCCCGGCCTCCAGCAGGCCGGCCAGGTTTCCGTGCAGGCCGGCGGCATTACCTTCATCCAGCGGTCCGAAAACGAGCAATTCGACGACTTCGCAGCAGAAGTTGACGAGGACGACTACGACTCGGACCTGTACAGCGAGAGCCAAGACGGGTTGTCCAGTTTGAACGCGTTTTCGCCGGAGGAACGCATCAAGTTCCTGCAGACCAGCACCGACGAGGAGCTGTTGGAGAAGGGTGTTTTCCGGTTGCGCAAGGTCACCGTGGTCTCCGACCGCGCCACCGAGTTGCGCAGCAGAGAAGCTGTCGAAGAGGAGGGCCGGGACCGGGCGCGGAAGGGGCGGACCAAACTGATGTCGATCGCGGAAAACGATACGGAGCACGATTTACTGGTTCAGAAAAAGTACAGTGAGCCCGCGCGGGGGCACAGCCGGTCCGTGTTCGACACGTACATATGCATTGCAAAAGTAACGTACTAGTATAAATTGCATTACAAATTTCCTCAGCATGAGAAATAAAATCTGTAATGCAGATTTACCTTACCAAAGAGGATTTGTAATGCATGACTGCTATACGAGTACGATACTTTTGCACAGGATAGTACATGGACGACAGCGACGAGTCGTCCGAGGACGAGTCCGCGAGCAAACCCAAGGTGAGCAAGTTCGACGGGCGGTCCTCGCAGGAGAAGCAGCGCACGCGCGTGGAGGAGATGGCGCGGCGCGCCGAGGCGGGCGCGGGCCGCCACGGGCCGTTCCAGCTGACCAACGACGTGAGCCCGTTATCTCGGTTTGGCAACCTCGCCGTGCCGGGGGACTTTTTGATTCTGGAGGACGTGCCCGGGATCGCGAAGCTCTGGTTCTCCACGCCGGACACGCGGTCCGTGGGCAACACGGACCCGAAGCTGAGCCAGTTCCGGTCGCCCTCCACCATCGTGACCAACGCCGCTTTGTTCCCGCTCAAGGACCGGCAGTTTAACCGGCCCCCGCCCGGCGCCCGCGAAGACCTGGACGTGGAGGCCACCGAGTACACATTAGGGCTCGACGGCGACGACGAGGTGATTCTGGTGGACGTGCCGGACCCGGACACGATGAACTTGGTGGTGCCCCGCGCGGTCCGGGATCCGCACGAGTTCTCGCTGGAGGTGAACAGCAACCAGGCGCCGCGGAAGCAGATTCTGCTGGCCCGCATGGTGGAGGACCGGCGGCGGCTGGAGACGTCGCTGAAGCAGACCATCGTCATGCGCAAGGGCCAGGTGGACGCGATCTCCAAGCTGTTCGCCCGCGACGGGCAGAAGGCCACCCGCGCCTGCGGGCCCTTCTGCTTCCCGCGGTACTCGGAGTACAAGCCGGCGCACGGCATGGGGCTGCCGGTGGTCGAGATGATGCCCGTGTTCGAGGACCGCCGGAACCGGTTCTACCACGTGCGCCGCGTGCTGCGGCCGGCCCGGATCAACATGATCCGGAGCGCGCAGCAGAAGGAGATCGACCGCGTGCTGCTGGAGCAGAAGAAGGCCGCGGACCTCGCCAAGAAGGGCGGGGGGCTTTTCGGCATGAAGAAGAACTTGCTCCGCGACATGCTCAAAAAGGACGGCGGTCTGATGGACCAGGTCCGGTCTAGTATCCTGGTCGTGGACCACAAGTCGGTGCACCACAAACCCCCCTACCACCTATGAGAGTGCACAACTCCCCCTCCCCCTCATTTGTATGGCATGAACAGCAACACAAGCAACAGCAGAAAAGCAGCCTTCGCATGACAAATCTGCAACTGCATGCGGATTGTAGTACTGTTTGAAGTTCCAAACTTTGTCATGCTAGCAGTGCTTACGAGCAAGGTGTGCGCTTGGTATTTTGCATGACAAATGAGGGGGAGGGGGAGTTGTGCACTTTCATACCACCTGCTCTACTCCCTGAAGCAGCACGCGGAGTCGTGGAAGAAGTTCGGGCTGGACTGGTGCTACGGGATTCTCTATCAAATGCAAAAATGTCTGGGTCTGGAACGAAGCAACTTGTCATGCTAAATCTGAATCATGTAAAAATCTGTGTTGCGTGATTACCAAAAGCTGTGTCCACTTTTGACCTAATGGAGAGGCAGTTTCTCATGCAGGATAGGCATGATAGAACTCTCACAGAATCTGTCATGCTATGTCCTACATACCAGACCTCATGGGTCATGAAAAACCTGCATGACAAGTCTGGCATTCTTCCAGACCCAGACATTTTTGCAGTTGATATTCTCAACGACCTCACCAGCGACGCGGCTCTCGGTAACTTTCTGTGGGAGGTTAATTGGATGGGCATGGACCAATCCGCTCGTATGTTCAAGGCCAGCGTCGGAGCAGAAGCCAAGCGGCTATCGGAGAACAAAGAACTTTTGCTCAGTACCAACTATAGCTATTTACTTGTGTTTTTCATCTTTTTACGACCCATCTTTATTTGTGTTGGCACCATCTACATCATCTACATCTACTTGTGAACAACAGCAAATCAGCAACAGTTTTGATGAATTGATCTTTATCACAGATATGTTTACGACGGTTCCCGACGGTGTGATTCGCGAGATGATTAAGAAGAAACGCGAGATGTTGTATTAAATGTAAAAATGTCTGGGTCTGGAAGATTCTAAACTTGTAATGCTGTCTTTGGATTCTAAAAAAATTTGTATTGCATGACCAGCAAAAGGACTCCAGTCTGTGCTACGTGGAGAGGGCATTTCTCATGCGGTAGAGGCATCACAAAGTCCTCTAAAAATCTGTGATGCTAGGGCATGCATCACAGACATCCACATCATGGGTCATTCAAAATATGCATGACAAGCCTGGCAATCTTCCAGACCCAGACATTTTTACACTTGATATGTTGGGGAAAGAGACCAACGTCGAGAACGAGCTGCTCCAGGCGGACGTGGAGCGGATCCGGAAAGAGATGTTGCAAAAGCAGGGTGTGGACCCACGGAAGGCCACGGAGTCGAAGATTATGGAGAACCACCGGCACCACGAGACGGAACTGCGCGACATGCCGCTGCGGCACGTGCCCCAGTACATCTGTGCGGTCCGCGACATTTCGCAGGCCTGCGAGATCCGGCAGGCGTACCCGCCTTCGCACCCCCGCTACGCGAACATCAGCCGCCTCTACTGCGTGGGGTGCCGAAAAATCATCCTCCGGCTCGGGGAGCGCACGACCTTCTTCTACTGCCACAAGTGCATGGAGCGCGGGAGCCAGCCGTACTGCCTGTGCAGTAACTGCAACGACCAGTTCCGCATGAGTCTCATGGCCTACAAGCTCTTGGAGGACACCGCCGAGGCCGAGAAGGAGCGCATGGCCGCGGACCTGCTGGCGAGCATGGAGCAAGACGACGAAGATTCGAACGCCAAGAAGGCCACTGCTGCACTCTTTGGGAGTTAGCGACCTGTCTAGCAAAATAAATATAAATCAGCACAGTTCTACTTCGGAATAAGAATCACGTTCATCGGACCGTGACGACCAAACAGACTAAGTATCAAAAGCCAGAAATCAGTCACTGACGAAGACAGGTGCACAACTAGAAGAACGTGCTGAGGGGCCCAGATGTTGACCGTTGCTAAAGCACTGTTCGCATTTTTCTTCGGCTCGTCTCTCCGTCAGTCTCGTCCTTCCGACCGCTATACAAAAATGCTGCCGTTAGTCATTTTGATTTTTCCACAAAGAAAAATGTAGTCGGGCACGGGTAGGGTTTCTTGGCGCCGTCCCACTACCTCCGAAAGAGGTGCTTTTGAATATGCACTTTCATGAAGTCAGCGACGTGCTCGACTTCTCTTTTCTATCTTTGTTTGTGATGTTCGTGTTGTTGTTGATCTCTTCTTTTATTTATGCGCCTCGCTAGAGACGCTCGCCAGGCACGATGAACTCATTACAGGCGATCACATAATCACGATCAAAACAGCTCGGTATTATTTGAAAACAGGTGTGAACGATCCTCCTCCTCCCTATTTGAAACCGTAACATTCCTCGATCACGCCACAGCGTAGTTGCCGCAGCCCGTCTTTTTTTTGTGGTCGTGCAGAAGAGATTCTTCAAATCTCGTTTCCGGGTCGCAGTCGGCTTTGATTTGCATGCTCGTGGTCGTTTTCCTTTTCTCTGCGTACTTAATTTAATCCTCGTGCAGAAACCCGTCATGTAACCAAACACAATAATAATCAACAAACGAAAGAGCAGGGGCAGGGCACCAGTGTAGTTGCTATTATTTGTGTCTAGACTGTGTCGGAATTCTTAGGCGATACTGCCGAACAAGAGAATTCTGATTCAGTCGGTTTTGTTCTGAAGGAAATTGTTACAGAAGCTACACAAACACCAACACAACGAAAAGCGTAATGGGTCAAAACAAGAGTGACAGAACATCACCATCGACCACATCGTGACCACGACTACATTCATTGGGTGCTATCCTGCTCACGAGCCAAATTCAGCATCCGTTTGCTCTTTTCTTGCTGGAATTCTTGTGGAATCAATGCGAGCATCCACGACATCTACTGTCGGTTCCGAGCAGGACTTGAGGGTGAGGGCGGAAGATGGTTTGTCTTCACAAATTGTGCAGGACCACGCTACTTTAAAGTTTCCCGCAAGCTCGCCCGATTTATTTTTTACGGACGATTCGAGTGTCGAGGAACTTTTTGGTGGCAATAAAGGTAGTTTTCGTTTTCATTGGGAGCATCAAGAGGAAGAGGAAGAAGAAAAAGATCGTTGCTGCGCGGAAGCGGACTACGACCAGGACAGTGCTGAACTTGAGTCCTGGCCTAGCCTTTGTTCTGAGCTTCCGCCCTGTGTGTCCGCGGAACAAGAAGACCTTGACGACCAGAATGCAGCAGGCGAGGTGGACCAACCTTTGTGCCCCTCCACCACGACGACCCAGGAGAAGCACGTGCCTTTTGTGTTTGATACCCCGGGGACTTCTCGCCAACAAGGAAAAATGAGCAATTCCAACCCTACGCTGCTGAAGAGCGCTTTCGGGTTCTGCGGATTTGCGAATCGAAATAAGACAGGGCAAACGCGAGGCACCCCAGTGCATCAAGAGATGAAAGCAGCACACGACCAGCATGGGCGACAAGAAGGACAAGAAGGTCTTCCCCCAGCGCAAGAAAAGGTCGGACCTTCGCCAGGAGGTTGTACTGTTGACCAAAGAGCCCAGCAGCCGGAGCTCAGCAAACCGAAAGCCAGTCAGTATTCGCACCTCCGGCAGATTGGCAACGGAGCCTATGCGACCGTGTGGCTGGCAGTGAAAAAGACACGACCAGAGACGCACAGCACTCAGGCCGCTTCCGACCCGTGCTACGTTGCCGTGAAGGAGATTTCTCGCGTAGATGCTGAAATGACCGAACGCACGGTGCTGAACACCTGGAACGAGCGCAACATCCTGAAGAAACTAACGGAGGAGCAGGTCGGACAAAACAACGCTGGCTCGGGCTCGTCTGCCCTATCGAAATGAAGAGTTCTATCGCCACATTTTTCAGGTTCACGCGCGGTCGTAGTAAGTAAGTGCATGTATCATGAAGATGACAATGAATATCAAAAGACTACCAAAAAGCCCGTGTAATTCGTCATTTTCCATGTACGCAATAAAATGTGCATTCCTGAAGTGCGGAGCTATGGTGTGCATGACGAAGCCATCCTGCTCATATGATAGAGCTTTTTTTCGCTTCCATACTAGGCTTCTTGCAAGTTCGTGTATTTGCTGGACAGCTACACGACCGCATCAAGTCTGTATCTCGTTCTGGTATCAAATGCAAATATGATATGTCTGGGTTTAGAGCAGTGCGATTGACTTGTCACGCCTAATTCCAATACTTACCAATGCTGCAGCTGAACTCGTCTCCAATGCTAATGCATCTTACAGAACAGCGTTTGCGCTTCGTAAGCCTCTGGCATGCAAAAGCGCTACTTTTCATCGACCTTGCCCGTTGTGCATCACTACAGAGACAAAGCACACAAAGAAAAGTGTGTCCTACCTCCTGACTGCATACCTGATTAATTGATGCTGTACTCTAGTACTATTGGCATGACCACTTTCGAAACCCAGACGCATTCGACGCACTGCATATGTGGAACTCGCCAACCATTCCTCCGTCTTCGAGCACCTCAAACTCTGCTACAAGCGCCGCTCGGAACAAATGCATGCGAACACGCCCCCGGAGGAACGGTGTTGGTGTCTATCGCGCGGGGCGGAAGCCGAGCTTTTGTTGACGCCGTGTAAAATAGATTCATCTACCAGTGCTTCTACTTCTTTTGCGGACGGCGACGGCGGCAACAAGATGAGCAGTACGAACACGCACGAAGGCGACGCCACAAAAACGAGGATCCCAGCTTGGGAATGGACTTTTGCCAAGGCAGAATGGTGCGCCCGCGAGATTGCGACCGCATTGAAGTACTTGCACGAGAGAAAGATTGCGTACCGCGACATGAAACTAACCAATGTGATGGTGGATATTAGGAGAACGACCACCGGTAGTACAACAAGAACGAAAGCCCCGACCCCGAATCCCGCGCCGACCTACGATGGAGGAGGTACAACTTCTACAGAAAGGACTCCTCTGCAACGATTGGTCTTGGTGGATTTTGGGTTTGCCACCGACGACGACGCGCACCACTGCACCCACGTGCAGGGGACCATGCGGACCATGGCACCGGAAATCGTGTTCCTCAATTCCTCCGACAAGAACGATTCGACTTCTACTATGTTGGACGTCGAACAGGATCATGCTCTAGTTGGCTCTGGCTCTCCCCCGAAGACCTACGACGGCTTCCGGGCGGACATTTGGTCCTTTGCGTGCGTGGTGTACGAACTCTTTGCCGTGGGCAGGCATCTGCTCCCGGGGTATTTCGAGGATCTCGAAATTGACACGCACAACTATCGCCGCGAGTATGATCTCGGTACACAATTCCGCCTCCGCATTGTTCTCCCCGATAGCATCAATCGGGATCATCTTCTTGTTTCTTCTGCAAAATACTTGCACACCACCAAGTACAGTCGTTGCTTCTGCTTGCTTTTCTTTTTCGGCCCTGTGTGCATGAAAACCACAAGTTAATGACGGAAGCCCAAGCAGGACAAGACTCCAGATCTGTGCGCAGTTCTTTTCTTCTTTGTGCCATAGCAACATCTTTTTTTATATCTTGCTTTGACCTTCGAACAGTATAGAAGACAAGGGATTGTGGACTCCCATAGGAAACTGGAACGAACGGTGGCACTGCTGGAGCAGAAGGACCTGGCGGACATGTCGACGGAAAATCGCCGCTTCCCAAACCATGTGCTGCATGAGGAGCGGTGGCAGCAGGTCTTCTGGTTCTTTCTGAAGTCCACCGTGAAAAGAGACCCGGCGGCGCGTCCCGCGAACATGATTGAAGTTATCACCCGTACAGGTGTTACGACTTCAGCTGTTCTTCTTGCAACATGTAAAGAAAAGGAAAGTTCATCTTCATTGGCATTTTCTTTCTGCGTCCGCCTCCGTGTCGATTTACTTTGCATGATGATTTTTCCTGTCCACGAGTACAGTGATCGTGCGCGGCCTGACATGTTCCGACGTTTATATAGAAAGATAGTACCTACAACTTTCCATTTTTATTCTTCGCAGCACTTGAGATTGTAACAACTGAGCGGGCGTCTATAACAGTCTGTGACAGATTCTTTCCGGCGCGGACCACTTCATCATTGGAGACGATGCGCTACAACGGAAGAAATCATGCGGGTGAAACTGATTTCCAGGTAGCATTCAGCGAGGACCTGGACCTCGTCAAACAGTTTTCCGACGACACAAGAACAGGAGAGAGCCCATTTGCTCAGCGGGGGCGCGCGCGGGCACGCGCGTTTCGACTTTTTCCGGCAGCCGAAGACGCCGTCGATCCCTTCGAGGGGTATTAGAATCTTTATCTCACCCAGGGGGCCGTCGAGCAAGAAACGAAGTCCGTTCTTCCATAATATTCCTCGGCCAAAACGGGCGTACAATAGATATTTTTACTGGACGGAAGCAACATCTCAGTCTTGTTGATCTTACCGAATTTTGTTACACAAGCAGCTCACTGTTGAACTACAACTCTGATCTTATATTTTTCAGAAAGTAGATATATATTTTTTAATATTGGTACTAGTATCCTCACTCGGCTCTCTTTGTGCTGACCAGAAACATATTTTTTTAATCAACGCGCCTAGGCCAACGTGCTCTAGTCTGGAAAAATCTATACGAAAAGCAAAAGAGCTTGGGCGAAAGATTCATAAGTTTTTATCGGCGATGATCTCCAGCCTGCTAAAACTTCATCTAGGAAAAAGATAGCAGGAGCTACGCACTTGTTTGTGAGTGCAGCGCCGCTTTTTCTCCTTCTTTATTTTGCCGTGTTCTTGTTTTGTTTTGCTTTTGCGCAACGTTAGAGAGATTCAAATTTAGCAGCTGCAAGGTCAAAAGTGTTTGTGCTTCTGCTGTCACTCTTCTAGATGGTGTTTTACCTAGGAGTTGGTACATTCTTGATTGTCTCCCTTCTGGCCCAAAAGGTTTTTAAGGTGTTTATATCTCTTTTCGAATGTGATAAAGACGAAGCGATAGATGCGAGTATGATCTTTTGAAGAAACGATCCGCACAATTTTTACTAATTTAGTTCTTGTTCTCTCTGTTTGTAGTCTAACCATGCCAACATGCGACTTGGATCATTCAGTTCTCTGTTTCGTTTGTATTATTGATCCGTAGCAAGAGCTTGGGTGCGCCAGATCATGTTGCTTTCTTTTCGTTGTTGGAGATGTTGCAGGTCATGGCATCTTCGTATTCTGGTGTGGTTGCACACATTTGGACCAATGCTCCACGCCAATGAAGAATTGTTGTCTTTGCTTTCTGACGCAACTGCTACCTCCAGCTCCACCTCTCCACCTGTCCAAGCAATTTTCTTTTTAGCACGAGCTGCTCGGTTTCCTGTGCGTGTGCCGTCGTGGAACGACGTTGCTAGCGAGGGCACAACTGCTGAAGACGACGGCGTGCAGCAGGCCGGTGAGAAGTACCAGATTCTACACAAAGATTACCGAGGACGAGGTAGCCCCGCTCCTCGTGCACGCCCCGAAAATCCGACGTTTCAAGTGCAAAATAATGTAGCTCCGTTTACGACGGCCGTCGACCACGGTGTCCGGGAAGAACCTACTGCTACCGACGCGTCGCGACCTGAGCCGGCGGGCGCGTCTTTCTTGGTCGACGAACCCCTCTTTATCACTGCGACCACGATCTGCGCCGATGAACTACACGTCGATAATTTGTTGCCTAGAACATCAAGCACTGGCGACGAACCGCAGCCTGCTCAACCAGAGCGACATGCGGAAGACGTCGCTTCAGGTCCCGCTCCGCTGGGCAGCGCTGTTGGCACCGGAGATGAGCCGCCAATTGACGACGCTGAAGTTGTACGACCCTCGTCACCACAAGCGATCCGCCTAGGACCCTACCGCAACGCAATTCTCGTACAAGAACAGGATGAAGACCCAGAGCACGACTCCTTGTCCTTTCCGGCTTTCAAGATGGTTGAGAACAAGAATAGCACAGTGCTCGCGCTAGCTACCACAATGAAGCATTTCGATCGTCCCTGGCCGGATTCTGTGGCATCCTCAGGCGTTCTTGTAGACTCGGAGGAAGTATTGCCTCTTGATTGCGTAGCTGCTACGTGCCACCATCCACGGTATAATTCTGCTACTTCGCCTAGCAGTTCTCTCTCGAGTTTTTCGCTGGGTCCACCGAGGAGTGTAGTGCACGTTGCGGAGCAGAGCCTTGTTTCCATGACGCGCAGTGACAGCTTGCTTGACGCCAAGGAAATCGATGTGGAGGTTGATCCTCTAGAAGAAGTAAACAAGGTTCCGGCACAGTACAAAGCCGGGGAACCTGCAGCTGAACAGGCGACGTCTCCGCCACATGCCGACTACCCGCAAAATTCAACAGGTCAAACTACAGGGACTGCATTTCATGACAACGTGGGGCTGCCTTTAGGTGATATTTTGAACAATGCTGGTGGGGTAAAAGATGCTACTGAGGATGCCTTCGTTCGGGTAGAGCGTAGCGACGTCGACAGAGTGCGAAAACGCAACAAAAATTGTGCTCCAAGAGCCGCGGCTGCTGGAGGGTCAAGCGCTCGTGGTGTCACAACCGCAGAAGACGTTGACAAGTTCGCAACTGAGTGTTCGGCGACGGCAAGAAGCGGAAAGGACAACCTCCCCGGACTTGAAGCTAAGAGTGGTAGTTGTGCAGCGACAACCGCAAAACGCTCCGGACCATGCCTTGCGGTCGAGCAACGACCTCAAGAACTACATCATTCCTTTTGCGTTTGTTCCGCAGGTTCTCCACTACTTTCACGGCCCGTTTGCGCGGCAGATGACCTCGACGACGAGCCAATAGAAGTGGAATCTACTGCTGGTAGTAGAAGCCAACAAGAAGACCACGCTGCTCTCTACTGCGCCAACAGCGACCAAGCCGAGGCCCGTTACTTTCTCTTTGAGGAGTTGCTGCGCATGGTGCGCGGCCCGGATGCGCGCATCGACCGCTTTCAGATGCGGGAGCTGCTTGACCTCCTGCAGCTGCCCAATTTGATGGACCATTACATGACGCACCAAGCAAATGGCCCGGACTCGCCAGATGTCGACTGGCTGTCCTTATGCGGTGCGCAACTCCCCCGTCCCGCTCCTTTGGACAAAGGCCTGGGCAGGAACACAAGTGAAAGTAAGTACCACTAGCAGCGTAGCTTTCGCATGACAGATTTGCGCGTAGCATGATGTACGTAAGTGTTCTTTGGGGGGCGGTCGAACTTCGTCATTCGATTTGATAAATGTATGACCGGGCACGCGTGGTCTTGCGAGCCTGTGAGCCAAGGCCGACAGTGGTCGGTCTATATTTTATGAGCGGGCTCAACCCGCCCATCACGGTAACCAAAACCTGAGTAGCATGAATATGAACCAGACAGGGGCGCAGTTTTGCGTTGATTTTCCTGCTCTGTGTTTGACATGCTGGGTTTTCAGGGACTTGCGCCCCTGCCGATGGTAGCTTGATTGTGATTCGCCGAGGGTGATTAGAGCTGCTATTTTGCTCTGCCTTAGGCCGATTTATTTCCTCCTGATTTCTCCAGTTCTGGAGAGGGAGAGTTTATTTTCAATCCTAGTTTCGGATTATGATTGGTCTCCCCTGATTTCTCTCGTTCCGGAGAGGGGGAGAGAGTTTATTTCCAGTCCTAGCTTCGGGCTAGGTTGGATTTCTCCTGATTTCTCCCGTTCCGGAGAGGGAGAGTGGTTTTATTTCCAGTCCTAGTTTCGGGCTAGGTTGGACTTCTCCTGATTTCTCCCGTTCCGGAGAGGGAGAGTGGTTTTATTTCCAGTCCTAGTTTCGGGCTAGGTTGGACTTCTCCTATTTTCTCCCGTTCCGGAGAGGGAGAGTGATTTTATTTCCAGTCCTGGTTTCGGACTAGGTTGGATTTCTCCTGTTTTCTCCCGTTCCGGAGAGGGAGAATTGAGTTTATTTCCGGTCCTAGTTTCGGTCTAGGTTGGAGTTCTCCAGATTTCTCCCGTTCCGGAGAAGGAGAGTGATTTTGTTTCCAGTCCTAGAAGTTTCGGGCTTGTTTGGATTTCTCGTGATTTCTCCCGGTTTGGAGAAGAAGGATTTGAGTTCCCGTCCTAGCTTCGGACTACGTTTGATTTCTCCTGTTTATTTTCCCCCGATCTGGAGAAGGGACATTTATTTTCAGTCCGAGTTGCGGACTATGTCGGATTTGTGCGGTTTTCTCCCGTTTCTGGAGAGGGAGAATGTAACTCCGGTCCTAGTTCCGGACTAACTATGTTGGGCGTCTTCTATTTTCTCCAATTTTGGAGCGGGGGGCTTCGCCCTAAGTCCGGGGGTTTGAAGTATGCCCCAGATTTCTAGTTTCCAGCTCGAGGGAGGGAGGCTCCGTCCTGTTTCGGATGATTTCTTTGCGAGTGGCCTCCTATTCCCCCCTTGCGAGGAGAGAGTAGGGAATCCATTTCCCCTTCGGGGTCGATTTTGTTTGATTTTCGCATCCGTTTGTGATGGCGGAGTGAGTCTCTGCTTGATTTCGCATTTTTATTTGCCGCGCTTTCCCCGTACAAATCGGAGTATCCCCCTTGTGTCTCTCAGCGAGCGTGTTTCAGTCCTGTTGTTAGTCGGGCTTGGAGCAGTTTATCGCCACACATCTCTCGTGCTGGTGAGGGAGCATCGGCCGCGTTTATGCCGTTTCTTCGGGGGCTTCTCCACTCTCCCCGCTCGGGGAGTGGGTTTCTCTTGGATTTCCACTTGTGAGGGCAAGAAGTCTATTGCCCCAGGTTCTCCCGGGTGCGGAGAAGGATTTCAGGGTCTAGCTGCAGGCTGCTTTTCTGCTCTAATTTCCGGCTTCTGCCGGCTTTGGTTTTCTTGTGGGTCTCACTTTATTACTCATTTTCGAGATGTGCTTGCCCTTGCAGGCTTCTTTCTCGAGGTCTACTTGCAAGGTTTTGCTCCGTTGTATTCGACATGGGGCGCCATTCTGACCTTGGTTATTTTCATTTCAACCTTGCTCGGCTTTGTGGCACTGGCGGTTTGAATCCGTTAAACCTAAAAGAGGGCAGGCGCGAGATGGAAAGGCTAGGGATGCGCCCGGCGCCTCGTGCGCCGGGGTTTTGTTTTCGCGGATTCTTTTGGTTCCGGTTTCCGGGTTTCTGCCGTCCCTAGCTCCACGAGCCGAGTCGAGGGCTTGAGATGAAATGACCAAGGTCAGCGATGGCGCATGTGGCGCAGGTTTTCCCCTGTCGGGATGTTTTCTTTCAAGGTATTCCGATTCTCCTCTGGAGGGGGTGATCTTTCTATATGGAGCTTCGTGCCCCTATGTTGTTTGCCTGTGGTTTTAGGACATCTTCAGATCCCTGTTGTACAGGGTGCGAGGAGTGTTGTGTCAAGAGTCGATCCGGTTGCATCATTACGCAGCGATGTGGTATCCTCTTCCGAATCCTTTGCCCGCCTTTTTCGGTTCAGGGGGCGAGAAGTGTTAGTCCCTGGAGAGAGGAGGTCGTCGGGCGTTTTTGTTGGGTGTCTCATGTTTATCGGGCAAACTTTCGTATGTGTGTGTGAGGATTCTTGGCAGGATTGTAGGGGGCACTGCGCCTTCCCTGCAGGGCTTGGTCCTTTTCTTTCTGATGTCGCAGCATGCGCGTTGACCGGATCACAAGCATTACCTCGAGGTCCATTTGGCATGGTCATGGGTGTTAGTGTTTCTCGAGGTCCTCACGGCCATCGTCGCTGAGGTGGGTGTTGTTTGCTTACTGCTCCAGAGGCAGTCTTAGTGAGTTCGCGCGCATCTCCGGAAGGGTGTCGCAGATGACGGCTCCAATCTTTTCATGGGCTCCGGACTCTCTTTCCCTGTGTCATGGTGCCGGGTGGCTCCGAGTTTTCTTTGCACGCAGTGTCTTCGGAAAGGATCCCGCGCCGAAGTTATTATTTCCGTTTGAAACACACAGCTTGCGCGGGCGTTGTGGCCACCGCCGCGAGGTCTACTCTTGTGCTTTGGAAGGTTCCTTCCTGGATAGTTGTTTGGTATGCAGGTCTTTGACCTGGGGGCGCGTTCATCCCCGTGGGCTCTTGATCTGAGTACTTCTTGTTGCTCGATGACTTTCCAGCATTTCCCCGGCCGCATCCCGGCCGAGTTGTCAGGGTTGAGACCTCTTTCATCAGTGTGCGAGTGGTCAAGCGCACTACGTATCCGAAGTGAAGCCGGAGCTTCCGGGGAGTTATTTCCTATATTAAATGTTCTTACGCTGATTCTTGGGCAGCGCTTCTGCCACTAGCTGCTCTTGTGGTTTCGGTAGTTGACAAGGATTTTGCTAAGGGCCAGGGCGAAGGCGCTTTGTTTCGCCCTTTTGGAGCCTTGTTGGGATGCTGTGTGACAGTCTTTGGCATCTCAGTCGGTGTCGTCGCACGCACTCTTGCGTGTGGGGCGGCTGTTCGGTACCCAAATTCATCTCCAGCTGGTGCCGTAGGGTTCTTTGGGTCGCGTCGATGCGTTGCGTCTCCGCCGGTGGGGTAGGCTCTCCACATGCTTGGTCGCGGGCGCCTGCACCTCCTGACTCCCGGAGCGCACATCCAACGATGATCATCCATAGGATGATCTATCCGTCGGAGAAGATGTTGACTAGATCATAAAATGTATGACCGGGCACGCGTGGTCTTGCGAGCCTGTGAGTCAAGGCCGACAGTGGTCGGTCTATATTTTATGAGCGGGCTCAACCCGCCCATCACGGTAACCAAAACCTGAGTAGCATGAATATGAACCAGACAGGGGCGCAGTTTTGCGTTGATTTTCCCACCCTCCCGCCCCTCTTCTTTTCTTGTTGTCTCTTCTTCCGAGCGGATGGATCATGAGGCTTCGCGCCGCTTCATTTTTGAGGTGTGACAGAAGCCCATCACTTGCATTCGGGAACGGGGGTAGGCTCTCCACATGTTAGGTCGCGGGCGCCTGCACCTCCTGATTCCCGGAGCGCACATCCAACGATGATCATCCATAGGATGATCTATCCGTCGGAGAAGATGTTGAGTAGATCATAAAATGTTGCATGACACAACCTGAGGGGTACGAGTCGAAGATGTGCACTCTCATAGTCCTTCCGGACGGAACTGAAATCTTTGCTGGCAACGTCGCTAGAGTCACGGTCCCCATCTTGTTCGCGCGCCGCACCCGCAGCTTTCCCGATCATCTGCTCACATGGCATTGACCGCTCAGCGGCAGAAAAAGAAGGACCTCGACCACTGGAAGAAAAAATTGCGGGACGCAAAAAGCTGGACGAGCCGTCCCAGCAAGATGGACCTGCGGTCGGCTACAAGAACAATAAGGCTGTACCCGTTGGTGCGGGTCGTGATCCTCTTCTTCAGCACGCAACTGCTACAGCAGGCCACGGAGGTTCTTGTTCGCATGTGATTTTTCTCCCGGTGATGCTCTTGGTGAAAGGACGTCTACGGCAACTAATTGGCAGTGCCGACCATTGGGCCTGCATTGGAATCGATATCGAAAATGGAGTGGTGGAGCTCTATAACAGTACCGCGGGGCAGGGTTTTGCGGAGCTCCACTCCGGAGTAGAAAAAGCAAAACTGTGCAAAGAAATTACTTCGCGCGCACGAACTCAGCATGCCCGGGCATTTCGACAGCGGGACCACATCAAGGTTGATACCGCGGCTCCGGACGGTGCGCAAGAAGAGCGTAGTCGCTCGACTGTTCTTGCGGAAGATGAGAGTGCCGCGAGCTTTTGTTTGGTTGCGTCTGGTGGCCAAGGAGGAACAAGAAGAGCGAGCACCAGTGACGTATCTACTGGTACTGCTAGTCAACACTGCTATAACATTCAAGGCGTCGCCACAAACGCGGATCCTTTTCTCATGGTGCAGAAACCTCTAAGTGAGTTCTGGCAACCGGAGAACGTGACCTGGCTGGAAGATCATGATCTAGTAGAAGTAGCTCCGGTGCAGCAAGACGAAGTAGAACAGACTTCCGAGGCGGTGGCGGCGGGTCAAATCATGACAAATGATTCCCGTGAAAGTGAAGCCCTGACACGGCAGCAAAGGGAGACGCCAGACGACATAGAAACGTTTCTCGAAACGGAGAACTTGCTGGCCTTTCGCGAACAGCACCGCGGCGTGTTTTCCGCTCTCGCGGAGCGCGTCCTGCAGCACGGCAAGGCCAGTTGTCGACCAACTCAGTTTGTGCGTGGCCAGGGTGGGGAGTCCTTATCGCTGGCAGACTTTCTGGAAGAGGTTCGGAGCCTCGTGATGGAAGTGCTTTCTGAGGCAAAGGGCCAGAGATCCCGTGGCGCGACGGTAGATCAAGGACGGCAAGAGCAAGAAGAATGCTCCGTGGAAATCGACAGCGCCCACGTGCCCCTGCAGCATGACCGGAACAGCTGTGGCTTTTTCGTGTTGCACTACATGCTGCACCGCACGAAATATCCCAGTCTGCAGGCCTATCTCAGGGCCGCGCTCCTCGAAACTCGGCGTCATCGGCTTCGCGCCTGCACCGCTGCAGACATTATCGATCATGTAGTGGTCGAAGAAACCACGAGCGTTCACGTAGCCGAGACCGGAGGAAGTTGTGCCGTGATGGCCGACTGCGTGCGCGAAGAGGGTACTGCACCACCAACTTCATGTTCTTCAACAAACGTGAGCCTCGACGCAGATCATCTTTCTGGTCAAGATGTATTAGCGCCGGCAGAAGAACAGAAAACCAACGCAGTCTCAGTCACAGCAGCGCATATAGTTCTAGAGCACAGGAGACACAGTATTCATGAGCTTGCGCCTCGGCCGCATACTGCAGCTAGCACACATGATGGTAGTACCTTGCAGCCCCCCAGCTCCTCCTCCTCGACGCAAGAAGAAATCCTCGACAGAGATGAAACACCTGTTGACACGCTGGCTTCTTCCTCTTTCTGGCGGGAGCCGTCTCGCCGAGGGTTTCTCCTTCAGCCCCCCGCATTTTCCAACGCTGCTTATCTTGCGATGCGAGGACTGTTTGGCGATCTATTCAGTGTGGGACCACCAGTGCGAAGCGCAGCTGAAGTGATCATGAGTGAAGACCAGCAGGGGGTCGCTAACGAGGACACGAGCGCCTGCGCCACTGGGACGAGCAGAGCGGAGGACCGTGCGCCTCTGCAAGTCACATGCTCGTCACATTCACGAAGAAGTGCTGAAGAAATAGAGCCGTCTACCACTTCCATCGCGACTGGAGCCGCTAGTAAAACTACTGCCTCTTCTACAAGTAGCGTAGCCTCTGCCTCATCTGGTCTTATTTCGGTACCAACCGTCCCAGGCGGCGCCTCTACAACAGTGTCACGCTCCCGCAGCGCGGAGCCTACAAACAGTAACAGAAGTCGGTTTTTGGTGTCCGTACTTCGCGACGAGGCGGAGCTTCTGCGGCAGTTAAACTCTGGTTGGATTTCCAACTGGCGCACCGAAGAATTAGCTCGACTTGTTGATCGCCGGGCGGTTCAAATTTGTCAGGAAATTTCCTGCGCTGGAACACTTAGTACAGTATTGGACGACGACTGATACTGTGCTACTTAGGTGTAATCGCGGTCGTGCTTAAGTGTAGTCCCGGTCGATCACCAGATATAACCGCTACAGCAACTTTGATTCTTTGTACCACTTCCACTCCGGGTTCTTTTCTTCAGCTATTATTTAACTTCCAGGTAGTTCTTCTTAATGTACTCAGTCATTAGTCGCTCATGAGGCCGTATTAGTATTTTGTTTCCGCGTATTAAGTGTGAGCTACAGCTAGGTAGAGAAAAATACCCACTCCGCTGTTGCGGTTGACAGTTGTTTCTGTGTGAGATGTAAGCTGCTATGCTAAGCACCGCACTTACACTGTGGCTCTCCAATACTAGTCCGCTATCTGACTGATGTAAAAGTTAATTCTCGACCTGATTCCTGATGATTGCAAAATGACAAAAATTTCGAAATCTTGTCACGATAGTTCAGTGCTGGTCTCGCAAACTTCGCGCTCTTGCATCTGTGATACTGGTTCTCTGGTGTGCAATAATTATGATCCTTCCACGCTCTTGATTCTCTTTTTCATTCACATGGTTCTTCGATCGCAAACGTGGACAATGATCATCGTGATCATGCCGTTGCAAATTTACTTACAAGAAGTCAAGCGATCATGATTTATGACATCGTAGTTTTGACTTTTCCATGCGGATCTCAAGTAGTTTTTTTTTATTTTTTATTGAAGCCCCCCACAGCCGATGTCGTTCGTATTTTGTGTCACCACATTTCAGAGATCCTGAACCTAAGTCATCACCGAATGTGAGTCATTTTTGACGCAACATATCAACAAGTTATTTAGTCAGTCTCTTTCCTTATCTAGAAGGTCCAGGTTTGTTTACAAGTAGGGGGAGTAGATTCATAGATTTTTGTCAGCGATAGTGTTCATGAATCTTCTGTAGTCATTTTGACGACCCCCGGCCCCGAGATCCCTGTTTCATTAGGTAAAGAAAAAGAAATCATTTCCTTTCCCTGGTTTGACCTTAAGAAATTCCGCGACAAGTTCGAGAACGACGAGAAAATGATGATGATGAATCCCGCTATGGCGGTTCCTCAGCAACCGCGGCATGAGCAGTACCCGGAAAGCCACACCATTTACATAAACAATCTCGACGACCGAAAAAACGCGGATATTCTGCAAAAGGAACTCACTACAATCTGCGGCGCCTTTGGTGAAGTCCACGACATAATATGTATGAAGTCCTTCTATCGACGAGGCCAGGCCTGGGTGGTAAAAACGAATGTTTTTTTTTTACTTTCTGATTCGTCTCTTCATTTTCTCTCCTCGTTCTGCAGGTTTTTCACAATCAATATTTGTGCTCACATGCTGGCTTTGCGAACTCTGACTAGTAACTCGGTTTCTCCAAACTACGAAAACCTCAGGTATACAAAAACCTCGACAGCGCCAAGGAGGCGATGGCTGCCTTGCAGAACTATCCGCTATTCGACAAACCTATGCGACTTCAGTACGCAAAAACGAAATCAGACGCTATTGCAAAACTGGACGGCAGCTTCGTACCACGACCAAAGAACACACTGAAACAGGACCCAACCAAACGCGACGCAGCAAAAAAAAAGGTACATACTTTTCCGTGTCCTGGCACCCAGCATGTCTTCATCAGACTGGTCCTTTTATGCACGCGCAAACACATGTGAGTTGGTTTAAGTTCTTCATTTGTTCACATTAGTTTGCTTTTTCCGAGCCCTGTAACTACCGTGCTAGTAGGTACTCATTGTTCATCTTGACGGATGACCTACTTGTGTGCTACCGCTGCTGAAAGGACAAGAAGTTTGCATTTCTGCTCCATTGATTCAGCGCCAAAAATAAACACAAACAGGCGGAAGCGGAGGCAGCAGCAAAGGCTGCAGGCAACATGCAAGCTGCGTTTGCAGCGGTAAACGCAAACCCAATGTCGTTTTTCCAGACCGCACAGCCTGTCATGCATCAGAGACCGGTTGTGGGAGGGGTACTTTGACATTATTGTTGATTTTATTTTTGATAGAACGAACTTATACTTCTGCCAGTACCATGCAGCACTAGCAGTATATTCATGAAGATTATGTCTTTCCACGCTCGCTAGATGTTTTTGGACTCCATGTAACGTTGTTCTTGTTTAGCAGCTCGGCAATCACGAGCTACAAACCGCAAATAGAACATTTGCGAAGATGATACACGGGAAATTACTAGTATCTATACCACATATCGCTATATTAATCGCTTTCAACATCTCTACTACAGTTTCCGAACGAGACTCTGTTTGTGGTCAACCTTCCGCCTTCGGTAAACCAGACGATGTTGCGCATGTTGTTCGGACAGTACTCCGGCATGCGGGAAGTGCGGCACGTCGAATCACGACAGTGCGCCTTCATCGAATACGTTTCCGAGCCCCACGCTACCGCGGCATTGCGAGCCCTCGCCAACTTCGACATCAAGCCGGGGCAAAAATTGGAAATCGGCTACATGAAAAAATAACGCCCACATGATGTCAATCGGAGAACGCGTCGTGAAAGAGGAGCACAAAGATAAAGTAAATCTCACTGGCCATCACGATGGCCCCGATGCTTTTCCTTTTTGACACGTCAGGAGCAGCGGATTACGCTCCTTGCGTTCAACATCGCGACTAAGGTTGAACAGCACCGCTACCGCCTCCGATCCGGAGCAGCCGATGAGCATGTGCAGCTTGGTGGACGATCCAGTGTGTCAACCGACGATCATGTAGACGACAAGGAGACATCAACGACGACACGGCAGCTTCTGATAATTATCTTGTCAGAATTATGTGTAGGTCTAGGTGTAGGGCCAGGAGGGCCAGAACGCATGAATCATTAACATGCAAATAAACATCAACATACTCCGTCGCAACGGCAAATCTTCGCAAGCAACTCCAGAAAATGGAGGTGCAGACGCTACCATACTAGCAGCGCGTGGTGTTCCAGAAAGAGTAGTCTGCCGAGAGGTCTTCCTGAGAGCAGATGGAAGCGACAGGCCGAAGTTGTGATCTTTCCGTTTGTTTGAGTTAGTTTTAGGTCGTAAAGTCATTCTCGTATATTCTTTGAGTGAGATGAAATTGCATTTGCAAGCTTTGCTGTCATAATGGAGGACCTTTTCCCCACCTTCCCGCACTCGTTGCGGCCCACATCAGCCGCAGCAGCCTTCTATGGGCTGCAGGCTTTGACTTTGCTTTGCTTGTGGATTGCGGTGTATGCCGGAAGTGGAGTCGATTTTTTGCGGCTTGGTCAGAAACTCTCAAACACCGCACTGAAACCGCCCTGGTGCAGAAAAAGTCTCTTTCTGACGGTGTTGAGCGCCGGGGTGTACCTTCCGGCATCCTACAGCATCGTGCCGCTCATGTTCGCCCAAGCAGTGTATGTGGAACCCCTGCTTGCCCCGCGCGTCTTCACAACTACGCCCGGTAGTACTAGGGCTCCCTTATCTGCCATGTTGCTTGTGGCAGCGTTTCGTTCTGCGATCGCTGTGGTAGTCACTATCTTTCAGTTGGGCGACTCCTCTCGCACGAGCAGTCACCGAGATTATCTAATGTTGTATAACTGCTGGATGTTAGCTGCAACTGGCTGGCTCAATTTTTTTACGACGGGGCTCCTGACGACAGTACTCACCACCACTACGCGACCTCCACCCGCCTGGGACCAACTCGCGCAGGCTGTCGCCTTCGGTCTCTGTATTTGGTACATATTCTCCTGCGGGGTATCCAAAGTTTTTGTCGCCGGATTCCGAAGCTGGGCTTTTGGAGATACCCTACTCGCCATACTCGACACGTTCTCGCAAAAGTCGCCCCGTGGTGGTGGCCCGGTGCTTGGCAGGCTGACGAAGTGGCTCGTTGCACAGGCCGCGCTAGTACAACCCACGGTGCGCTCCACCAAACAACAAAACCACTCGCTTGCGGAGCCGCTGCTACAGCATCAGAAGAACCAGCAGCAAGAATTTTTGACTTTCGAGGATGCTGGCCACCCAGGAGTCGACGCGCGACCGTCGCTGACCAGCACTGGCACTTCTACCGCAAAAATGGAAGCTGACTCGTCGTCCTGCTGTGGCCGCTGTGTGAGAGGGTTTCTGAATCTTGCTGCGTTTTTCACTTTGGCGTTCGAGTTCATCGCTGCCCCCGTGTGTGTGATTCTGAACGTGGTGTCCGCTCTGAATCCGTCCTGGTCGAGCGCCCGAGATTGGGATTCCAGCTGCCGACTCTTCATCGGAGCGGGGATGATTTTTCTTCATTTGGCCATTATCAAATGTAAAAATGTCTGGGTCTGGATCTGGAAGATTGCCAGGTTTGTCATGCACATTTTGCATGACTCCCGATGTCTGTGATGCATGCCCTAGCATCACAGATTGTGTGAGGGCTTCCTGATGCCTATACCGCATGACAAATGCTCTTGCCGTGTAGCAAAACTTGGACTCTCTTTGCTGCTCATGCAATACAGATTTTTTTAGAATCCAAAATCAGCATGACAAATTGGATTCTTCCAGACCCAGACATTTTTACATTTGATAGCCATCGGAGCTGTGCAATCTGGGGCGATCGGTGCGTTCTTTTTACCTTGTGCTGCAAGCTACGTGTACGGCCTCACTTGGAGGTCTAGTGGGGTCGTCGAAGTAGAAACGGCGATGGGACAACTACCTCCACAGGAGGAGGATGCGAGGTCGTTGTGGACGAACCAAGCAGCGGCTGTCGCTGTCCAAGCGCAGCAGGCTGCGGCGCCGTCAGTGGGACCACGACCAAAACAAGACAGTGTGGATGCCGATGCACCACAAGAAGTTATAATTTTACAAACCCTGGCTGCGCTTGTGCTAGCCTTCGCTCCCGTCGTGACTGGGTTCACCTGCTGCGATAGTGGGCTGCTTCCAGAAAAATGGCCCTTCACACCGATGGCATTGTTTCCGTGGAATGCACAGCAGTGGAGTATTTTGCACGATTTGCTCCTCCGACAGGACACGCGAATGATTGCCGTTTCGAGGAAAAGCCTCGAAGGAGATGCTGTCATCTTACCAACTAGTATTAAAGATATGGAAAAACCAGCCCTGGAAGGAGTTCGCGTAATCCCAATCGAGTACGACGCTGAAGTGCCATTGATGGAGCGCGAAATCGGTCCTCGTCCGGGCGAGTCAGTAGTCGCCTATGATCTGTGGTCTCGGGTTATTGGCATCACGACCTTTCAAAATCTCCTCCTCCAGGCAGTATTCCAAATCATGGCCGACTTTCCCTTGTACACGGCCGCGGACGACGTACCGCCACAACAAGCAGTTCCCTCCAGCCCGACATTGCAGTTTTTTCGGCTACACGCGGCGCAGCTCCTTCTGGACGCAACAGACTCCTTCTTAAAACAAGAGCAGCGCGTCATTGAGGTAAGCACTGGCCGCGTCCTCACGGAGTGTGCCTTCGTGCGCGTAAACCCTAAAACTCTACGTATCTCTGAAACGCTTGCCCTCCCGGGTACGACTAGAGCGATACTTTCTACAAGTCCGATTATCGTACCGAAAAAGAATACGTCAGCTACATCTTTGGGTGCGAAACTGCACATCTACCACAGTGCCCAAGAAGGCGAGCCGTTGTGCATTTCTACTCAAGATGACCTACGATGTTCCGCGTTTTCTTCTGTAGTTTGGATGGCTTCCTCGTTTTTTGCCGCCCGTTCTCCGACACACCACCGTGCGGTCGTCAGGAGGGACGGTGATGTTTTACGGACTACGTTGGTTCTTTACATGTTGACTATCAGGGTTGTATTCTGTTTTTTGCTTCCGAGGTCGGTACAAATCAAATCCCGGCCTGAGGTGCAGCTACTGGATGCTTGCAAAACACTGGTATAAAAATACCATCGAACGGACCCAATCTTGTCCGTTTTTCGTTTTAATAGGCATTGTCTCAACAGGAAGGTTGGTTCTGCAACTTGGCAAAAGTGTAGTACGATTGAGTCGCGCTGATGTTGCGGCACTCGTTGAGGCGCATGTTCGCCGCGGCGGCCGAGCCAGCGCAGGAGTACACAAACAAGCTACTGCTGACCATGGGGAGCCCCCACGAAAACCTCTTCCTGCGTAAACCTATCGAGTCGCTGACAGCCCCGGGTCGCGAAGGTTCCTTCACGGTGACCAACAATCACTCCCAGCTGGTGTCGCAGCTGCAACCGGGCACAATCACGGTCAAGGAGGAGGGACAGTCAAGCACTTACTTCATCAGCGATGGGTTTCTGTTCTTTAACCAGCCCGCTGACAGCTCGGGCTGCTGCACCGTGGAAGTGAGCGGCTTCGAAATCGTTCCCACCGACATGCTCGACAAGGAGAAGGCAGCCACGCTGATTCAGGAGCTCAACGCGGGCCCGAAGGAAACGGAATGGGACAAGGCAAAGATTCAGCTCGGCACCGGACTTCTCAACCAAGTCATCAAGAGCGCCACCGCCTAACTACAATTGATTTTGTTTGTTCTTCGTCCTCCTGAGCGCTGAGCGAGTTGTCCGCGCCAGTCTCCGACAAACGTTTAAAGGATCATAATTCGCGAGACAAAGCGTCGCTTCACTGGAGCCGCGGATGGAGCTAAAACTGGTACCGCCAGAAGTTATTACACGTTGTGTGCTCATTGAGCGCAACCTCATGATCCCCTCTTCAACTGTAACGAGGAAGACGCTATTTACTAGCTTCTGCTATCAGCAGAAAACAAAGGCGCTTCTTTTTCATGGAATAATTTGAATTTTTGACTGAATTCCGCACAGGTCGGTTCGTCCAGGCTTTTATCCGCGAAGCTGCCATGCTGGAGTAGAAGCTCCTTTTTGCGGCCTTTCGTGTTGATGCTTCCCTCCTGCTCGGAACATCAAGGGGAAGCAGCCGGATTCGGCACCGCGACCACGAGAGCTGCCAACGCCTTGCCTCAGAAAACCACCACTTACGGTGTCCGTGAGGCAACTGGACATGCTCTTCTCCAGTGATGTTGGTGAAGAACAATAAAGATCGCCAGGTGATAACCCTCCACCCGCACCTCTGACTTACTCTTTCTTAGCAAAAATGCTAGTTTTTTTGAAGACCTCAGGAATCATCCGAAAGAGAACACTTCACAGCACCTTGCTCCGCAAGCGAGGAATAGTCGTGCCCGCCGGCAAGCAATAAACTTCGAAGCAGCGACATCAGCATACTGCGGAGGACTTCATATCTGATTGACTGATCCTCCACACCTTGTTCCACTTTCCGACCGCTGCTGCTGTCCAGGATCGATTGTCCTGCAAATCGGCAATCTTTTCGGTACTTACTTCACTTCCAGAAAAAACCGCCGCGAGGTTGATTCTACCTCGCCCCATATGCAGCAGCACAAGTAGCTGATGATAAGTACCACCGCCTGTGCTCCTGCTAGCTCACTAGATGAGCAATCTATCGTGTCAAAATCAAATAATAACGTTGTGAATCGTAATGGTAATCGCCATCGTGGTCGTCCTCGTCGTCTTATTTATTGAATCTAGGCTCCTACAGATGTTGGTTATGGTTTACGAACTGAAATTCTGGAGAGAAATAAAGGTCGCGACGATACAGATGCTTCTTCTTCCATGGAGATTGATCATCATGTTCGTCCTTCTGCCTCGTCCTCGATCCTCCGTCGACATCGTCATCGATCGTGTCTAGTATAAGGTCGCAGAAAATTAATCAAACTCGATTTGGTTGTTTGTGTCGCCCTTCTTCATCATGGTCTCGTCGTGAAGATTTTTCCTGATGTCTCTTCATTTTCTGTGCTTGGAATTATCGGTTCTCATGAAGAACAACATTACATGTAAAAGCACCCAACGAAGTTGCAAGTCAGAGCTGGTGGCTCGTACGTTACTCCGACCAACGAAATTGAACTCGCTTCGTTGTGTTTTTTCCGCTCATCTTCCATTTTGAGAAAAACTAAACAATAATGCGTGCCGCCAGGCGTTTGCTTGAGCAAGCAAAGCCCCAACCGACTGACTCGGTTGAGGAGGATGAGCCTCGTGTGCATGCTCCCGTCCCGATCCTCGTTGTCGGCAAGGAGCAAGACACGGAGGACCAGGGCGTGTTTAGTCAGCACGACGAAGGCGAAGAGCAAGATGATGCAGCAAGAACAGCAAGCACAACGGCCGTTGTGGGCACGGGCAGGGATCTTCCGTATCCGGAAGATCATCGCTGGAGAAGGCAGCAGCTAGCTGAGGGTGCTGGAGCAGCAGTAATTTTAAGCCCCCTCGTCCGGCACAATTCTGCCAGAAACGAGCGGAAGAGTGAGATGCTGGCGATAAACAATCCGCTGCTCGGAACCACAACTGTAGAAGAGCAAAGCAAACCGCCGAACCGCGCTGGTTCTCACACAGCGCTCGATCAAACTGGAATGGACGGTGACGGAGAAGAAATATCAAACGTAAAAACTTGAGGCATCTTCTGCGCCCACCCCTCACTCTCAAATCGAATGGGATAGGATACTAGACACAAGGACGAGCTACACAGTTGAGCGGCTTATCAAAACATGTTGGCGGTGGAGCCTTGTATTTTCTGGTCATTGTGCAAGAGCAAGTGCGGTTTTCTGCACGTGTTGTATCAAGATCGCTGTACCGGTGCTCTCATTTGACTAGAAGCTATCCTCCTGGCTCCTAAGTAGCTGGCGAGAGAAGTTTCAAACAAGGTTCCGTATCCGTTCCGGCACGAAATAATCGCCAATCCATGACCACACTTGCATCAAATTGCGCCTTGTTGCATATTATCCCCATTGATTTTGCTACGTGTTTGAGTAGACGGGTTGAAGTGATATGTCAAGTCTTGAAACTGCATAAAATTTTGAGTACGAAGAACAAGACAGCGAGACGAAGGGCGGAGGCGCACATGACGGTACTACGTGTTTGATGTTCGTACTTTTCTTCGACGCCCCCATTGCAAGTGGTCAGCACGGTGAACAAGGCTTCGCTAATGGCGGGTGCAATCCTGTCACGACCAGAGTCATATATTTTTATTTATGGTCCTTTACGAAAGATAAAATACATGACTTTTTGCCGAAAAACTGCGCTTTTTTGAAGTAGAGCATACCGTCGTGGGCCGCGGAAAGAAAATTGAAAAAATTGCAACAAAATGTGAAAAATTGCTTAGCTGAGAACTTTCCTCGATGGATTCTTAGCGCGACGGCATTATCGTTTTTGAAGTTTGGATTTGTACTCTGGGAAAGAAGAATGCGGCAACTTTTGCAACAAAAGTTGGATTTTTTCCAAGTACAGCATACCGTCGGGGGCCGCGGAAAGGAAATCTACAAAAAAGCAAGAAAATTTTGCAGATTTCCTAGCTGCGAATCCGCTGCGAAAAATTCTTAATACGACGGTGCTCTCTTTTTGAAAGTTTCTATTTGAACTACACGAGAGACAAAATACATGAGTTTCTGCAGAAAAGCGGCGTTTTTTTGAAGAAGAGCATACCGTCGTGGGCCGCGGAAAGAAAATTGACAAAATTGAAACAAAATGTGAAAAATTGCTTAGCTGAGAACTTGCCTCGATGGATTCTTAGCACGACGGCACTATCGTTTTTGAAGTTTAGATTTGTATTGTGCGAAAGAAGAATGCGGCAACTTTTGCAACCAAAATTGGCTTTTTTCCAAGTACAGCATACCGTCGGGGGCCGCGGAAAGGAAATCTCAAAAAAGCAAGAAAATTTTAAAGATTTCCTAGCTGCGAATCCGCTGCGAAAAAGTCTTAACACGACGGCGCTCTCTCTTTTGAAATTTCTATTTAAACTCTACGAGAGACAAAATACATGACTTTTTACAGAAAAGCGGCGTTTTTTTAAAGTAGAGCATACCGTCGTGGGCCGCGGAAAGAAAATCGACAAAATTGAAACAAAATGTGAAAAATTGCTTAGCTGAGAACTTGCCTCGATGGATTCTTAGCACGCCGGCACTATCGTTTTTGAAATTTAGATTTGTACTCTGGGAAAGAAGAATGCGGCAACTTTTGCAACAAAAATTGGATTTTTTCCAAGTACAGCATACCGTCGGGGGCCGCGGAAAGGAAATCTACAAAAAAGCAAGAAAATTTTGAAGATTTCCTAGCTGCGAATCCGCTGCGAAAAATCCTTAACACGGCGGCGCTCTCTTTTTTGAAGTTTCTATTTGAACTCTACGAAAGATAAAACAAGACATGAATTTTTACAGAAAAGCTGCGTTTTTTAAAGTAGAGCATACCGTCGTGGGCCGCGGAAAGAAAATCGACAAAATTGAAACAAAATGTTGTGAAAAATTGCTTAGCTGAGAGCTTGCCTCGATGGATTCTTAGCGCGGCGGCATTATCGTTTTTGAAGTTTAGGTTTGTACTCTGGGAAAGAAGAATGCGGCAACTTTTGCAACAAAAATTTGATTCTTTCCAAGTACAGCATACCGTCGGGGGCCGCGGAAAGGAAATCTACAAAAAAGCAAGAAAATTTTGAAGATTTCCTAGCTGCGAATCCGCTGCGAAAAATTCTTAACACGACGGCGCTCTCTTTTTTGAAATTTCTATTTGAACTATACGAAAGATAAAATACGTGACTTTTTGCAGAAAAGCTGCGTTTTTTTAAAATAAAGCATACCGTCGTGGGCCGCGGAAAGAAAATTGACAAAATTGAAACAAAATGCAAAAAATTAATTGCTTAGCTGAGAACCCAGGCTCGATGGATTCTTAGCGCGACGGCATTATCGTTTTTGAAGTTTAGATTTGTACTCTGGGAAAAAAGAACGCGGCAACTTTTGCAACAAAAGTAGGCTTTTTTCTAGGTACAGCATACCGTCGGGGGCCGCGAAAAGGAAACCTACAAAAAAGCAAGAAAATTTGGAAGATTTCCTAGCTGCGAATCAGCTTCGAAAAATTATTCACACGACGGCGCTCTCTTTTTAAAAGTTTCTATTTGAACTAATATGCGAAAGATAAAATACATGAGTTTTTGCAGAAAAGCTGTATTTTTTTGAAGTCGAGCATACCGTCGTGGGCCGCGGAAAGAAAATCGACAAAATTGAAACAAAATATGAAAAATTTCTTAGCTGAGAGCTCGCCTCGATGGATTCTTAGCGCGGCGGCATTCTCGTTTTTGAAATTTAGATTTGTATTGTGGGAAAGTCCTATAATGCCGCTCGGTGAGACTGGGAACGCCAGCATGCACCTTGTGGTGTAGTATTTTTCCTTGCAGAAGCATAATTTTGTTCTTTTCTTCAAATAAACAGAATATTTCAAACTCATATTTCATTCCAGTGCCGCGACCGCAGATACCTGCGTTTGGCTTTCCCGCAGTCACTTTGCAGTCCGAGAATTCAGAGGATCCCTACCCCGGGGGGCGTGGCAGTAGCATGGTGTCCTACCCGGATGACGGGGCACATCCAGAGGCGTACCGAAGCACTTTGTCCTACCCCGCAAGCCAGAACGAGCAGCCGGAGCCGGCCCCGGCTGTCGATGCTGCGAATATGGACAGAGCAGTCGAACTTCCGCAACCAAGCTCTATCACCGGCCGTGTTACCGAGCCCGTACCACGGCTCGCGTCCGCAGCAGCGGCTGTGGTTGGGATCGCTCCGTACTACTAGCTTACTACAAACTTTTTTTTACTGATTTCATGACAAGAGAATATATCTCTACAACTACATGTCAGGGCGTTGTGATTGTGTACCTGCATCCTGCATGCTTGATGTCATGATGAGGTGGTAATGTTCGATGGAGGATTGACATGATTTACGATTTCCGGATACAACAATCATCAAGGCAGCACGCAAAGTGCATGATCGATTGACATCAGACCCTCGTCGATTGCACGGGACTCAACGAACACAATCGAGACATTTGGCAACACCATAACCCCTGGAGAGAAGTCCCTTGCAACAATTCCTGCGGAAGTAGAAGATGCAGGACGGAACAATAGCAGTGGAAGCAGTGCCAGTGCCGCAAAAAAAGCTACAAGTGCCTCTGGAAAGACGAAACAAAACCGGAAATCCAGAACTTCCGTCACCGAGGCACGAGCGAAAGGAAAAAAGGAGGAGGACAAAGCTACGAAAGCTAATAGCGCAGTGCCCGCGACTATCAAAAGAAAATAAAGGTGTTACACTTACAGCAAACACATTTCTTGGAGCAACTTCAGAAAAAGAACTAGAACAAACTTGCTGTGCATGGCAGAGAAAACTTGCAATTCAGAGATCATAAGGGAAAACACGAGGCAACCAGACCTGGTTGCCGGCAAGCACGCCTGCTTTCCGGCAACCTCTTTTTTGCGTGTTCTGCAACATAATGTCGTGTAGCAATTGTAACGCTTTTTCCTGTGCATAGCGCCGGCAGCGGGAACGAGCCCGAGTAAGCAGTCCGCATCCGCAGTTTCGGTTTCGACAACCGGAACAGGGGAACGAACTTCCTTTCAGAAGAGGCAGGCCCGCAGCTCCAATTTTCGGAGCATTAAGGAGATTGATTCACGGCAACTGGGCTTCAAACAGCACGGACAAAACCAGAAGCGCCTAGAGCTCGCGCTTCGAACATCAAACAACATCATGCAGCAGGTACTTAAGTACTTACATATGAAGAAAGTATTATCAATGTCTAGCGATTCGTAGCACTGGTCAGAAAACAAAACTTGTCAAAATCGAAAAAACGAAGAGGAAACAGAAACAAACGGAAACAAATGAAGGTGGCTGCGAGCCGACAAAACCAAAACGGTGTCGGACAGCAAGGGTTCCTCTCCGAAGAGCAGAATAGCAGCCGGGCCTCTGCGCGTGAACTGGATGACTTGCCTTTCAACGACACCGACCTGGAGCAAACCCCGCCCGTGGAGCAGAACAAAGCCCGTAGGAAAACGCAAAGCCTCGCGGAGTCTAACGCTACATTGGAAATCGGTCCTGGTACTTCAGCATCTACCGGGGGGCAACCAGCATACGGGGATTCTGAAAGCGGTACGCCGGCGGAGCAGGCGATCGCAAATACTTCTAGCCCGACCACCGCTTTTCGTCTCCGCCTGGCGGGGAACCGCGACGGGTACCAGGCACTAGCCTTGGACGGCCAGAAGAAACGTGAGACGAAACCTTCCCTGTTGGTGCAGCAAATCGTCGCGCCATACAAAAAAAACTTCTCTTTCCCACCGGAGGCCGGCAGAAATTACTCCCAACCGACCGGCGCGAGGACCCCGTCTTCTACCAGCGGCGCAAGTCCCAGTCCGGCTGGCAAGGCCGCGTCGGGCGCCGCAGCCGCTGCGTCATACAGTACTACAAGCAGCGCCCGGCAGCGCGCGAAGGACTACCATAAAGAATTGAAGATGAAGCAGAGGAAAGAATCGCCCGCAAGAAGAATCCGACCATCTGGAGGGATTGGGACGGCCACGAGTCCAAATGTCAAACAAGCGTCGAACTCGAATCCCAGCAAGTTGAATGGCAGCAAAAGGTCATCTTCGGGTGCCGCAGCGTCATCTTCGAGCAGCTCCGCTAGCGCGCCGGCCGGCGCGGCTTCGAAAACCGGCTTGACCTCGTCGTCGTCAGCCTCCTCCAGTAGCGGAGGCACACCGGGCGGGCTCCTGCTGACGGGGGGAAGGAGGAGCAGTGCCAGCGCTATGAAACTGAAAGGCGATGAGTTCGAGAGCCTGCTTCGCGCCGGCTACGTGCGACGACGCAAGCAGGAGGCTGCGTTTCGGGATACGCGTGCTACGCCGAAGGAGCTGGTGGTGAAGGACGAGGTTTTGCAGCGCGTTCGTAGTCTCGACCTGGAAACGGTGCAAAAACTCAGTTTCAATCCACACATGCAGCGACAGTACCTTCAACACGTCCTCCTCAACTCGCCCGGAGTGGACAAGGATGGTCCTGGCACCCCCGCGGGTACTGCCGCGAGTCCGACTTCCCGATCGAAGCAACGGCTGGTGCCGCAACTTCCTGCGGAGTACCGCGTGCTGGATCAGCTCGAGGATGCGTTCAAGGACGGACAGTATTGGTGGTCGGTCAGCGAGCAGCATAGGAACCAAGCGTTGCAAGCAGCGAAAGTGGACGAGGTTTTGCGACTGCGCATCCGCCAAAACGAAATCTTCCACCAAAACTTGGCAGAAATCGCGCAGCTGCGGCGCGAAAAAGTAGGAGACCGCTCCTTGCTGTCTGATTCTGGAGTTGTTGGACGAACATCTGGAGGAGGTCCCGCTCGCGGAAAGGCAGAGAGACCGGCCTCTTCCTCGGAGATGAGAGCTCTGCGATCTAGTAGTACCTCAGCGAGGACAATTCTGCCGATGAAAAATTCTGGCGAGAACCCGGTCGAAGTAAACGAGGAACCGGACCGCAAGGTATTTTTATCCTCGGATCCTCTAACACGCCCTGTCACAACGCCCGCTCTTCCAGCCCCACTGCTGGACTACTTGCTTTCGAGGCGCATGCAGCTCCTTCGAAGTAACGCAAGGGGTAGTGCAGACCGCAATAAAGCGGCTTTGTGGAGAAGCAACTCGACTCCGCGGACTCAATCTCGCATGACCGTGAGCCTCGACGCTGCACTGGGCGCTGCTACTTTCCGTAATATGAACACCACGACCAGCAGCATCAAGCGCGTTGGTGGAGCCATGCTGGTAGATGAAGACGAGGAAGCCGAAGACGGCTTTGTGCGTTTGGACCTGACGGCACTCAGTCCGCCGACTACGGTCGCCGCTAGCCCGAGCAGCGCCCGCGCCGTGATGAACAAGCCAGCCGCGACTGCAGTGGTTTCTGTGAAGGAACACTTGCGTCAGCAACAAAGCCGGTCTGCTGTCCCCACTAGTACAACCGCTAGCACATCTTCTCGCGCAAAAGTTCTAGCCTCCTTAGTGAACAATCGCGATTTTGCGTCCCCCAGCCTCCTCGTCAGTGGATCCCTACCAGTCTCCAGCGATGCGCCCGGGACAAAAAATTCACAGACCTCGACTACCAGTCTGCTCGCGTCGAACAAAAGCAGGACAATTGCTGCGCAGGTGAACTCTTGGAGCCCACTACTGAGTCCAGTCCCTTCTTCCACCGTCAACACAGGTGCTGGCCCGAAGTTAATGCCACAGCCGAAACAGTTCGACTTTTCTCCCACCATTCGCCCCCGGTCATTACTTCCCGGAGAGCAAACCATGCAACTACAAGAGCCGTCAATGCCGGAGCAGACAAGGCAAATGATGAAAGGCCTAGCTTCTGCGTCATCCTCATCTTTAAAAGGCACGGCATCTATTGGTCGTCCACTTGGCTCTGCCAGCTTTGAGACCACAGTTCTGCAGCAGCGCCTCGGTAAACCTTCGAAGTCGAGCGAGGACGCGGCGTCCAAAAACCTGTTCTACGGCGAGAGAAGTAAGGACGCAACGAGAGTGGTCGTGGACCCGCAGCGCGACGCTGGAGATGATCCGATCCCGATTTCCCTGCTGCACAGTAAAAATACTGATGCGATAAGCCGGCGGCGCAGCTCCGCTACTACTGTCCTACAGGATTCCGCTACCGCAGTGCCGATGATTGTCGTTGCAACCGATCCTCGTCCGGACGAGGATCAAGTATCCGAAAACAAGTCGGAAACCACTTTTGACTACCTGCACACGCAAGCGCGGGCACAAGCAGCAGAAGAGCGCAAGACGAGACGGCGGAGCTCCACGGCTGTGTCCGTCGGGGTGAGTTCATCTTCCACTGCCCAACATGGATTTTCCTCGGCAGTCAATGTCATGCGTGCGGCAACCGCCTTGCGCAAGCAGTTGCAAATTAGCGATGCGGGTGGCCCGTCCGCCTCACCCGTCGATGCTGTGCGACAGAACGCACCTGTACCGATCTCTCCCGAAGACAGGGAGGACAACATGGCGTATAATTTCTATTTCGTTATCCTTTGTTATTGTTGGTTTCTATCCGAAGATACTGAGTGAATAAATACAATTTTAATTGCTTTGTATCTATGTCTATGTGTGTTTTCATCTTCTATTCGCGCACGTTTCGGCGCCCTGGAGCTGCCACCATCTACCGCAAAAAACCAGGGCAAGATCTTCGTCTGCCATAATCGACTCCGGCAAGAGTAGCCAAGTGGCGGCGCTTCTAGAGTACGCCGCGGATGAACAAGTAGAGCGCGAGGAGGAACAACTTTTTGACACTGCGCTCGCCACCGGCGCCGCTCGCGTAGAGGGCTTGCACGCGGCGGTCCTTGGTGCGGAAGAATCAGACCAACGTGCAGAGCGACAATCTGAATTGTATCTCCCCCCAAGAACAAACTACCACGAGAATTCCATCGTGTCACGTCCCGCGCGGACCCGAACATCAAGTAGAGAATGGATGTCCAGTAGCGCCTTGTCAGTTTTCTCCTCGTCCTCTGTTCCGAATTCCGGAATCAGCAAGGTGACTGCAGCTCAGAGCAGGACCAGTAAGGATGAAGCGGATGCGGTCGTCGAGCAGTTTATGAGCTCCCTGTCGCTGGGAACCATGGCACGCGAGGGCGATGACGAACGGAATGCTGGTGCATCGGCCGCCGCATGGAACAAAAATCGCTCCCTGCTGTACCAACACGCCAGCAGTGTCGCTAGCAGAGCGAGCCTGCGAGCGTACGAACTGAACTTTGCTTCTAAACACTAAGACTAACACCTGCTCTATGGGCTTTACAATCAAGTGATAAAGTACGTCTTTCCGTAATTCATATAGAAAATAGAATAACCAAGCAAACAAACAATCACTGTCTTGGGCAAACGTGCACGTGCGTGTATTTCATACATCAGATTAGCACGCCTCCCCCTCTCGTGCCGAGTTTTTCTAGTTTAAGTTCGTCTTTCTTCGTACGGAAAATCAACAAAAGATGCAGACTCGTCAAGCAAGTGCAGCCCAGCGTTAATCGACGGTGGAACCCTCTCCCGAGCAGCACCGAAAAAAATGTAAATCGCTCATCTAGTACTTCTTTTTCCGAGAAATTTTCACTTGGCCTTGTATTCTCCATCTTTCTGCTCTTCTCGCAGCATTGTCACGACTTGACTCTGCAGACGTTGAGAGGAAAACGCTGAACAGCTTGTAGTAATCAATCGGAAACTCCTTGTAAATCCCCGCCTAAAAATGCTCTCTGTATTAACACGGCTATGAATTGACTCGAAGTTTTCAAGTTTGTACATCGTGCGCAGACGGCAATTAATTTTAGTCAAACGAGTATTTGAAGCATAATGTCGACCTCTTCCCGCGAGGCCGCGCACACGAATCAGAACGAACTTCAACACGCGCAGTTCAACAGGAACAGCGAATCTTCACTCAGGACGTTTCGAAATAAGTATGTTGTGACGACAAATCAGCCTATCGGTTTCGGTAGTAAATGAAGCGCCAAAATTCGACGTGTCGTTGATACTATCAACACAAAACGCTTTCTGCACCAAAGGCAACACGCGTCTACCCCGCATGACTGTCGTATACTATAGCACAAGAAGCAAAACGATCAAGATCAAGCTTTTAAGGACAAACGCATCTGTCATAATGGAACTTTTGAAGTCCAGTGTCGGTCATCACATGGAGATGCGCTACCGTAGCGATGGAGGCACTTGTACTAGTAGATCAACTTTTGCGATCACTATATACTTAGTCACAGTAGCAGAATTAGGGAAAATATGCTGCTCAAAGCGATTGCACTTGGTTGTGCAACTTCTAGCAACACAACGAAAACAGCACATCAACTCTCTGTCTCTACTCCTGGAGATGATAATCTCTGTTTTATTTCTACAGTTCCCAGTTTCGACGTTTCTTTACACCCAACATGATCATGAATGTACGTAGGTACATGAATAGTACATTGTAATATTTCGTCCGCGCGACACCGTGGAGCGACCTTCCTAAGAATATAAATATGCATACGTTTGCTGACGTTGAAACCCCCAAGAACCTAAAGTACTATTAGTCACATACGCGAAGAAGTTTCTGATCGCCGAGCAGGAGGACATCAAGAGGTGATTTGTATCAAGTTCAAGTGAATCTGTTCAATGAAAGAGCTGCAAATAATGTCGAAGCACGAGTCAAGCACGTTGACGCACATGGCCAGCGCGGGCGGCCCCGCCAACTTGTCAGAGGGTTTGCACATTCCGCACCCCGCGACGCAGGTGTCGACCTCCGGTGCACGCGGGGTCGGGGGCGGAGGTGCCCCCGGTTCGCAACTTCCCAACGGCGCGCCACAAGTAGCCGACGTGCAGGTGACGGGGATGCGGCACGGCAACTTTTCCCGGCGCCGCCAGAACCACGCCATCTACGACCACAAAAAGGACAGCTTTATAGAATGGGTCCGCGGGATACTGCGCACCAGCTTCGACCTGGACACGATGGACACCAGCATCCCCATTCTGCTCCAACAGGTGGAGGAGCTGGTCCGGGAGCACATCGAGCGGCACGAGGACAGCCGGCTGGCGCGCATCGTGCCCGACGTGGCCACCTTCTTCACGCCCCTGAAGCTCCGAGACGCGTTCCTGATCTACAACAAGAAGTACCGGATCACGCGGCGACGGTTTGTGTACCCCACCTTCAACGAGATTCGCCACGTGGTAAACCTGGCCCAGGTGCTCGGCCTACCCACGCTGAAGCTCATGACCTTCGACGGGGATCAGACCCTGTACCCGGACCAGAAAAACCTGGAAGATTTGTTCCTGGCACAGCAGCTTCTGCAGCTGCTGCAGGCAGGAGTGAAGATCGCGCTCGTGACCGCCGCTAACTACGGCCTGAACGGGGAAAAGTACGAGACGCGACTGCGCGTGTTGCTCGAGTATTTCTCCGCGAAGAACCTGTCGCGGGAGTACGTGGAAAATTTCTACATTGTCGCTGGCGAGTCTATATGCAATGCAACAGCATCGTACTCGTATAAGTGCATTACAAATTTCCTCAGGATGAGAAATAAAATTTGTAATGCTGATTTACCTTCAGGAAAAAATTTGTAATGCATGATTGCAATTACTACGAGCGCGGCACCTTTGCACAGCATAGTCTAGCTACCTGCTGAAAATCGGGCCCGACTACCGCATCCACCCGGCGCAGGAGCAATGGCCGATAAAAAACGAGCGGAGCTCCTTGACCACCAGTAGCAGCAGCAGTGTGGCCGCGGCCCGTATGGTCCCGAGTAACATAACACAGAAAAAAGTGATACCGGAACAAGTAGGAGTGTTCCCGGTAGAAGAACAAAAATTGGTAGAAGACGGCGAGGACTCAGCAAATAACCGCGGGTCCACCAATAGCAACTCGTCCGCCGCACAGCTGGACAACATGCGGCACGTGCTGGACGCCTGCGAGGCCACGCTGCGGCAGGGTATCTACGATCTAAACATGAAGGCGCAGATTCTGCGGAAGGCCACCTCGGTCGGGTGCATCCAGGCGCACTTCAAGGAGCCCGGACGGGAAAACCACTACTTCAGGCGAGAGCAGCTGGACGAGCTGGTGTACCGCCTGCAGGAGACGCTGATCGAGAACCGGGAGCGGATCCACTTTCCCTACTGCGCCTTCAACGGGGGGAACGACGTCTGGTTCGACATTGGCAACAAGAAGGAGGGCATTCAGGGCCTGCAGACGCTGCTGGGCGTGGAACCCTGCCAGTGCCTGCACGTGGGCGACCAGATGGCACGCACGGGGAACGACTTCATGGCCCGATTCATTTCCCCGGTTTGCTGGATCGTGGACCCTTCGGAAACGAAAAAGATCCTCAAGCACGTGCTCCGCAAGCTCGGCATAACGTCGCACCACCGCTCGACGTCGGCAGACAACATAGCGCCGGTCGGCAGTCAGCAGCATCTCCTGCTTTCCCGTGATGTCAGCAACGCGTCGCAGTCGGCGATGCTGGGGACGACGGCCGCGGGTAGTGCAACTCCTGGGATGAACAATCTTGTCGCCGCCGGGGGGACGAGCGGCAACAACTTCTATGCGCAGCAGGCGAACGGACCGCCGTCCTCTGCGGGTTCCTCCAAGAACAATCTCGCCGCAACATCGTATAGTACTCAACAAAATTATGGCCCAGCAGGTGGCGCGACGTGGTCGACGTCCAAGAGATCTTCCAAAGGCTCCAACTCGCCTCAGACCGCCTGGGGTCCGTCTCCAATCTCGATAGTGCAAGGACAACAGCACGGTGGAGGTGGTAACCTCGATCGCGATCGGAGTCGCAGTTCCTCGCCCAAGTTCCAGGCCGGCGCGCCACCTCCACGACTGTCAAAACTAAGCTCCGTGGGCTCGAAGGATGGCCCCCTTTCCACCACGAGCATGGCCGGACGAACGATCGAGACGCAATTCGAGCTCCCCTCCCACGTGACCGGCATTCCCACCTCCCCAGAACACCCCAGCCGCCAAAGTCAGGAAATACGCTCTTCCGTCTCCCGTCTGCTGGACGCTACGGCGACGGAGGCCGAGATCGCTAAAGCAAAAGAAACCATGATTCGATGGTCCCCCTCCCAGGATAGCAGCGAAGGCAGCAGCACTCCCGAGTGCACCCCGAGGAATGACGAGGAGGACACCGCTTTTTTCGAGCATAACGAGCAAGGCACAGCTTTTTACACAAGGTCGGGAACTGGCACTACTGGCGCACAGCAGACGGGCGAAAGAAATTTCTATGCAGGAGCCGATGGAGTATTTTTTATCTACTTCGTTCTGCGGTGCATAGTAGTTCTTGTCGGAATGTTTATGTTTTCCAATGGACCTCGACGAGAGGAGAAGATAAGGCAAGAATGAATACGAACTCATTTCATTTTTACTGTAATTCGCGTGCAAAAATTTTTACACCAGGACCCCGCGAAGCTTTCACTCGTCGTGCAAGACGCCGCACAGGACCCGCTTGACGAGGGTATCAACGAAATGACAACGCAGTGGCAGCGACGCGAGCGCGCAATGCGTGAGAAATCTGGAAACACATAGCAGGCCGGCTACCATGTTTGATCAAGATACGATTGGCCCGGGCACCCTTGTTGTGCTCAGCAATTTTTGTTGGTGCGCCCGCAAGTACTAGTCCTGATTGCGAAGTAGCCTCCGTGATGACGATTTGATTTTTCGCTAAAGTGTTTCGGTAATATCCTAACTTTCACTTGTGCTCGCAGGCAACCCGCATGGTGGCGATGAACTATGTTTTTTCATTTTCCCCCCGTCTATTTGGGGCGAAAATTGTAATACTTGGTTTCGTGCTGTATTGCAGTACTTCTGCTTGCACTCTAAGTTCTTAAAGACCACTTGACATCCAGATCCACTAAAAACCATGACTCAGTTTTAGTGGCATGAAAATGCCAGTAGGCTTTCTTTCAGCATCTTTTCATTTTGTCTGAATTTGGTTTTGTATTTGTTCGCAATCGATATCAATCACATCACATAAAAAAAAGACCGGATCCACGCGAATTGTACTCGTCACACGCCAGATCACGATCGGCCTCGCAGAAGATTCGCAATCTCGATGACCAGTGTTCTGTTTCATTAAGGAGCAATACTTATTTTGCGGAGATGTTGTGTATTTTGTTTTTGAAAAGATAACACGAGGGTTTCGATCTCGCAATTTTCTACTAGAAATGGATCGCTGTTGTCTTCGAATATACGAAATAAAGCCTGTTGGAGTCGTGGCATTTACCAGCAACGGAGTAAGGTATACTATCGTGATCGCACAAAATAAATCGTTATCGACGTCATTTCTCTGTGGATCATGAATACAGGTCCGCCCCCGCGATGTTTACTCCAATAAAAATCATTTAAGACTCATTGCGCCCTCGTTCAAACATTCTTAGTGCCCCAAGGACTAGTTGTAGTCTCATGACGGAATCCGAATCATGGGGCTGGTGGAGCCAACAATTTGTTTTTGTTATCCATTGGACGCAAGAATCTTCGTCGTCATTCCTCCGGCACTAATAAAGTAACAACAAGGAAAGGACTATCTAACTTAAACTTTATCTTTAGGACATACTCTTGAAGAGTTCTTGCACGACCTGCATCAAAAATTACCATGGGCGGGCGTGGGGGAATCAATATCTTGGGCCAGAAAAAATGGCACGTGTGGAACATGGACAACCGCCTGCGGGTGGAACGCGACGAACGACGGCACCGCGAGCAGCAGGAGGCCGCGCAGCGAGAGGAACAGCAAGGCCGGTTTCAGGACAAGGTCGCGACTCTCAAGCGTAAGAACCGGGGGGCAAAGAATGCTGCACTGGAAGACGATGCTATCACCAAACATCTGGAAGACCAGGCCGCAAGCAGACGAGCGACCAAGAACATGCTGACAAACGGCTCCTCGTCCTCGTCTTCGTCCTCGACAACCGCAGCTTTATTTGCAGCGGCATCCGCAACGCTCGGAGAGGTCGTGGGTGAGGACGACAGTGACCTCAAGAAAGCTCCGGAAGTGCGGCACGTGAATTTTTTCCAGGAGGAGGAGAAAGCCTGGAAAGACGCGGAACTGGCACGGGCGAAGAAGGTCGAGCTGCAGGCCAAGGGTAGAATCCTTGGAAAGAAGGGCACCTTGGACGGCATGAGCGTGCAGCGTGAGATGTCTAGTGACATCGCGGATATCAAGAAGCAGCCGGTCCCCTGGTACATGAAGACAGGGCAGCAAGCCGCAGGAGCAGCACCTGGTGGTGGTCGTGCTGCCAGCTCGTCGTCTTCAAATAAACTACTCCAGGACCACGACGAGAGGAACAGCGTCGACAAAAATAAACCCAGCAACGATAATATTCGTCAACTTGTTCAACAGACGAACCAGCTACAGTTTCTCGCACCACAATCGTCTTCAGGTAAAGATGATGCGAAGAACGGAGCAGACACGACCCACACATCGGCAGAGAAACAGGAAGTGATGATAAAGAAAGGCAAGCACAACAAGAAGTCGAAGAAGACAAAAAAGCGAAAACGCAGCTCGTCGTCGTCCTCAGCGTCGTCGTGGTCCGAAGAGGAGGGGGCGAAAAAAGCTTCGAAGAAGAAGAAGAAACGGAAAAACGACGATCTTCTTGCTTCGTTTGATACTTCAAAACTATTGTCCCACTCGCAGCTCAGAGAAAAAGACGAATTGAAGCAGCAAGTAAATGGTTGTAGATAACAGTTGTCCAAAAAGCGTTGAAAAGTCGACCGAAATTCCTGGATACTTACCAAGAATGTTGAGAGACGCTTGAGCGCTGGCCAAAACGCGTTTTTCATCGGTCGTTGCCCAGAAAAGGTTGCTGTTCTTTAACTCTTTCCACCTTTGCGTGAGGGCACCGCACGTTTTCAAACAGAAGTGCCGAGAGCATGAGCGGAGAAGCGAAGCATAGTGTTCCCTGTTTTGTGAGAGGCTTTGGTAACTCCCCGGGTCTTCTAGCTCTGATCTGGAAAAGCAAGTACACGTGGTGAATGAAAGATCTCAATGGACCATGTTGATGAGCACAAGATGGATCCGATACATACTTAGCAAGAAATAGCAAGACGTAAATGATGTCTGCAGGTGGCATGAGCCTACGAGAAAACAGCTCTTGCAAGAATATCCCAGAGAGTACAAATGTTGTTCATCTGTGTGGTTGCGCACCCCACCGTTGTATTAGCGTGCTATATCTAGTATAACGAAAAGACGCTCCGAGAAAAATGGAAAGACAGTATATGTATAAATGTGATTTAGAAGAACACGATGAGAGCCTGAAATACATAGCAGTGAGCTACTCGTCTGAGGTGTATGCTCGCAACAGAGGATATCGCCGGAAATACGACAGCTTCTGCTAGATCTATCATTCCATCTTGTTGTTTTATCGAGCCAGCGATTGTCAATGTGAGTAGCTTTGATTTTCATTTTCTTCTTGAGTATATATAAAAGTACAGTGTTAAAAGACCCATGTCTACTAGTGGTGGAGGTGTATTATCAGGCCCCACCTGGCAGTAGGGGGGACGACGACGCCAAACCCAAAGTAAGCGCTTCGCAACTGCTATTACAGGAAAGCGACGAAATTCCTACCAGCGCGCTTCTTTACCATCTCTGGTGCTACTTCTTGATCTAATAATTTACGTATGCTCCCCATGGATTTCGAAGAGTGGGGAGAGAGTAGCGGCGGCTCCCAGTTGGGAAGCTTTGCGCAGCTGGTAATTTGCGGTGTAGTTGGCTGGTATTTCGTGCGGGGGAATCGTGCGGAGCCGGCAAGTACGACCCCCTCCTCACCCTCGACCAGCAAATCAAGAAAAAAGAAGGACTGTGCGGGTGGTGTTAGTAGCGACGACGAGCCAATACAGGATGCAGCACCCAACCACCTGCGGCCGAAAAAGAGCCTGGCCAATATGACTTGTTCAAACTACCACTCGTCCCACTCTCGTGGTCTCCAAGCTCTACTTGTGCCTCGACGTCTCCCATGATGATACCTTGCAACTGTCTCTCATGTTTTCTAAACGCACATCTGTTTGAGTTTGACAGTATCTATTAGTAACGATTTGCAGGAGGTGGAACCAGATGTGGGACAATAGTTTGAGCAGGTGATACGCATGGCCTACTTTTTCTACATCTCCGGGGGATTTCTGACAGGCTCACACCACTTATACCTGGAGAATTATGAGTACAACTTATATATTGGATACCGCTCCTGTGATTTAGTCACATGCCTCTTGTTGAATTGAGGTGTCAACTTTCTTTCATTTCTTTCAAATAGAAAGGCCTGAAGCCCGTAGGTGTATCATCTACTACGGTGAGCAAGACCACGTCTTCATGAAGGCTACAAATCTAATAAGCCACTAGACTGCGCCAGCGGCGCACAGGCACAGCCACAGCCCACTCGGTTCGTCAGGCCGCGCAACAACCGTATATTTAGACATCGTCGAGACGCGAAATGCAAAAATGAATCATCAACACTTTTTCAGGTACGGCACGACCTACTTGTTCACCCTGGGGTACTTCTTTATCGGCATGTGCGCCGATGCGTTCCTGCTCCCGGTATATGTATACAACCACAACCGGAACGTGCACCCCCAGGCCGTCCAGGAGTCCTTCCGCGTCTGTCAGTTGCTGTGGAGGTTCTGCAAGCTCTGCTTGCTCCTGAGTGTGCTTTTCACGGCGTTCCTCGCCTTTTTCCCCGTCACGTACGAGTACGCCACAGGGGAGTTTTTGGCGAACACCAACGGAGTATGAGACTGCACAAATGTTACTCCTCTCGTCGTCACGCGTAAGCATACAACCACACCATACATACGAGGATTCTGTTCTTGTCTTTTGGCACTGCTTGCATGACAGCTTCTATCTTCCCGCAGCCATTGAATTTGAACTCGAAGATCGCGCGGGGGCTTGTCATGCAGTAGCGACAGTTCTAGTTGTACAACCAATCAATGCTTGTGTTATTGTTCATGCCCTTCAAATGATGGAGGGGGGACCGCTTGTGCAAGCTCATACGAGGCCACGGTGATGCAGAACCCCTACGACGTTCTGGAGATACCAAGGGGCAGCACCATGCCGGACGCTCACAAAGCCTACAAAAAGATGTCGATGAAGTACCACCCCGACAAAAATTCCAGCGCTGACGCCAAGGACAAAATGGCCAATGTCAACGCCGCTTACGAAACGATAAAAAAGGTACTTCAACATCTACTTTGTGCTTTCATGATTACACTTGTTGTTGCATTCCCATTCTTTATCGCAGCTCCGCGCACCTGCTGAAAAAAATCGACAAATGATCATTCCAGGGCACGATCGGGCTGGAATTCAGTGAAGACGGACTGACGGAGATGGCGGAACGATGGGTGGAGAAGTGGAAAACGCTGCTGAACTATTTGGAAACCTCGTCCAAAGCTCGCAAAAAGGAGAAGGAGGACAAGACCAAAAAGGCCAAAGAGACAGAAGACACACCATCGGATGGAACGACCAACAAGAAAACCAGCGACAAAAAGAAATCATCTTCCAGCACAAGGAAAACAAAGGGACGGTAGAGAATAAAATCAAAATCAAAGTCACCCCTACATTAGATATAAAAACATGTCGAGTTTTTTCAAAGAAACTGCGCGATCTTTGCTACTTCTATCTACCCCCATCAAGAATTTGTCACGTATTTGTAGTAGTACGTAGCTCTTCTTCACAGAAGTGATTCGGCTTCCCGTGAAAACCAAGTTTTTTCTACATTTCCCTCGCATGTACTGACTAGTACTCCCCAGCAACGCGCACTGGCCCCATCCTCGACGCGCATTCTTCAGCTAGAGGCTAAAGAACCAGCGCATTGTCGAGAGCCCTTGTACGAAGGCGGCGACTTTTCATCTTTTGCACAGTCACAAACTTTCTTATGTTTGTGTGGTGGTCGTTCGAAGAACAAGACCGTGCATAAAACATTTTTGTTGTGCCTTTGCAATCGAAGGACTCGCATCTTCAATACGTGCTTTCCAGCGAGGAGGACAAAAGTACACGGAAGATCCGATCGCTGCAGCAGCCTGTTCTCTTTCCATACGAATACGGTCCCGGTCGTGTGTGTTCACCGCAGAGAGGGACCCGCATCCATGGGAACAATGTCGTGAGCCCGAGAAACAGTCGCAGATTCGTGTGCCGTTCGTGCGTCATTTATTTCTGTTTTAAGCGTGATGTCCAAGTATTATGGACCGAAGCTTCACAAGAAGAATAAACCTACATCCTGGGGAGCAAAAAAAGAAACAGCCGTTCCAGACTTTTTGAACTTGAAGAGAGGCAAAAATATCCTCGTCCTGGTGGGTGAAGAAGCCGAGCAAGCATGAGATGACGAGTAGACGGCGACCCAGTTTAGGGTGAGGTGAGCAGTGCTATTGCTTCTATTCACACCGAGTCGGAGTCGCTCAATGAAAAAACTAAAAGCGTTATCTTCAATTTCACGCTCACCTTGAAGAGAAGGAGAAGCGCGCGCGTCATTCAATTTCTCTTTCTTCCAGTTCCAGCTTGCATCGCTGAGCTCGATTTGCAGTTTTCCCGAGAAGATGGACCTGCAGTTCTGCACGTTGCATCATTAAAATTATTCAAAAAAAGCAAACGTCGACGCCGTCCACGTCTCGTTCGGACAAGGAGACAGCGCAAGGTGGCATCCATTCGGCTCTGGGTGTAGATTCTACTAGTTCTGCGTCTAAATTTAGTCCCTCCATTGCAAAGAAGGCTAAGAATGACTGTTGGCGCAGCGGGAATTTCTTCGGCTGCAATGCCACAAGTGCTTGTGGGGAAATTGAAGGTTCTGGGCGAGACTTTTGGACTAGTCGAGGCGGCAGGCACAGAACACCGCATCCCGATTCCGACTGGCGTTTGTACTACTTATACTTAATCGATGTCTATATATTTTGAATGTATCAATTGAATCTTTCTCTTTGTCTTTCTGGTTCTTCATCGTGGCGAGGCACATTGTCGTTCTAATCATGAAACACTTTGCAATTCGCAATGTGAACTACGTATGGACACGAAAATAAATATTTCAGTCGTGAAGCCGGGTCAGCTCGTGGGTTTCACGGTCAGTGGGGGATCCACCGAAAGCGAAGTGTGGGTTGCAGTCGACGGAGTTGACCAAGATATTGCAGAGCGAAAGTTTCCGTCGTGTGTGGGCACCGTAGCAAGGAGGCGTTGCGAGCCGCCCTTGCCCTTGGCCGATGATCTGGATGTCAACGTTCCTGACACGACCGCTGATCCAGCCACGGCCGAGCACGTCGATAACTCCTTCGTTCTGCGCGTCCGTGTACCGCGCTGCAGCGAGAGCGACCGCGTCGATCAAGACTCGCACGGCACGACGGACGCAGGAGCCGCTGCAAGAACCATCCGCCACAGAAGCACGGAAGAGAACATTGACGAGACAGAAGATGACACCATAAGTACGAAAGCAAATTGCGGGAACAAAGCTAGTGGCACGACCACGCGAACGAGCAGGGCGAGTACGATGGCATCATCCACAGCTACACCGTCGTCGTCAAGCAGTAGTTCATCTTTTTGCGAGTACAACCCGAACGACGACGGCTCGCAAAAACATTTCCAAGAGCAAGTTCAGCAAGGGAACCCTTTCCGGACCTCGGGTCTGGCGGAGAACGAGGTGGACACCGCTGGTGCTGGAGCTGGGGCTTCTACAACCGGGACAATTACAGCGCCATTTGTACCATCAGAGACTGCAGCAGCTCGCATCCAGCAGGTGGAAAATCACGCTGGTGTCCCAGCAGATGAAAGTACTAACTCGCACAGAGGCATCGTCCCCCCAGAAGACGCACAAGAACAACAAGATGAGTACCCAGCTTCGAACTTTCCCAATCTTTGAAATCACTAACACGGTACGTAAAGAAAACAGCACCTCTAGTAATCAGGCATGTTCTTGCATGCACTTGCAAAAAGAAAACTCGCACGCGTTGTGATCTTCTTTGTTCATCTAGGACGTCCACGCTAAGATATTGTAGCACGGAACAGGCATGCGCGCAACTTCAGACCGAGTGGAAATTGGGATCGATTTTCGTTTTCAAGATTCCTACCAGGACATCCCGATTCCCGAGAACCTGTTGGAAGCAGCCCGAAGGTACCTGCTGCAGCATAGCTGCTTTTTAGATATTCTTCTCGCTATCCATGATCCAACCAATATGTATATCCTTCAGAATCTGAATGTGAATCATTATCGTGGTCATGTGACCGTGCCCGTGCGGTAGCTAGAAGTATGCCATTGGCCTGTGAGTATGACTCCCAGTCCGATCTTCACATGACAATAACTACAAGCATTATAACACACAGGAGTCTACAGGAGCCCCTGGCAATCGGAGCGGTGCTTGCGTGTGAAGTGCAGAACGGCGAAATCGTTGCAGGCCCTGTCTGGAAACAGATAGTCGCAGGTAATGTAAGTTGTAGCTGTTTTGCTGTCATGAACATGCACATATTGGTCACAAAATCTGTGAGACCTCCCAGATACATCACTTGCCTGACTCGGAAGTTGAGACTTCCACGCGAAACGATTTTTTGCGAGGTAGTTTTTCCGCTTATGCCACTGACAACTGAAACTGTCCCCATCTGAGGCAAGCCGAGCCGCGTTTCTCTTCTGTGTCATTCTCGATAAGAGTCATGAAAAGTCTCGATGCAATACCAATGGAGTTGCAGAAATTCTCCTGTGTGGCAAGAAGAATGAATGACCGCATGCGAAACTGCGGTTCTGCCTGCTGTGGGCGGACCACGTAGATTTTTGAATGCGATATCGAGACGCGCCTGTTCCCGAAGCGCGCGGCCACGAACACCGAAGCCGATGCCAGCGACGCTCCAACAACCACGGCAGCAGCTACAGGTGGCGGCAGAAAAAACGCGCTAGCGGAAGAAGCAGACTTCAATGCGGCACTGCAGGCGGCGGAAGATCTGATGAACCTCGAGTTTTCGACAACGGCCGGAGGTGATCATGACGTCGAAATGCGTCCTTCTGAGGAAGAGATGCAGACGCAGGCCGCTGCAAAGCTGCCACAGGACGCAAAGGCAAACTCCTCCTCGAGTACTATATCAGAGAAAGAGCTGCAGCATGAAGGCGCGCAGGAAAAGCCTTCTGCCGAAGCTTCTGCAACAGGAGCGGCACCGGTACCAACCGGGACGACACCCGCCACATCCTCGTCCTCCACCACAGCGCAGAATAACATGCAGGGAGTGCATATGGAAGCGTCGGGATCTGGACCGAAATCAACAAAATCGAAATGATTTGTGATGCATAAAAACGCTACCAGTTGGAGCCTCATTTTCCAAGTGGGGCATGACAAATTTCGGGAGCAACAAAATCCAGCCTGTCATGCTGTTTGGGCAAGGAAGGCTGCTCCTCTCATGCTACTCTGGCAGCGCATCGCCTTCCCCTAAACGGGCCTGCATTCGGTCCCATTTGCCTCCTCCCCAACACAGGCCATACGTGCCCTACATTTTATGCATTACAGATTTTGTAGATTTTGATTCTAACACCTCCATAGTGCACTCCGCTAGATCCGCGCGGAGTCGGCATTACTGGTGTGACGACGACATCGACACGAATTTAGAAAACATTCGTATGGGCACCGTGACGTCGACCAGCACCCCAGACAATGACCACACGGTGATCATGACCATGAATCGAGAAATGATCTTTTGCCCGACCGAGTATCTGCAAAAACTTCGGCTTGCGCCCGGCACTGACGTCGCCTGCTCCGTCTATACTGACGAAGATGGGCATCCAGTGGTAGTTTGTTACTCCACGTTTTTCTGCTTCTTGCTGGTTGAGAAGCAAAGAGTAAATACATACGTAGAGCTGCAATCCTGATAGCTATATGCAAGAACGAGCTTGGTACTACAGTCGCCTGCTAGTTCACAATTTCAACTTCTCTTTCAGGCCGACAGCAGCAAACCGCTCTGGGAGCTCTCCACGCCATTCTATCCTACTGATAGCATTTCTCACATCAAGACCACGACCGAGCGCTAATATTGTAAACAAGCAAGATAGAAACTACAACTTTTTTGACTATGCATAGTACTTGTTACGCGGTGATCTCCGCAGCTGAAGATCCTGTTCTAGACATGTTGTCGACGACATATCTACAAAGGCGAGATGAGACCGCCGCATTTAATTGCAGTAAATACAGTTACATCGGTCGTGAGCATGTTTTTGTTGTTGTCATGCAACTATTGACGAAGGCGCAATCCTGAAAGACGCCATGTGCCGGCACGACTGATTTCTAGGATTCTAAGGAATGCTACTTTTTCCAGTATTTCTTCAAAGAGGAGCAGGTGCCATTCTTTGGCCAGTACTACGGACGCGTGATAAATCTAAGCTCGCACGTATCATACAGAGAAAATGCAGAACGTAGAATTCGCCCTAGACCAATACCATTGGCGTAGGCAAGGCTCTTGTAGATCGGGGCTCCTGTCGTTCTTGCGATAATATCGGAGCACTGGAGTATTGCTTTCCGCCCAGCAACTACTAACTGTCTCTGTCAAGCGCAACAAGCGCATTCCGGCGCGCGTGAAAATAAACAGAACGACGCTTAGCTGCAAGCGCAAGCATTGGTTCGCGGTCTCGCGGCTGCATTTATTCCTTTTGTGTCGATACCAGGGAAACGGCTTCATTGATTGCGACGCGCTGAAAACCGAGTACGGGCACGACCCTTTTGTCCACCAAAAGATTATGCGTCTCTGCGACATCCAGCTGGGGGACATGATCAACTTTACCGTGCACATCAACAGCAGTGGCACGCCCCAGGTTTCTGCCCCGGTTTGGCGGAAGTGCGAGGAAAACCGGAAGAAATTACCTCAAGTAAGTGCTGTGTTTACCCATTTCTGAACCTTAGTTGCCTTGGTACTGGTGGTATATATTCAGGTATTTGCATTCCCTAGCTAATTGACTTGGCCGTTCGACATCAAAGCGGGTGTTTTTTGGTCAAGTACTGGTAGCAAATTGTTGAAAGTGAAACACATTATGCCGGCCACTTACTCTCAGGAACTCAATGAGCGCGTACAACAGTCACTCGCTCGCCTAAAGAAGCGAGCACGCAATTGATGTCAATTTCGTTTCAGGAACACCAGCATCTTCAGCATGGGAAGGGCAGCGGACGACCGCAGCAGTCAGTCTTGGAGCAAATGAAGGGCGCAGCCGGGATGTACATGAAAGGTGGCTCGTCGTCGTCCCTCGCGATGAGTATACTGAAAGGCGGCGTTTTCCCGCCCCATCCTGGCGCGCTGAGCATGATGAAGGGCGGCGTCGCGCCATCGGCGCACCCACAGCTGCGCATCCCCGATCCGATGCTCTCGTGCCCGGCCGGTTCTCTGGGTGCCTTGATCGGCAGTCCGATGGAGGAGCAGTCCGCGCGAAGCAGCCCCTCCTTTCCGATCGGCTCGACTACCCCCAACCAGCAGCAGCCTTTCGGTACCAGTGTCCTAACCCCTGGGGGTTCTAGCGCGACTTCTCATCAAGGCTCTTATGGCCCTGCGACTTTTGGAGGTGCAACTAACAGAAACCGGAATCAACCCCGCGGCCACCCTTACGGCGCCCAGGCAGCTGGATCTGGGTCACACTTCTTTGACAACAGCATGAAAAATGGATATGGAGATATGCTGGAAGAAAACATCACACAACTTGGTGTCCTGCTACCTCTTACCTGAACCTGCCCCTTGGAGTTGGAGATGATGGCACCTCCACCTCCTGTGCTTTCGGCTTATAGACATGATTAAAAAACTAAAAGCCTTCGACGTTTTTCTGTGCATTCGTTCCATCTCTGTTCCGTTCACCAATCTCGTTAGACAGGAAAAAGCTCGAGTCGAAGGAGGTAGGACCACCTGGACAGCACCATCCATATGCCGTTGATTTGGTACAACGTGTACAAGGTTTTGTATGATTTTGAAAGTACTATAACAGGACAGCTTGTGTTCTGCTGCATAATCTCAGTCTCGTCTAGGGCGCAGATGACAGGAAACGGCAACTCGTCCGTTTCGCCGAAGGAGTATCTACACCTTCAGCACGGTATGGATTGTAAAAATGTCTGGGTCTGGAACATTGAAACTTGTGATGCTAACTTTGGACTCTAGAAAAATCTGTATTGCATGACCAGCAAGAGGAGTCTACTTTGTGCTACGCAGGGAGGGCGTTTGTCATGCGGAGTACGCATCAGGAAGCCCTCTCAAAATCTGTGATGCGCGGTCGTGCATTACAGACATCCTAGGTCATGCAAAACATGCATGACATATCTCAGAATCTTCCAGACCCAGACATTTTTACATTTGATACACGGGAACTGGGAACTGACGGGCGTCATGCCCAACTCGGCTGACGCTCGGAATCCGTTGGCCTTCAATCCGGACTGCGAGGGCTGTCTGAAAAACACCAACACCATGGGGCACGGGTTTCTCGCTTGTCCTGCATTTCCTGGAGACGATGTCTTCGTTCACAAAAAAGTAATGGAAAGGTACCACGCCAAAATGTTGATTTCTCATTACCAGTTTTGAAACTCCGCATCTTCAAGCGATTAAAAAGATATTTTGATTTCGTTTTCGTACCGTCGAAAATAATGAAGATATTTGAACGCGCAATTCATTTTCGTGAAGTAGAGCAACGGCATTTGTCGGATCCCAAAACCAGGTGCAATCTCTCCGTCGGAGATCGGGTCCGGTTCAATGTGCACGTTAGTGCTACGGGCACTGCGCGTATCCTAGTGGAAATAATGTCTTCCAGCGATAGCATTACCAGGGTGCATGTGATGTTGAAACAAATGCCTTCAGGAAAGAATCTGAAAAAGGCAGCAGGTTGCATAAAAAGAACCCAATATGGACGCACTCCTATCTATGCATCACAACCAGGGGGCAAAGAAAATCCTGAGTACGTCGCAAGTCCGGCTGATCTTTTACCTTGGATAGCGCAATGCTCGGCACCGGTGTGGGTGTACCGTGGGCCAGCGCCGATGATGTACTGAGTCATCTTCTAACACTATCACCGCCAATAAGTATTTCCCTCACGACTTCAGATGAACCAGAAACCTCGGCGTGGCGAGCGACGGTGAAACGCCATCAGTCGACTGCGCATCCATTTTTCCCCCCCGACTGCTGAGAATAGGCAAAACTTCGAGGAAGGTTACGGCACCGGAGGATTGCAGTAGTTTAGATGATTCTATCGGAGGCAAATGTGTCTGGGTCGCGAAGACTGCGTATTAATGTTTGTCAGGCATCTTCTGGAGCACGCAGCAGCTGGGCATGGGATGCCAAAAAAGCATTACAGGCTGTGAGCAGAAGGCTTCCTCATCATGTCTGCCCAGCATGCGAAAACGAAATTCGCTATTCGTGTAAGAAGAAGAGGGCAGGAGCTTTGTTAATTTGTATTTGGCCGACACGCAATACAATGATCTTCTTTGCGAATGCGATTGCGATTCAGTCAGACGAGTCAGCATGACATTCAAGGACCAGATATCTTTGCACTGGATAGATTCGACGCATGGGTTTGATCTCATCGACGAAACGTAAATCGAAAGAGAATAGTCGTGGAAGAAATGTTTCAATGAAACTATAGTAGCTGCTCTACACTCATCTAGTTTATGCTTGTCGTGAACGTAAATTTAATGAATTACGAATGTAATCATGACGTGAAAAACAGTAAAGAACAGTATATGGCAACGCCGCGGCTGCGGTTGTAATCTATGATGTACAAACGTACAATGAATAGTGCTATGCGTGATTTTTCGCCGGATTTTTGTGACTAGATTATCGCCCCCCAGCAGTTGGAAGATGAATTTTTAAAAGCCCAATATCTAATGACAACAGTGCAACTGTATTCTACTCCAGCAATTTTAGCAATTTGGTACTAGTATCCAAAAGGACGAAAAATGCTGATGAACACAACATCGATCTCTTTGTTGTGGCCCATGCGAATGCGTGCCATGAAGCTACGTCGACGGATCACAAAGTACAAAAAGAAAGTAAATGCAAAATCAATAGCAAAACTAGGTATGGTAAACAAAAACAACATAATCGTTTCTTCAGTTCACCTGCGAGGGTCTACTTCTAGCGTTTGTGAGAGCAGTGGAATTTTTGAAGCGGTAAAGGCAAAGCATTTGTTTCTTCGGGCTGATGGACTATACAGATGCATAATTTCCTGCGGTTTTCTAAGCTCGCAGATGCGGCACAACTACTGAAAAATCAGAAGCATCGAAAGTGCAGTACAGAAGCAACTAGCAAGGAAGGTAGTAGAAAATCGCTGCTGGTGCCCGCCGAAAAAACAGCTCGACCCAGTTGGCACAGCAATGCTTTTTCCTTCCCGCCCGTACCAGATTTGCGAAAGTGCCCATAGACGTTATACTTAGTTGGATGCAAGGGCAGTACAGCCTTGCAGCTGGTGCTCGGTGATGCCTTTTATCCACGGAGCCAACATCTACGGATTGCAAATCAAGCGTGACTGGCGGATTTCAATCCGTTGGCAGGGCTCCCGCTGTTTTTTTTCCACTACGCATACCTAAAACAAACTAGGAGTATATGATAGATTTCCGCAGTAAATGATCACAGTCCCCGGGTTTCTCCACGAGTCGTGCACAGAACAAGTAATACAAGTACCTATCGCAGCTATAATCGCGGTACGAGGTCAGGTGTGTGGTGTCCGCCTCCGCGCACGTAGCCCTTTACTGGAAAAATCTTCGCATGAAGACCCACTGCATGAATATGCATAAATAATTAGTTGATTTTCATCGTTATTAATCTTCGATGCGACGTTGCGCGTCATGCAGCTCTAGTTTAAGACGATTGTCCTCATGCAGTACACGCCCCCTTGTTTCAAAAACGAAATGGACAACGAGGAACATCATAATTACAACATACTACAGCACATCAATCACAATCTGGACAATGTCCGGCATCTTTCCAGCAAGCTAATAAAGCATGACTGGTGCTAAAGCTTGCCTGGTGTCATCCTTGCTGCTCTCGGCCTGCAACTTGTCGAGTGCAGAAAATCCTCATGTTTTGTTCTGGAACGAGCAGTCATGATCTCACGCCACGTTTTTCCTTGTGATTTTTTGCATAAGAACCGCAGTCGACGTCGATCGATCCATCTTTTCGATCTGAACCTCCATTGCATTTTTTCAAAAATTCGGATTTTTTACAGTTTTCAGTTCGAGTTTCTTGGAAGGGCTTTTTATACGAGCTAGAGCCACGACCGCTTTTTGTATATATTTATGCATCTACTTCAAAGATGAAGAACATGATGGGGAGCTGCATGTTTTCGTCTGCAGTAGTTGTTCTTGCGATTGCCAATGTAGGAGCCGCTGCTGAGTCTCTCTGGCCCGTTGACGAATCGCAAAATCCGATTCCGCTTCCATCGCCTCTGTCGACGGTGGGATGCGAATGGCGGAACGTGACGGTGCCAGGAGTGTCTCCTCCAGGACGAGTGATGTCCACCGCCGCCTCCACTACCGAGGGACTTTTACACGGTAGGACGTCTACCGTCGAACACTACGCAATCGCTGATGGGTGGTACTCCTCCACGGGCAAAAACGTATCGGAACTTCGAAAACCGTTGCGCAAGGGCGACCTGGTACCGACGGGCGTGACCGCGTACGTAGCGATACTCTGCGGCACGACGGAGGAGGACCAAAACGAGGCTTTGGACGACGGGGAGGTGTTTTCCACCTCGTCTAGTATCCCTCTAGCTATGCTGCAGGAGCACGTCGAGTCTTCAGGCGATGATTGGGGCAAAGGCGATGCCTGGTGCGGGCCGGGTCGCGTAGAGGACCGGGCGTGCGTGTACGAGAATCTGTGGCACGTGCCACCGGCGCTCTCATTTTCGGCGGGGGCCAGGGTACTGGGAATATCGTCCACATCAAACATGGAGGAGAAGGATCAGGAAGCCGAAGCACGCTCTATTACCACCTCTTCCCTCCGGGACTGGGTGCTGCTTGACAACGTCAAAGAACTCAAACGCGAGGATTTATCTGCCAAGGACAAAAACAAAGAGAAGGTTGACGACAACGACGACGTGCTGATGTCGACGACACTTTTTGCCAGTGAGACGAATTCGCACGCTCAGTGGGCGGGTCGATGGACTGTGCGACCACAAAGAATCGCAGAGAAGAGCGTGCTGAAAGAAGTCGTTGCCGGTTTTTCTTTGCCGCCGCTTGTGGTGCGCGACGAAGTTCTTTTGGTTTCGCGGAGCGACGCAAGCGGGTCGGCCCACTTTCTGTACGATACGGTAGTCCCGGCGGTCGCGGCCGGTGCTGGAGCGGCGTCGTTGCACGACACCTCTGCGAGTTCAGCAGGACAAGCGGAAGGACCTCCTGCAGCAGGAGAAGTAGACTCTTCCACTTCTCGCAGTGTTCTTACGGAGGTCAGCAACACCAGGGGGCCGAAGGTCGTGTTTGTCGACGATTGCAGCCTGACGGGGCGGGGCCCTACCATCGAGTTCCGCCAGCAGAACGCCCCGGCGCCGGCGACATCTGGGGAAACTTGGTTCGCGAACAGCCTGTATGCTAGCAAATATGTCTGGGTCTGAAGGAATGCGAGTCTGTCGTGCTTTTCTCACATGGCTCTTGAATTTGTCATGCACATTACCCAAGAGCCCCATTTTTCTGTCATGCAGAAACGGAGTTTGTCATGCAGAATAGGCAAGAACACCTAGAAGCTCAGAAACTTGTCATGCTGCGCCAGCATTATTTGTGGCCTCCTCATGATACGCCACCCAGCTTCACAAGTTTCCAGACCCAGACACTTTTGCATTTGATAGCCTGCGCAGTTATCCGGCCACCTGCGCGATCATCACAAGACAATGGAGCGACGCCGTGTTCGGGGAGGGTCAATGGACCTCTTTATCAGCGTTGACGCAAAACCACAGGCGCGCGGTGCTGTTCCGCCGAGCGGCGTCGGGCGGCATGCAGGTTTTCTCGCCGTGGCAGAAAGACCATCCCTATCGGCGGCCGGGGCTGATGCGACCACTGTTCGCACAGATCCAGGAAAGGCTGGCGGCTTTCGCGGCGGGGGATCGTCGTGTGGGGCTCGGAGAAAATAAAGGGAAGTGCGAAAAGAACGAAGTGCAACCTCTTGGGGAAAAACGTGAAGTTGATGCTGAAAATAACTGTGCGAAAGATCACAAAAGTCAAGAGCTCTATAAAGACCAGGTGGCGAAGAAGAAGAAGTACTATGTGACAATCGCCGTCAAGAAATCCTCCGGGCGACGGACGATCTCAAACCGCGATGCAGTCGTGGCCGCCGTGCGGGAATTGGTGCGACAAATTGCGGCAGAAGTAGATTCTCCTCTTTCACCATCCGCACAAGAACTGGAGGTGGTCGAACTAGACGTCAGCACGCCGACGCATTTGAAACACCAGCTGCATAAAGAGGAACAACCACTTGCAGTTAGTGCTGCAGCTGTTTTGAAACAGGATATCCAGATTCTGCAAAAAACGAAGCTTTTGATCGCGAACGCGGGAACGCTTCAGGACGTTTACGCGTTCTTGCTACCCGAAAAAACGGCCCTCTACGTCCTTCCCATGTGTGTCGGCGTGCGGCAAGGGTGCGTCAGCGAGACCTTCTTCTTCGCGGGTTTGAGTCCGACAATCGCGCGGCGAGAACACTTTGTGGATGTGCAGGAGCTTTTGCAGAAAGCGATGGAGCGAGAGGATCATATAGCTAAAACCTTGCAGCAGGTCGAGAGCACCAGCCGCGAAGGCGCGGACATAGTAGACGAGGATGAAGCTGCTGCGTGGATGTTTTATCCCACGCTTTCGGAGATGCTGTCGACAGCAGGATTCAACTTCCCGGTGGATGTGCCAAAGCTGGTGAATGACGTGCGCGACCTGTTAGTCACAACACTGAGCAAGAGGACTACATCGAGTGGCCTTGTTCCCTCCTCCGACTCTGCAGCGAAGACGCAATCCTGGGCTGCCGACTTCCTAGACGATCCCTTTATCCGATTGAGCACATGACATCGAGTTCGCCCATGGAGGACAGGAGAAGAAAATGGTCAAGTTCTTTGGCCAAATTCTATCTGTCACTTCTGTATCTTCATGAACTAAAACAACTACTGCCACATGTATGATGGAAGGAAATAAACTACTTACAAACAACAGACTGTAGGAAGATCATCACAAACCAGCTATCGCAATCCAGAAAGAAAAACTGCGAAGTTTAAATTTTTATTGATGTGAGCCTGTTGTGTTTCATTCAACAAAGGTTCTCCGCATACAACGACAAGGTTTTTATGTATTAAGGATTGATCACATTTTCCGTTATTTTTCTCTTTTTCAGGAGATCCACTGCAAAAAAAGAAGAACTTTTCCGCTGGTGATCACATGATTGAAAGAATCGAATCGTCCGTGTTTGCCCCGGCATTTTGATGAGGACGTTAACATTTAGCACCATCCCACCCGACTTCTGAAAATAAGCAGGACACCAGCGACTCATGATTTGTGACTACACGCAAGCCCGTCTGTTTTATCGCTCAACAGTTTTTGTTTTTGGCGTGAACCACTTGTATTGGCCGTATTCATCTGCATCCTAGTCGTTGTTCCAAAATCATAATTATGGTTCGCTTCGCCGTCGAGGGGTGCGTTCATGGGGAACTGGACCAGATATATGAGACCATCCAGGAGCTCGAACACCAGTTGGGCGACAAAATCGACGCCCTCCTCTGTTGTGGCGACTTCCAGTCCGTGCGAAATGAAGACGACCTCAATAATCTTGCCTGCCCGCCCAAGTACCGGCAAATGCACGACTTTTCGGCGTATTGGAAAGGCGAGAAGAAGGCCCCACTATTGACCATCTTCGTATTCATTCACATTTTGAACAAAGAATTTCGTCTTTCTGTTCATATTCATTACTGAATAAGTACGAATTTCATTGTCCCGCGCATCTTTTCATTCTTCACATCCTTTCGATATTACCACAAAGTACCTAGATGTGGGTGGATCGACAAATAAACTATGAATAATCACCAACCAGATCGGTGGCAACCACGAGGCGTCAAATTTTCTACTTGATTTATACTACGGGGGATGGGTGGCGGAGAACATCTACTACCTGGGCGTTGCAGGCGTGATCGACGTGAAGGGGGTCCGCATCGCGGGTCTTTCCGGGATCTGGAACCGGCACCACGTGCTCATGGGCCACCACGAACGCATGGCGGTCGACCGGTCCGGCAAGGTGGTGCTGGATGACAGCACCATGCGGTCGGCCTACCACATCCGCACCTTTGAGTGCGAGAAGCTGAAGCTGCTGCCCCAGCTGCCCAACCCGAAGCGGGTGGACGTGTTCCTCAGTCACGACTGGCCGCGGGACATCTGGAAGAGCGGCGACGTGCACGCGCTGTGGAAGCGGAAGGACAAGACGGGGCAGATGCGGCACGACATGACGGCGGGCACCTTCGGCAATCCTTTGTCTCAGGAGGTGCTGGACGTCGTCAAGCCCCGCTTCTGGTTCGCCGCGCATCACCACGTCAAGTTTCCCGCCCTGGTCAAGCACGACGATGGAACCTGCACCCGCTTCCTGGGTCTCGACAAGTGCCTCCCCGGCCGCGACTTTTTGCAGCTGCTCGAGGTCACGCCCGAACACGAGCTCAATGCAGCAAAGCAGGCGGCGGAAGAAGATCGACAGGTCGTGGAGAAGACACAGCAGCCAGGTGCTGGCGACGAGCGCGATATTAAAGCGGCGGAAGTGGAGGACCAAGCAGGGCCTCCGGAAGCCCGCGGCCTCCAAAATGAAAACGAAAATAACGGCGGTACTCATCTTCACAATATGACGGACGCCAGGGGAGCGTCTCTGGACTCGGTTGCACTCATGAGGCGCAATATCCTGATTAAAAACGTCCCCACACCAGAGTCAAGATGGGAAACCTGCTAGACAAATCAGCCAGTCTTGGTTGTCTGGCATGACAAGTTTATCCTCGTAGTGTAATGCTGTTTAGCTAGTTCAGAAGCATCACAGATCTAGCATGGCATGCTGATTTTAGCATCACAAATTCCAAAACACGAATGGAAAATGCTTCTCATAGGGCTCCGCGTGAGAAACTTTTTTGGCATGCAGAATTGCATGACAACTCTGGTGTGGGTACGTTTTTACTCAGGATACGCAAATTTTTCTCCTCATCGGGCTCCACCTCAAGCTATCCCACGAAAAAAGTGTTACAGTTACACATTTGTAGTCGATTCAGCAACACAAATTTCTCTGCATGAGAGAGAAAACTTGTAATGCAGAAATCCTACGGGAAAACACCTATGAAACGAGGCTCCTATGCATATCCGCCATGACAGAGCTTGTCTGTCTTGCTTGGCCTGCAACACAATGTGTAACTGTAACACTTTTTTCTCACGATGCGAGCGCTGTCGGCTTTATTGGGGGCACCGTCGGTTCGAGCAGCAGCTCCTGGTGTGCGCCGGTAGAGCAGGGCGCAGTACTATCTTCGCAAGAAGTAGACCAGAGAACTGAAAATAATGACGAGAGGAACATGAAAAGTCCCTACCTGTACCCTTGCTACGTTCCAGAGTGGCTCGCGATTCAGCGTATGAACATCGAGAAAACGGTATCCTGAGTAAAAACGTACCCACACCAGAGTTGTAATGCAAATCTGCATGCTGAAAATGTTTCTCTTGCGGAGCTCCATGAGAAGCATTTTCTAGTCATGTTTTGCAATTTGTCATGCTCCAGTCAGCATGGTATGCTAGATCTGTGATGCTGCTGAGCTAGCTCAAACAGCACTACACTACGAATCCAAATTTGTCATGCAAAACAGCCAAAACTTGTGGATTTGTCTAGCCGATTCCCCATCTTGACTCTGGTGTGGGTACGTTTTTACTCAGGATAAACGGACCGCGGTAACCACAATAGGCCTGTGCCTCCCCTGACGCTACCCACCGCAGTAGAGATCGAGACCATGAACAAACGCATTCACGTATCCTGAGTAAAAACGTACCCACACCAGAGTCAGGATGAGGATTTTGCAACACAAACCTAGGAGTTTTGTGAGTCACGCATGACAAGTTGCACTATGCAGTGTAGTGCAGGTTAGCAAGTGCAGCCGCGTCACAGATTCACCTGCTCATCCCGTTCACAGCATCACAAATTCCAAAACACGATTCGAAATAGCTCTCATGGGGATGCGCATTACAAGTCTTCCTGTCTTTGCAAATCTGCATTACAACTCTGGTGTGGGTACGTTTTTACTCAGGATATCACGACGCTTGTCGAAAAGGAGATGATAAAGCCATGTCGAGCCCTCGTCAACACATCAGCACCAGCAGCGACCGACACGACGACGACGACGACGAGGACGACGCCGACGCGCGCCGCATCTGGTTTGACCAAAGTAACGTGCTGAACCTGGATTATGGAAACTTGCAGCGAAGGGAAATCAGCGACATAATGAACGTGTCAGACATTTGGGACGTGCTCCGCCAGCCACGCCGCCTCGAGGATTCATCGAGCGCGAACATCAGTGAGAACCAGAACATAGCTGGCCTTGCCAGTGCTGCTGCTCCGGCGAAGGCCGCTGCAGCAGATTTATCTACCCCCGGCACCAACCCTGTCGGCGCAGCCGGCGATCTGCTCCCACGACCCGCGACAGGAGGAGGTGGCGGTGATGAAGACATTGAGTTAGCTTCTCTAGATGACGAAGATGACGACGACGCAGGAGCCTCCTCCGATGCTGTAGCTGCAGCTTATTCAGTGCAAAAGTATCGCTTTAGTACTTGTTCTGATTGCAACGGAAATGATTTTCTCAGAAGGGAAAGGCAAAACGGAACTCATCCTGCAGAATCAGGTACTCACGAAGAAACGCCTTGCATGCACGATTGCAATCAGTACGAGGGCGATACTTTTGCAGAGCATACAGTTGGTCCGCCAGCAAAAGTGACCAGGACATCATGATCGTCACGATCGTTCGAAAAGTTCACTTCATGTCTGGCTGAATCCAAATCCCCTTGTATCATTTTCGCAATTGTGTCTGTTTTACATGGTTCATTTTCTCGAAGAAGTGTCACTTCTAGGGTCGGAACACAGACTCCACCAGGTCCACCCCGCCGCCTCTTTGAGATTGTGAAGTATGAACGTGATAAATCACAGTGTTCCCTCGTCGTATGTCCGTTATCTAGGCTTAGAAAAAAGGCACACTCGCCGATAAGGACAAAATGTTTATAACGTTAAGGTTACGCAGCTTCCAATCTACATCTACTATGATGTAGCTTCGGTCTTAATTTCTCAGGTTCTTACTCTCTAGTCTACTCAAATTTCCCAAAATAATGTTGGCATTGGCAGTAACCTCAGTTCCCAGCACTGAAGTCCATTTTATACGCCTAAAAAAGATGTTTACAGGAGTGAAACGCATACGCAAAATCAAAGAACACAAAAAGTGATCTAATCTCACGACGGCACCTCCAAAAGTTTACTTGCAGCAGCGTCGCGCGTAAACGACCCCTGCCAAGAGGACTTTTCGCAGCAGCAAGCTGCAGTATCGCAAGGTACTTAATCGTACCAACAAAAACGCTGCTGCAAAATCTAAATCACATGCGGGGGTCAGATAAAAAGAAAAGTCCATATCACGACCATGAGACGTAGCAAGAGTAGTAAAAGCCCTGCACAGCCCACAAGTACGCGAAGTAGAAGTGTAGTACAACCTTGCGTCAAGACAGCGACGAAGAAAAAGCAGCTCAGTTTCAGTTCGCAGACACGTGACCAAACTGTAGATCGTGCGCGACTTCTTCCCACGACGACAAATAAGATGGCATCCACGTCATCCAGCACAACTGCCGTGGCCGGGGCGTCCCCGCACCGCGCAAAGATTGATATAGGACCCAGTCTGTTGGCGTGCGACTTGGCCAATCTAGGTGCGGAGGCACGTATGGTGTTGGAAGCGGGGGCGGACTCGCTGCACGTGGATGTTATGGACGGGAACTTTGTGCCCAACATATCCTGGGGAATGCCCGTCATCTCCTGCCTCCACAAAGCCGTCCCGGAGGCGTTTCTGGATGTACACTTGATGGTGTCCCACCCGGCGCAGTGGATCGAACCTATGAAACAAGCCGGCGCCAACCGGTACACGTTCCACGTCGAGACCCAGACCGAAACCGGCGAAACGGCCCGGATAATAGAAACCATCAAGAAGAACGGCATGCTGCCGGGCATTGCGCTAAAACCGGGCACCCCGGTCACGGACGACATTCTCAAGCTCGCGGAAATGGTCGACCTAACGCTGGTATCAACTGCAAAAATGTCTGGGTCTGGAAGATTGCCAGGGTTGTCATGCATATTTTGAATTACCCATGATGTCTGTGATGCATGCCCTAGCATCGCAGATTTCTAGAGGACTTTGCGCTGCCTCTACCGCGTGAGAAATGCCCTCTCCGCGTAGCACAAACTGGAGGCCTCTTGCTGGTGATGCAACACAAATTTTTTTAGAATCCAGAGACAGCATTACAAGTTTAGTATCTTCCAGACCCAGACATATTTGCAATGCATAGCTGGTCATGACAGTCGAGCCCGGATTTGGCGGCCAGAAGTTCATGGCGGACATGATGCCCAAAGTAAGTAATGTTGCTGACTTAAATAATATGTACGCTGAAGTTTTCTCAATTTTGACTTGTTCGACGAAATTTTTCTGAAGGTGGTTGTCTTTGTCAGTCACCGAGAAAAATAGCGACTACCGGAAGATCCGGACAGCTGCTGAGAAATTACGGCAATCTACTTTCACCAGGTTGCTAAGCTCCGGGCACATTTGGGTCCCGAAGCGAACATTCAAGTCGACGGAGGACTCGGGCCGGTGACGATTGACGAAGCTGCAAAGGCGGGCGCAAACTGCATCGTCGCCGGTAGTGCGGTATTCAAAAAAAAACCGCCACCCGCAGAAACTATTGGAGTGCTCCGGACCTCTGTGCAAAAACACGGGCATGGCAATATGACCCATTGACGTTCTGCTGGGCGTTTTTGTTTTTCTGGCCGCCTCTGCAAATTATCTCGCAGATGTCTGCATATCTGTACGGTGGCCAAACCTGCGAAAGAACTCGAGAACAACTCTTGCACTAAACAAATTTACCCAAGAACATCAACCAACGACATGTATGATTACGCAGCGTACAACTGGACCTGGCACCAGGCCGCGATGCTGTCGCGAACCGTCTAGACCCAAGTAGACGCAGTCGCGGGAAACGTCGCTCTGCTGGCGCCATCCATGAGGTGTTGGCCCTCGCGTGTCTGTTGTGTAAGCGAGCTGCGTTCGTTGTTCTGACAGATTGAAACTCCAGCTGGTCCATTCCAGCGTTCTTTTCCTGGCGGCTGATGTTGCTAATCTTCATCTTCTATCTTTTCTTCTGGTCTGAGATCATGATTATTTGTGGTGGATTTATTGATGCAGCACCGCGGCGACCAGCCCTGTAGTTGTTCCTCTTCAATAATGCTTGGCGGATAGTACCAATACAGAGCTTGAGCTAGTGACTTCCACCCGACACTATAGTGAAATCGACTAAAAATGGTAAGCCCTGGTGAAGGACCTGCGTCCCCTTTTAACGGCCTCTTCGAAAACGTAGCCGGGGGTCCCCGCGTTGAGCCCGAGACAGCAGATGACGACGCTGTTTCCTCCGTGTATACCTGGAATTCCGACGACGAGCCGCCCAGCGAACGGAAGGGCGAAAAGTTTCCATGTTCGTACGACAAGCTGGTCACTCGTACGGTCTTGCAGGAGGCCGGCCGCTTGCAGAGCCAGGAGCGACCGGGGGGCAAAGACCGCGTCCTGCTGGACTATAACCACGACCTGGAATGGTTCTCGCTGGGCGAAAACCAGCTTCCGTGCGGTATCGAGTGCGCGGTGCGGAAGATGCGGCGCGGGGAGGTTTGTCTGGTCGAGTACCCGCGGGCGGGAGGCTACTCAGAGCTCCAGTCCCCACAGTTCTTCGATGACCACCGGAAAAAATTCCGACCGGGCTACATTGGTCCGGCCAAAACCTGCGAGAGTACTATCACGACCAGCGAACATGACCAAGGAGCTTCTCGCGGAGTAGTCTCTGCGCACGAAGTAGCACCCGGGCAAGACCCAGGAGCGATGGATGTTGAACAAGTAGGGGACGAGGACTACGTTCGCAGCGAGGTATCGCTCGTGGACTTCTTTCACGTGGAAACATTCCACACCCAGGTCGTGCTTGATCCACAGCCGCGTTCTGAAGATAACATTCATGCAGCTGCGGACGAGGAAAACAACTTATTTTCACGGGAGCCCGAAGCGGTGGAAGCGCAAGAAATAGAGATTCGCAAAGAAGTCACGCAAAAAGGCCAGAAATTGGCGAAGAAACCGCGTGAAGGCGACGCGGTTTGGTTTGAAGCCTTCACAAACGAGAACGACGAGAAGAACGAAGACACAATAAAGGGAGCAAGAACTACTCCGCTTTTCGAGTTTCCTGAAGTTAATATACCTCCTGCAAGCGGCGTGGATCCAGCTGCAGGTAGCAGCTGTACATCTAGTGCGAGGTATTGCCCTCGTGTGCAAGATCCCCGCCTGTTGCTCGCGCTCGCCAATCTACGGGCTACTCTAACGAAGTTTCTCGAGCCGCCAACAGCACCAGCAGCTGCCCTTGATTCCTTCGAAAAAAAAGGGAATGCATCGTCGCTACTTTGCGCCGAAGCCGTTTTCGCAGCGCTCAAGTCCATGCGACCTGGGGAGACGGCGAAAATTCAGGTCACTCCCCTAGCCAGGAACAAGCAGGTACCAATAAATGGCAGAAGCATGATTCGAGCCAGTGCCAGAGGAGGAGGGCCCAACGACAACGAACACCACATTATTTGCGTCTTCTACTTGCACCTGAAAAAGTTTCGACGATATGAGGTTTTACCACTGTTTCCGCAGATACTAAAAGCAACTCCGTGCTGTCACAGTGACTTTTTGGATTCGTTGAAAGTGGACATTTTGAAGACCGAGCTACGGTCTACCCCGACCCAATTTCAATCGTCCGTTGCCGAAGAGGGAGGACTCGTTCTCATTGCCATTGCGCCAGTCACGCCATCCGGCGCCAACCCCAGAGGGCGCGTCCTCAGACTGCGGCTCGGGAACGGGGTGCTACCAGAGTGGCTTGAACAAACCGCAGTCCCGAGTATGGCGCTCTTCGAAGACTGTTTATTCCAGAATTGTGTCAAAAAAGACACCCGCGCTTCTTTGGCCTCCACCGCGATGCCGAATTGCTCACTTACACGTGCAGCTGCTAGTAACGGCGATCACAATCCTAATCCGATGCACTCCATTCCGCAGACGTCGAAAATATTAGCTCAAGAAAATTCCACCAGCGAGGCATGTGCAGCTGTCGGCATCGCACCGCCGGTCTCGGGCGGCGAGCTCTCGTCCGCACTTCCGACCCTGTTAGCAGCGACTTCCTTTGCCAGCGCGGAAGTGCCGCCGGCTTGCACAACTGTGGACGCATGCGCAGAGAACGCCGCATCTAGCGATTCCGATCCCGCCCGACACGAAAGCGAGAAAGACCCAGAGCGCGACAGGGTGTCGGTGCATAACGTCCTTACGGCATTTGAAAGCGTGGAAGAGGTCTGCAAGGCATGCGAAAAAGCGCGAAGGGAATTGAAAGGAGGGGATAGTACGGATGTCGAACTAACAACAAAAATATGCTTCTCAGATGAAGGCGAACAGGCCGCCGCGGGTTTGGAGGAAAAGTCAGGCGGAGTAGATCCAGATTCTTTACTGCTTAGCCCGTTGTACGACTTGACCGAATGTTTTCGAGGATGGGTGAGTGGCCCCACAAACCAGCATGTGCCACGGTTCTGGGCCCACGCACTCGGCGTTTCAGCGCAGCAGCACAATGATCAGCGCGATCTTCATCCCGAGGAAGGGTCCTCTACCTCCGCCTCTGCGCCGCACCTCCTGCCCTTCCGTCCGCCGAGCGGCGCGACTTCCTGGGCACGCCTCGGCACCGTCTCGTCTGCGGACGCTCGAATGAGAAGCTGTCCCGAGATGGAGATCACAGGACCGGGACGAGTAGACCAGGCTTCTCCACTGGACAAGGTTATCAAGGATCGTAAAGACTCAAGTTGTACAGGTGAAACTTCTGCAGCTGCTGAGCCGGTGAGTTGGCGGGATTTGTTTCCGGAACACCAGGAACGACAGCACCTCGGCGGCAGTGGTGGCTTTCGTGTGTGGCTCTTGGGCGTGGTTCCAGCCCCGGACCTGTGGGAGCTGTCGGAAGCCCAGCGGCTCTTGGTTGCGCAGCGCTATCGCTGGGTGGGCAATCAATTCGCACAGAAGAAGTTTTTCGCACTCGCGGCCGCAAAGTACGAGGAAGCCATTTACACGATTCGTGTCGATTGTGGGGTCCTCTTCTCCTCGCCTGGGGCCGGCGCAACAGCGAGTCAGCAGCACGGCGCCACGGCCACGCAGCACCAGATTGTCGGAAAATCAAAGTACCCAACGGTGGAGTCCCTGCCGGCCATCTATCGTCACCTATTCGTAAGTTTGCACAACAACCTCGCCCTCCAGTACTATCAACAGGGAAAACTTGCCCCGTGTCGAGCGGTCTGTGACTCTGTCCTGCGGGTGGACCCGACCAACCTGAAGGCCCTGGCGCGCAAACTGCAAAGTGCCGAAACCATCGGTTTCAAGGAAGAGGCTCTGGAGAAGCTGCAGGCGGCACTACTGTGTCGTCAGAGGGACGAGAAGGCCTGTTCTGCTGAGGAAGCTACAACGGGGAAAGAAAGCAGGAGCACCGCGTGGGTCGATATCAACACAAAAATGTCTGGGTCTGGAAGAGTGTAAACTTGTCGTGCGGATTTTGCATGACCCGTGAGTTCTGGAATGCGGGACTTCGCATGACAGACTCTGCGAGATCTCCGCCATGCCTATCCTGCATGAGAAACTCTCTCCCGACTTGGTCGAAAGTGGACAGCTTTTGGCACTCATGCAACACAGATTTTTGTATGCTTCAGATTTACCATGACGAGTTACCATCTTCCAGACCCAGACATATTTACAATTCATAGTCGAGAAGGTGATCCAGGACGCGCAGAGGTGGATCGAGGTAGAAGACCAGAGGGAAGCAGCATATCAAGTGCAAAAATGTCTGGGTCTGGAAACTTGTAATGCTGTGTTGGGAATAGTGAATGCTCTGTAATGCACAGCCAAGCATGAGAAATCTCTGCGCTTCTTTGTGTTGCGTTTTTCGCATGAGAAGCTGCGTTTTTGCATGACAGGCAAACGGGTCTCTTCTTGGACACGCATCACAAACTTTTTGGTCATGCCAGACAAGCATGACAAATCTCGCAATCTTCCAGACCCAGACACTTTTGCATTTGATGCAGCATTGTTCCGATCGATGTTTGCGAATAAGAATAAGCGACAAAGAAACCCTCCACCTGGAAAAACCAAACAAACGACTGAACAATAATCGCAGGGGTTGTAATTGTAAATGTAACCCGGCGCTACGCCGCATGAAAAGGGAAACATCCTCGTCCATAGATGGTAAAAGTGATCACCGTAAGAAGCAGTACTGTGATTTATTGGAAACCGTGTAGATGCATCTTTATTGACTTTGGGCGGAAAATGAAACACTTCGGGTCTTGACGAGTGTTGCTCGTATCTGCTTCTCCGTCGACCTCGGTGCACTGCACGTCGCAACGCTGTTGATTGTTCTCAATCACAGTTCGAATTCAATTTGAATGCATTTACGAGCGACTAAGGTGCCGTAGCGCTCTACGCCGTACGCAGTGGCGAAAAGAACTGGAGCGCGTGAAAGATCCACCGACATTTCTATGACCACCACTGTGTCGCTATTCGGCTGATCTTTTCGGTAGTTTTCCGGCAGGTCAAGGCTGCTCCTGCTTTCTGAGCGGGACTCCACATGCAGAAGACACCATACATGATGAAGGAGGAGGATAGATGTTGCTGGGTTTCGCCTTTTTTTCGTGATCTTCATTTTCGATGGCTGCTCTTGGTACGCATGACAATTCTTGATGAAAACTAAAACTTGCCACCGAGTAGCCTCCATTTGGCTCACGGAAAACAACTTAGCCACGGGTGGTCGCCGCACATCAGTTCGCCAGTTTTCATCCTGGTAGCGCGTCAGGCCGAAAATGTTTTCTCTATGTGTGCGTTCGTTCAGTATCAGTTGTCCCACGACGTGGCTGTTACTCGTTTTTTTTTCTTTCTTTTTGTCCTCACCTCCGGAACCAGTTGTATCTGCTGAGATCACCACGACCGAAGAAAACTGGGACCACGCGAATGCTGACCCGTTCCTGCGGGCGGGGCCTGCTGTTCCAGGGCGCCTCTTCGCTACCAGCGACGAGCAGGAGTACGTGGACGCGCTCCGGCAAAAGGAGGAGCGAAAGGACCCCCGGTTCTTGCTGCTCGATATAAGGTATTTGAGGGAGCTGCTGCGGAACGCCGTGGAGTACCAGGGGCGCCAGCTTTTCTCGTCGTCTGCAACGGCAGGCGCCGTGGACAGAATCGCGGAACAAGTGTTGGATCCGGTGTGGCGTATTTGGGAACTGAAGGAGGAAGGGGCCCCGCTCAGAGCGGCCGGAAGTCTGCTGATGCAGAAGTTGATCGGGCTGCGCGATGTTTCTGACGAACGCACGCTTGAAGTGCACCAGGATCTTCGCGCCACTCTGATGGCTGCCGCGAACGAGTTGCTTCAGGAGATGGTCCGCGTCGTCGACCAATCTGCAGCTGTAGCCGATCATCTTGCAGAGCCAGCTGCGAGTGGTCGAGCTGCGGGGGCTGGTGCAGCTGCTTCTACGGAGTTGCGAGAAGGACCTTTGCAAGAAGAGGAGCAGGGGAGACAGCAGCACAGCCTCCATCTTCAGCACAACCTGGAAGCTAACCGTCGCGACCGCGAGTTGTGTATTACTCCAGCAGGTCTTGCGAAAAAGGAATGCGAAATGTTAGATCAACAAAGTCTAAGTCGCGGGCAGGACGATGCTGCAATTATCGATCAGCTGGCGTCTCCTGTTTTACATCAGTTTATGCGCGAACTCCTCACGCGCATAGAGCAGGGTAACATGGAGTCACTGGCAGTCATAATCCTGCAAGGGTTTCTAACCTGCGCTGTCTCATTGAGCACCGAGCAGAAAAATCTAGGTGACCAGCACACAGCTGCGGGCGACGGAGCTTGGTTTTTTGAGATATCCCGAGGAAAGATCGTTGCTGCGAATATCGGAGTCGAAGAGTGTGCCAGCATAGCGGTGCAGTATTATTTCTTTTACGAATATCCAACACAAAAAATCTGGAAGTGTAACTTTGAAGGATGAGGAGCTGCATCACAAAAAATTCGCTTTGCATTACGATTACATTTACAGAAAAACCCTTTCATCATGCGCAGCTAACTCTTATGTGAGAACACGACGCGCGAAGCTAGCCTGTAACGCACAACCAGCTGAATGGCAAGCGTGACTGTCTTGCATCTTCCGCAACTACACGACGAACTTACGTACGGACACGACAGTTTTTTTCTTGCAGAAAGCGGTGGGAACGTGGTTCCGAACTGCCGTGCTGAACGCGGAAGTGGGGCTGTTCCGGGCCTTCGTGGTGCCACAAAAGCAAGCGCAGAGAGAGTACCACGCCCTCCGCCACCGGGCAGGGGCGTACAGCACTCACCCGCACATTTTCCACGACGCAGCGCAAGCGCCCCTCGACCGGCGTCTGCTCCTCGCGTGGTTGCTGGCGCGCCTGCGAGCGAAGAAAGTTGGAAGCGGAAATGAAGAAAAAAATGGGCAGGGGAACAATCTGCTATATGTGGCAGAGATCGGGGTTTTTAACGCACGCACGACGGAGTTTCTTCTGCGCCACTGCCAGCCGATCCATGTTTTCGCGGTGGACCCGTTCCTCGAAGGTATGTCGACCCGCTATGTGGAGAGCGAACCTGACATGCGGGAACACCTGAAAACGAAAAGCGGCGAGGCCCGGACGCGAAACATTCTGTCCGCCGTTCCGGGTGCGCAAGAGGTACAGCTCGCAGAGTTTGCGGCCGGATTTCCAGAAGAAAAAATGGACCACTACGAGCACGGGCACGGCGAACGACGAGAGCAAGAAGCGCATTCCCCCTCCACCACGACCTCGCACATTGCAACCAGCAGCATCGCGCGCTTTACAATTCTTCCGCACCCGAGCGTGGAAGCAGCGAGGCGGCTACGCTTGGCTGCGAGAGACCGCCGGGGCCGCAGTAGAAGAAGTAGAGGTGGAGAGACGAATGCGAACTCTGCTCGGGACGAAGAACCCAGTGACCGCCCGCGCGGCGATGCTTTTCTAGACTTGGTGTTCATCGATGGGGACCATACCTATGGAGTATCAAATGTAAAAATGTCTGGGTCTGGAAAAGTGTAGACTTGTCATGCAGATGTTCCATGACCCATGACATGAGGTCTGGAATGCGGGACTTAGCATGACAGACTCTGCGAGGTCTCTGCCATGCCTATCCTGCATGAGAAACTCCCCTCCAACTTGGTCAAAAGTGTACAGCTTTTGGCACTCATGCAACACAGATTTTCGCATGCTTCAGATTGACCATGACAAGTTGGAATCTTCCAGACCCAGACACTTTTGCAATTCATATGGAGGTGTGCAAGACGATCTGGAGTCATGGCCGCCCCTTGTGCATGGGATCGTTTCCGGACACGACTGCTGTCACGTGGGAAGTCCCGCTTACGAGGCCCTACTGGATAGCAAATTTTACCAGGACACGGTCCACCGCGCACGACCACACCCGGCTGACCAGGAGGGACAGGGAGGAATAGACGGTACTAGGACCTGGGGGAACGACGCTTCTGCCTCTGCTCTACACCTCGCGCATGATGGTGCCTGGTGGTTGGAATAGCTATTTGCGCAGCCTCCATATTTTCATCCTCGACTTCTACTTCAGGTCTCCTTTTATCTGGTAGCAAAAAATACAATTACAAGCCAACGCACGACGAACAGATTGGCACGCCGTATGACGAGAAACTCGAAGTTTGGCGTAGTTGTTTGAACGCCCGCTAGCTAGGCTCAGATGTTCATCAAGTGCGATTTGAGTAGCGGAAATGTTGGGAAGATTTGATTTCTTGACATATTCATTGTGATTGTGAATGCAGGAAGTAGGGAATATATAAAAAAGAAAAAGCAACACGATCATGATCAGGGCAGGCTATTCCTGCTGGTGCTGATCCCACCAGTTTATATGATGAAGTAAACATCATCAACACCACAGAGATGACGACGAAAACTTTCACAACCGGCAGATCCTGGGTGCGACGTATATTATTGCGTTGTCGGAGACCGAGGCGATTACATTATGATTGCATTAGCTAAAGGAGTAAATACGTCCGAATTAGTTGGGATGAGCGACCTTCTGGTTCTCTGGCCTCGGTAAACAAATTGCTTTTTCGCTGTGGTGACCACTGCCATTTGTGCAACAATGCTTGCTTGCGCGATTGGTGCGGGAAACCCTTCTTGTCGCCAGAAGCTAAAATGTTGCGCGGTTCTCGTTTCGACGATTGTTGCTGTGTACCTTATTGGGTCGGGGTTTTTGTGGTACTACCCGCCGTCTGTGTGGTGGCATCGATGGATGTTGTGTGATCGCTGGCGGTGGCCGCCGTCGGTGGTATCCTGTGCAAAAGCATCGTACTCGTATTGCAATCATGCATTACAAATCTTTTTCTTAAGGTAAATTCGCATTACAAATTTTATTTCTCATGCTGAGGAAATTTGCATTTATACGAATACGATACGTTTGCAGTTCATAGGTGGCGTTTGCGGACGATGCATACCCGAATGAGCCCCCGTGGATCACGACCAGAGAGATGGCTGCAGTCCTCCTGTACCGCGCGCCGACACATTTCGTGGACTACGTCGTTCGCTCCCCCAGAAAGTTTTTGCACGACGTCTCTGCCTCGCTCGCGGCCCTCCTCGGCTTCCGGTTCGGGGACGTCGTGTATGACAGTGCACAATTCCCCCTGCCCTTCATTTGTCATGCAAAATACCCAATCCACCCTTACCTTAGACTCTTAGCACTGTTTGCATGACCAGTTCTGGTTGCCCAAATAGCACTACACTCCAGTGCAAATTTGTCATGCAAAACCGGTCTTCTTGCTTAGGCTTGTATTGCCTCCCCTGTCCGGGTGGGGTTGCGGCTTAAGGGAGAGTCTCGCCCCTTAACCAAAGGGGTGCGTCGTCTCTTCGTGAGAACAAAAACTTATGGCGTAAAATGGGTCGGGTCCTGGATCGTTCTGTATGTTGGGCTGTCGCGCTCGGCTAGCTGGCTGGGCTGTACTGATCAGGTGTGGTGGGTAGCTCCCGACTGGTTGGTACTTTTCTTGGGGCGACTTGCCGTGGTAGCGCTCGGCTTTTGTATGATGAGCAGGTCGCCGAAAGTGCTTCCTCGCCCACCCCCCGGGTAGGGGATCCTTGACCTGTGGCGCTGGGAGCGGGTGTCCACTAAATGATGATGATGATTGCCGTTCATGCGATACAAACGAGGGGGAGGGGGAGTTGTGCACTGTCATATCGTGCCACTGCATCTCCCTTTACGCATCCGAAGTAGCGATAAGAAGACCATGCGTGAGGATGCTGACGCCGAGGATCCCTTCTCAATAGACGAAGCAGCGCCCATTCTGAAAAATGCGAAGGATGGTGCCCTAGATGAGGCGAAGCTAGAACTACGACTACCCTCAACCTCGAGCATTACCTCTACCAAGACAGAGGAAAATAAACAGCGGCGCAGGAGGAGAAAGTTTGTCTATCGGTCCAAGATGGGGCAGCAGTGCGCCGAGCAGTTTCACGCTGCCGCGAGGACGCAGCCGGTCCCCGGAAGCGGCGCACAAGCGCGCGAGCATGAGGATCGCTGCCGCGCAGGGGGGCCAGGACGAGGGGGACATCAGCCCGTGGTCGTCACCGCCTACTTCGATATGGGTCGGGTATCGCGCGGCCCGTGCAAGTACCTTTCTATGATGCGGCAAGTACTCGGAATTCGGCGTCCGGTTGTGGCGTTTACGCAGCCGAGATTCGCCGAGACGATCCGCGAAATCCGGCGAGAGGCACTAGCCGCCGGACGCGTAGGAAAAGGAAATCTATCTACTTCCAAGACCGCAGCAACAAATACACCTGGAGATGACGAGAACGGACACCGGGCCGCCAAAGCCGCCGACGACGGGCCGAGGAAGACTACTACACCAGCACACAAAGACACCAGCCAGACAGCTGCCGCCACAAGCAGAACCAGTAGCGTAAACACTCCCAGAACCTCATCCCGCGCCGGCTCGCTCTCCTCGCTGTGGGCGTGGATCACTACGCCCGGATCTTGGTTTCGACGAAAATCAACATTCCAACAGCCAGAACGACGAGGTGACACGGAGGACGACGAGAGTGAAATCGCGTTATTTCACCTGGTGGCTATCGACTCGTGGACCGACTTTCCAGGGACAGCTGAGTTTCGTGAGCAGATGTGGCTGAACGCAATGAATCCATGGCACTACTTGCAGCTGATTTGGCGGCAGAGCCACGGACTTAACCGCTACGGCGGCTGGCTTGAAACGACAGTACCGGAATACGGGCTGTTGCAGCACGCCAAGGTGGAGTTCGTTCGCCGTGCCATGGAGCTTGTACCCACCGCTTCGCACTTTTTCTGGGTAGACGCCGGAGCAATGCACGGACAGGTTGCCTTTGCGCGAAATTGGTGCCCGCGGCGGGCTATGTTGGAAGGGGCCGACGACAAGGAAAACAAAGCCATAGGTGGTGGAGTTGTGACCCTGATTGCGCAACCGGATAATTTTTTGAAGCAGCTGATAATTGCACTCACGCAGCAGCCGGACCTGCCTCTAGCCCGCGTCGAAGATTTCGCTCACCCAGAATTTCAAAAACGGCTGCGAATGCATCTCGGGAGCCACGACTTCAAGCGCGGCAACACGACAACAGACGTCACGAGGCCGGGCTCTCTCGTCGAAGACCTAAGCGCGGAAGCCCGAGCGCGAGCAGAGAGCAGGTACTGGATGTTTGTGCAACACATTGAGCAACCCGTGGGCACCTTTTGGGGCGGACCAAAAGAGGCATTGCTGCGGTTTCACGCAAAATACCTGGCACTGGTTCGCTATGAAAGTGGCGGAAACACAGAAGTACTCAAATCAAAATCAGGGCCGTGGTATGTATGAACACCAGATGAACGTAAGTGCCGTGCTGAGTGAATCTCGACACAAGGTACTCCCCGTGACGATGTTAATAGTGTTGTGTGGTCTTTTTATGGTGTGATATAATCCACCACGTGTCTCCACTGACAAAAGACGCGCCAGAGGGCACTCCTACTTGATGTACTTTCCAAGAAATCCTACGTGGGCACCATCACGCCCAGACATGGAGTCCGGAGAAACAGACCGACCAATGCAAAGGGTCCGCCGATGATTGGCTTGAGTACATCTGTGGCATTGATACACGCGAACTCACCTTCCAGAAAAAGCGCACTGACGACGACCAAGCATTGCTGTGGATCCTGTGGCTGCGTTTTCCTGATATGTTTCAGGTTCTTCGTATCAAACTCAAACTTGTCTCCGCCCCGCAGCCCAACCTCTAGCATCTTGCACAGATGAAATAATTATCCCGTCACTCATGACGAACAATGGCTTCAATTTTTATGCATTTGGAAAGAATCAGAAATCGAAGCTTCCAATATCTAAATTAGCATGACTATGAAATGACCCTGGTGGAAGGAATAAAAACGCGCTTTGCCCGCATAATGCTGATTCTAGGGTACTTCTACTTACGGTTGTACCAGAACACGTGAGAAGGTTGTTGCAGTACTACACGTGGGGGGTGCAGGGTACGAGAAATCGTTTTAAGCTGGAAAGCGTACGGCAGCTGGCACGACGCAGGGGCACTACTGGACTGAATATTCACAAGAACCGTTTCTCGAACGCAAGAACCATCATTACATTGACAGCTACAGTTACACACAGGTTGGTTTCCAGCATAGAAAGATACATTGCTTCTTCAGTTGCACATGTACAGAAGTTTTTGGTTCTGTTCTCCCAGCGTGTTGATCTTGATGCCCATAGCTTTCTCTTCTGCGTCAAGATCGAGCGAAAGCTTTAGCTTCATGCTCATTTTTAGTGCAATCATTCACGATAGATGTTCAAGCTGTTGATGATTAACCACAACAGCGCTTCTTTGTCAGTCTTCTTTCCAACGAAACGCGTTCCCCTACTTCTCCATCTCCCTGTGTTTCTTGCTACTTCGTCCTCTCCGGTCCCAAGTGAACCAGAAAAATCAGATGTTGATGAAGATCAACACCACGGCATGATTAGATTTTTCTCCATATGAAGGTGAAGACATACGATGTCTTTCTGTTAAAATGTTCCACGCGAACTCGTTCCCTTTGTCGTGCGGAATTTTTTTCTCAAAATAGCTGCTCCTCTGTCGTGCGCGACATCCGCGCCTGTGAGTGCTTGTGTTTTGCATTTGTGTGCTCGTGAAAGAAAGAACACCATTCATGTGGTGAAAAATACGCGCAACAGCACGCAGTGCGAGGGACGAGGACTCGTGGGTGGGTGAATGAGAATCGATGTCTTCCATATGATATACTACTATCAGACTGCTCCTTCGGGCATCCGTTTTCGGTTTTTGTGCCCAACTGCAAGCTGCAGCGGCCCACCAGTGTGGCCCAGGAGGCTCTGTGCCGTATCCACTTGATTCTAACACGTGCCCGGTATCTTCCAAGACCTCGGGAAGCGAGCGCCAATCTGACTTGTCACAGCAGCCTGCTTCGCCGCGTGACGATGTCGTGTCGCAGCGCCGTCGACCTTGCTGGAGCTATCCCTTGGACGAAAAAACGTGCTGTGTGCCTTCTCGGGAGAAAGCAGATGACGAAGAAAAGGATGGCCAGAGGGCGCACTGCTTCGACGGCGCCGTGGTCACGCGTGCCCGGTGCTGTGCGCAAACGACGGAAATGAGTCGAAGCATTGGAGATGAGGATGCTCTCACAAAGCAAGAAGCCAGCAGCGGGCTGCAGTTTCAAGATGCTCTGGCAAAGGCAATGGACGAACAAGAAGCAATGCCGGAAATGAACATCGAGAGGAGTGAAGACCTAGAAGAGCAGCGCGACCATGGTGTCGAGGTAAACGCAGTTCCAGAGTGGCTCCGCGCAGGTAGCCGGCCTGTGATGCTGAACATTTTCGGCAAAAATGAACCAAATCCTCATGCCCTTCAGCTCCTGTCACTTTTACCTAACGACAACGCGCTCACAGAGACAGTACAGCATGGGTTATGGAGTGCACATCTGGAGATGCTGCGCGGAGTATTCGGCGAAATTCTGGTGCAGTGGAATGCAGTATCTCTATCTTCAAATACGACCACGGAGGATGTTGCTACAGATACGCGCGGCTCGTCAACGACGACGTCTACTGATCGTACTCACGCTCCTCCAGCCGACCACGAGCAGAGGCGCTCGGAACAAACCGAGGAGCAAGCGGGCGACGGAGTGGAAGAATACGAAGGAAGGGCAACCGAGCTTGCACTACAGGAATATTTTTTTGCCTTGAGATTCCTGTTTGGCCCCAAGGGCGTCGAGCGCACGATTCCGCGCGGAGGAGACGAGATGCTTAGGGCCGTACTTCTGCTCACGCGGCTGGCGAAGCGCAAGGTTGCTGCCCGTCAAGAGTTGACCGACAAAAAGCTCAAGGATGCACTCGTATGAACTGCAAAAGTATCGTACTCGTATAAATGCATTACAAATTTCCTCAGCGTGAGAGATAAAATCTGCCATGCTGATTTACGTTAAGAAAAATATTTGTAATGCAAGACTTGCATTTATACGAGTCCGAGTGCGATACTTTTGCACAGGATAACTCGGGGATGAAAACGACGATGATGAAACTCATCCTTTACCTGTAGCGACACCTTTATGGATGCGTCAGGTTTGAAATCGTCAAAGTTGAAATAGTTTGCCATGCATCAAACGGATGCCAGCTGGTGCCTAGTTTTCAAGTGGCGCATGACAAATTTGGCAGAGCCGAAATCCAGTTTGTAATGCTGTTTGGGTAAGGAAGAGGCCTTTTGTCATGCTAGTCCAGCAGCTCTATTTGTACCCCTCAACAGGCTTACAATCTGCCTCCCTTGCCTACTCTGCAAGACAGGCATTTTGTGGGTTGCATTTTATGCATCACAAACTATTTCAACTTTGAGGATTTCAAACCTGACGTTTCCATAACCTTTGGAGTATAACTTCTGGACCTCGGATCTGAAAAGTTCTAGCCGCCCCGAGTCGCCCCGGAAGATTTTCACTACTGGAGCGGACGACGTCGTTGCATCAGACGAAAAGGGGCGGGACGTGCAAAGCGGGACCCAGCTTCCGAATACTCGCGAGAAAGGGCCGACTTTACCGCTGGACCGCGTCAATCCAGAAGAATATGAGCGGAGTCCGCTCTTCGTTTACGAGAAATTACAGAAATGCAGTCGCCACTTTGGATGGGCCTTGGTCGAGATCAAGTTTCGGATCGCAGACTTCTTTTTCCATCACATTTTGCGAATCAAAGCAGCGCTCGAGCTCGTAGATCTTCAACGAATTAAGAATGGCACCACGTCCGGCTTGAAAGACCCAGCGCACACACCGAGAACGTTGCTGGGTGCAGGAACAGCGCGCTTCTTGCGCAAGATGTGGGCCTCGTCGCAGGGTCCCCGTGCGCCTGTGCGCGGCGAAGACGCAGACACACACGTTGGTATGGAGGGGAAGTGAGTGATCTTCTAAGGTGCTGCCAGCCTTGGGTCAGTGCGGTTTTGCGGCATTTTTGTGATGCAAAAAGCGCACACAGCCACAAGATCAGCAGTTCGGAGCGCATGAAGGTTACAGGTTTTTGACGTGCCTTCTTTCTATTGTGATTTTACACTGCAAAAGATATGCGTGCATGGCAAAAACAGGAACGCTGCACGTAGGCGAAATACCATCAGTGTGAGCGCGGAAGTACTGGGTGACAGATTAGGACTTTTCCTCGGACTGGCCTCAGCGCCTGACGTCACTCGCTTCCCCTCTCTAGTTGTTTGTCTCCCTCTGGGGCTTCTGTCTACGATGACGTCCGTATGAGAGCGCACAAGTCCCGCCCTCCCACTTCGTTTTCTAGCATGCGCGCCATCTTTGCATTCTCTGCAGTTCCCAAAACCAGTGACTTGTTATTTCCCATGTATGCATTACCGGCATCCTAGCCCACGCTTCAGTAACCGCGGATGCCCTCCAAATGCCCTTCATCAAATGGGGGGGATGGGAAATTATGCGCTTTCATAGACCGCAGACCAGGATCTTGATCAGCGGGGCCTTTTTGCGATGTTCCGACTATACATTTTGCCACTGTGGCTGTTCTGGCAGCGCGATATGGTACAGGAAAAGTTCTTGCAGTGGTTTCGAAGTTTCACCATGTGGCTCAAGGAGGCAGAGCAAGAGCTTCACATCGACGCGTCGCTCAGGACTGGTCGAGCATCTCGCGGAGCATCAACGCCACCTGTCACGCGCGCCTTGTTGCAGTCGCTTCCAGGCACTACAAAAAGAGGCGGGCGCAAACCGAGCTATTCCCATTTCATGGCCCGGCTAGCAGAGAGAGACGCTTCTGCAGAAGATGTTGTGGGTCAGGTAACGACGACGGTGCTCGAATTTGTGGACGTACGACTCTTGCGAATGACGAGCTTGCGAGCCTACGATCTCTACCAACAGGCGCTAACACAACAGTGGATGGAGAAGCAGGAGGGTCATCATGCACATACAAAATCCATGTCGCCCTCGTCAGATGACGCTGTTCCACCGACCACAAATGCTTCGCCACGGAACGACGATGGAGGTGGTGCTGACCGAAGAATTACGAGTACTGCCAACGACGAAAGCAAGACGAACGCACGAATGCCGCCACCTCACAGCAATGACAGGAGTGCGTCATCGCTTTCGGTTGCCGTATGCATCTCAGGGGGTGTGAGGGGATTCACGCAAAAGCCAGTGTATGAAAGTATTCGCGACGCACTGACAAGTTTGAAGGCGAAAAAGGTGCGTATGCATTGCAAATCCGTCTGGGTAGGGAAAAAAGCTGGATATTTCGTATTTGTAATTCCGCGCGTCGTGTATCACTTCGACGCATGCCGTGCGTGAGTACCAAAAGGCGACGCATTTTGTACATGGCTACGAAATAAGGCTTACTCGTCATGTTGAACACAGAAAATTGGCCGGGCATTAGCAATCATGGGATGCGTCCGCTTATTGCAATCTAGCTAAGCCAGTCCGGCATGACAGGTCCTGTATTTTGCCAGCCCGCGAGGACCTCGACATGTTTGCAATGAATAGTGTGGGTTTTCTATCAATTTGACTTGTCCCGGGTCACGAAGCTGGGCATTGGTGATCAGTTCGACAACAGGCATCACAGCTCCAGCAGCGAGCAGAAGGAGGAGCAGCTCCGCGACCGCATCAATAACAGTGAGCAGGAGGATCTGGATCGTGCGATGCGTGCTGTGGAAGAGGAGCGCCATGGCGAGGACGAGCGAAATTCTGGAGTAATCAGTGTGGACGTCCAAACGGCCTCGGTCGAGGCGCTTTCTTCCTCGTCGTGGACGGCAACCGCCTTTCAGCAAATCGACAACGACACAAAAAACAAGTGTCTCTCTGACCAAATCACTTGTCCAATCATGGGGTTGCAGCGAGATTTCTGCAGGCGCAGCATTCACGAGTACGAGCGGCAAGTAGAAAACGTGAGCCGCGGCCCGACTAGTGTTTCTGCTGTGAACGACGAGGCGGAAACGAAAAGAACCGATGCTGAAGCAACAGGACTACAACTTTCCCGTAGAAGCGAATTCGATTGGGTGCTTTTCACACGCCCCGACCTGTTCCTGCAGCCTCTTGGCGACTTGCGCCGCTTTGACCCGGCCTTCATTCATGCTCCGACCAACACACTTTGGGGGTGTATCAGCTGCAAACTTGCACTTGTGCCAAGGAAGTTTCTCGACCTGTACGTAGATTCCTATCGTCTTGGTGGGGATCAGCAAAACGCATTCGCCTGCTATCCGCGAAAATCGGAGACCGTCACGGAAACTTTTGCCGGGCGGCGAGGAACAGATTGTGGCTGTACACTGTGGAAGGCCCTGCGCACCTGTAAGGCTGGCGGGCGGGAGCAACTACTCAGCAAAAGCGCCGCGCCGATGTCGAAGGACCGCGAGCACGAACAGGATTACACTTGGCACACGCAGAAACAAGCGGAGGCAACGCGAAGTGATTTTGCAAAAAACCAGAATAACGAACCGACAGGACCAGCAGCCGCACTTCTGTCGGACGAGTCGCAGACGGTGTGCGGAAACCCTGACGCAATCAAGGTGCCAAAGTATAGACCACCTGTAGCAGACGATGCAGAGGAGAAGGAGCTGCAGACTTCCGCGTCTATCCTCGACCCGCCGCTCTTGATGCCGGTCGAGCAAGCGATGACGGCAACTGTCACTCGGGGAGGGCTATGGCGTCCTGACTGGAATGCTAATATGGCGTGGTTTCGCTAGCGTATCAGTCGAGGTCGGTCTTTGGCATTCGTCTAGCACGACGTCGACGCCCTGTGTCTGAAAAGTTGTGAGCTCAGGCCTCAGGGACTCCATTTTCATCACGGCGCGATCTCGCAAATCGCAGTGCTCCTGCACGACATTGTTCTTTATGCATGATATTGCTCATCTACTTTCTGTATGACCATATAAACAAACTCCTGCTTCGCAGCTTCTAACAATAAATTTGAACTGCAGGACTTGCATTGCATGTTCGCAACAAAACCAAGAGCGAGGAAAGAGCGCAGCTTAGGTGTGTTTGCTCATAAACGTAAAATATCGGTTTGGCACTGCATTTGGTCGGAGTGTTCTGAGAGGAAAAGGAGCGTTGATGTAGTACGAGCAGTTCTGATATTAAATTTAAGTTTTTTGAATTTCGCCGGTGAATTCAACACGAGTCACTGATGCTTGCTGTAGCATTGTGATTATCCCATCCTTGCGATGCTTCCATTAACATTTCTTTGTTTCGCAAAAAATTTTACCAGTTTTCTAGGTCCGATTTTACGTGTGGGGGCATGATTATTGCGCCCTTTCCGCGACTTGCCTCCTGTGCCCGAGCTACCAACCTCTGCACCTATATTTACACTATTGTAACATGAATCGTTAGTATCGCCTTGTACTCTTCAACACGAACAGCAACAGCATTTCTCTGCCTTTGTTCGCATAACTCGCATTGCGAATTCTTTTTTAACTTTTAACTGCACTACCGAGAGAGTCAACAAGATGAAGAACACCTGCACAATATCAAGTTGAAGACATTTTTGCATTGCCCCCCGGAGTGTTTAGTTTCAGGCGACCAAAATGCCTCTGTCATGCGGCATGTTTTCGTCAATATTCATGCTATGTGTGCCACACGACTTTTTTGTTTCTAGCGCGTGAAGAACGAAGGCAAAAGGCCCATACCCAGTCACTTCGGACTGCGAGATGCATCAAATTTACATACGTGTGTCGTGTTTTGCGCACTTTTCGCCTCCAGTTGTGGGGGTGATAAGTAAGTACAACAAATCGGGGGTGGATGAATGTCTTCTACCACAGGATATAGTGCCAGATTTCTGCGGGCAGCCGTTGTCGGTTTGTATGGCCAATTGCAATTTGCAGCGGCCCAATGTGGTCCAGGGAATTCCCTGCCGTACCCTCCCGGTACGACCACTTGTCCGGCGTCTGGATCCTCCAAAAGTGGCGGAAAAGCGCCGCCATCGTCCTCAGGCTCCGCACCGAGTACTACATTCACATAAGCAGCTACTACATAAGCAGCTGCTAGTGCTGGTAGCTGCATGTCCCGCAGTGCATTTGGCTTTTTAACTGATCAACACGCGCAGTCTGATGTCAGTGAACATCTTCAACACCTTATTTGATTAATTCGGAAAACGTACCAGGACGTACACGTAGCAAAGCTGTCGCGTAGCGGCATGCATCCCTCTGAGATCGACCTCCTACATGATTTTTGAATGAAAAGTTGTTTTAGAAGCTCTAGCTCTTGACTCACAGGTGGTATGGCGACCGCCGGGCAGCAGACGTCTCACCAAGCTCCCCCTGACGCGACTTCCGGGACAACAGCACAACAGGGAGCGCCACCGGCGCCGTCAAGCGGCTCGGGAATGCCAACTGCTGGGCCCGGCGCTGGGAGCAACATGGGGGGATCTGCGATTACGTGTACTGCCCGGCCCTGTGGCGCGAGTACTCTGGGCGACGTGGCCCTGGTCACCGCATCTGGAACGGATACGCGCAGCGGTGTCACCTTTTCTCCGGGCGAAAACATCTACGGGCCGTTCGAAGCCGGATTCAGTAATTGCTCTATTTTTTTGTACAATTATCTATAATACTAATTATCTATAATACTATTCAAAAAATTCTGGCGGGCGGGGGGGTGCAAGCTACTAGTAGGAATCCTACTAGTGGAAAGCTGCTAGTAGAAAAAAGGCTACTAGTAGAAATCCTGCTAGTGTTTTTAGCGTCACAAAAAGCCGCGACCGGTACTAGTGACAGGGGCCACTAGTGAGGGCGCCCACTAGTGGAGCCACTAGTGACAAAAAAACCGATTTTGGGGAAGCGGAAACACTAGTGAGAAACACTAGTGAGAAAGCCCGCCAAATTGGGAAACTCGCTGGGAGGGGCCGAGGCGCCCGCTGCCCGGCCCCCAGGTGGCCTTCGGACCTGCCTGCCGTGGTCCGGGCCCTTGGCATTGGCTTAGATGCCTGGCGGTTCGCGTTTGGCTGCCCCAGGCTGAAGTCGCTCTGCTTTGTGGCGCCCCGTCCCCTTCCACCTCTGTTGCGAGCGATTTGGCGCCAGTTTGCGCCTTCTCTGCCGCCTGTTGCTCTGCAGGCCGGGCTCGCTTGGTCGCGTTCGGACTGCCGACGGACCACGGGGGCTCTTTGGCCGCGCCGGGGCTGCCTGATTTTGTCTCTTTGGATCGCCGAGCGTGTTTTCGGTTTCTGTGGATTGCCGCTCCTTGCTTTGGATTGCCGAGCGTGTTTTCGGTTATTCTTTGCGGCCCGCCTGCTCCTTCTCCTTTCGCTCCCAGCGCTTTTTGCCTCGTCCCCGGCCATTGGTGGGCTTTCACTTTGGCCTGCTTGTTGTTTTTTTTTGGCCTGTCTCGTTTCTAGAGAGAGCCACACGCAGCGCCCCCCTGCCTTTCCGCCGCGGCCCTGCCTGCTCCTGTGCTTTATTTTTCCCTCGTGCTGGCCGTGTTTCTTGTCTTTCGGCCGTCGGCGCGCTCTTTTCGATCTCTTTCCTGTGACTAGCCTCCCGGGCCGTCGAAAGGGGTCTGGGCACGCTCTCCGCCGGACCTGTTTGTGGCGGCTCAAACAGGGGCTGCGCTGTGCGCCCCCTACCGCCGCTTGCGCCTCGCGGCCTTCTCTCTCCTCACGCTTCTTGCGCTCCCGCCGACCGAGGGAGGAATGCCAGGGGCGCTCCCGTTTTTTTTTTCGCCTGTCGCGCCAGCATGGTTTGAGGCTGTAGCGCTAGGCGCTACCCTGTAGGCTCTTTCTCCCTCGCTCCCCCTTGCACCCCCTCGTCGCCGGGCCGGCGGGCGCGGAGCGACCGCCCGTTCTAGATAAATACTATTCATTCTCATTCATTGATGCGACATTTTTTGCACTTGTAACTTCCGAAAGTGAGTGCCACACGGAAATTAATAGTACACGAACAAGGCAGGAGTGGCCCAATATATAACTGTCCTAGGAAATAAAAGTAAAACGTAACGCAGGTTCACAGCAGGACTTTATTCTCACGGGCCTCGGTTGTTCCACGGGGAGCCTGGGGTACATTGACGGGGGGATAGACACATACACGGCGGAGCAGATATGCATTGCATATATGTCTGGGTCTGGAAGACTGCGAGATTTCTCATGCTAGTTTGGCATGACTCTGAACTCTGTATTGCGTGGCCACGAAGGCCTCCTCTTGTCTGTCATGCAAAAACGGTGTTTCTCATGCACAATAGAAAATCTCAATCTGTCATGCTTCTGCCATGCTTAGCGGTGGAGCCACGAGAAAATCTGTCATGCTTAGCGGTGCATTACAGAGCGCTTTCTGTTCACTGACATGCATCACAAGTTTCCAGACCCAGACATTTTTACCTTTGATAGCAGATGGTAGCTTACCAATGCTCCATCACGTTGCCCCGAGTCGAAAACAACAACTACGTTTCCCTGCTCGACGAGTGCGGGGGGCACACCCGCGAGTACCACTTTCACGAGCGCCTGTCCTGCTTGTACGACCAGGCAGCCAGCGGCCACTCGGCGCAGGTCGGGAAAGAGGCGGCCGGCCTGCCGGATGGGCAGCAACTGCTGGTGTACGGCAAATACGAGAATCGGCCGACCACACCCCAGCTGGACGCCTGCAACGGGCATTTCGGGGTCACGCCCGACAGTGCCGGGGTGGTGGTCTACCACTATCACGTCTCGGATTCCGCTCCCTTTACCATCGGCTGTCACGGCCCCGACAAAAACGCCGCCGGGGAGGAGATCCTGGTCACTTTGGAGCGCTGTCGCGCAGTCTCCAGTGGTTGCGGCGCCAGTATTAAGACGCTCTAATTGATTGTGCTTCAGTAATATTTCTTGCAAAATTATTCCACATATTACACAGTTACTTTTTGCGAGCGCATAGCCAATCTGTCAGTACATTTTTGGGGCAGCATTTTTCATCCATGGGGTTCGGGTCTAGGTTTACCTGCTTGTTCTACAAAACTACATACGTAAATTGTATCAAATTCAAACAAACGAAACACAACACCTACAGGCGCAACAGTGAAGTCCATCACGCGCAACAAGTACCCGCAGTCCGGTTCGGAAACTGTTTTACGAAGTCGAAAACGCAGCTCCCTGCCGCATGCTCTTCAAAAGAGATCAGGTTTCGGAAACGAATCTGATGAAATAGAAACGCAGATACAACTCATGTGCATCAGGCAGCTCTCTCACGCAGAAAAGGAAGCTGCGTCCTCCTTCCAAGTTGTTTCGAAAACTTTTGGGTGGATGTTTTGCAATGTAGAAGAAAAGTATAGAACAAGAAGATTTGAAAGAAAAGGTCCTGAATTCGAAGATCGCCGCCGCTGTCCACTAGAAGCAAACAAGTAGCTGGGCAAGCCGTGTCGCACACACTGCAAGCGCTGTCTCATATCCTACCTTTTGAAAAAGGTTGGAGCAGCAGGGAGGGGTGTCGTTTTTTTCCTACGCATAGGTGCAGTACAAGACTTGGTGCCCGTGCTACGACGCCAATGGTTCCAACGTGGACTCGGCTACCCTCCCGGTCTTCGCAAGCAGCGCCACCATCACAAAGAGCAGCGTCGCAGGAACTACGCCGACTCCGAGTCCGAGCCCGGCCCCCGCGCCGGCGCCGACTCCCGCGGCAGCGGCCGTCACCACGACCACCACCACCACCACGACACTGGCTCCGCAAAACTGCGTGGCTGCCTGGAGCGCCTACGGGAACTGCACCAGTGGCGTCGAGGAGTCCACGTACACGATCACCACCTTCCCAAGCGGAACGGGTGCGACGGCGTGCCTCTACCCGCAGCACGCGACCAAGCAGCGCCCTTGCGACGAGTCGACCATGATGAACAGCCAAAATCCATCGACGGGCACCTGCTACGGAGCCTGGACGGACCTGAACGGTGGCGCCTGTACGTCCGGCGTGAAAGGCAAGCAGTACACCACAGCCAACGACTATCCGAGCAAAAAAAGTATAGTACCTTGCTCAAGAACTACAACACCGGTCGCGTTGTAGTTGACCGTGGAGGCGCTCCGTGCTGCTCGGATGCGTTTTTGCATTTATCTTTCCCATTTTCAGTGCCGGCATGTAAAGAAGATTTAGAGGAACTTATAATTTGTAGGATGGAACCTAGCATCAAGGTGGTCGGGGTCTCTCACATCAACTCCACTTGGTTTTGTATGGACAGCACAAGTGTCCTTGCCGTTGATTGCGCGAGACGAACATCAGTAACAAGTGCGGAGCGTGAATTATTATTGCTGTGCGGACTTGTAGTCTTTGAACGCAAGCAGTTCTTATTTCACGGTGTTGAGCAAACAACTTTTTTCCTTCGGATAGGTTCACCGAAAGCTGTCCCATCGCGAACAACACGATCGCCGCGGAGGTCTGCGGGACGTACTGCCAGGGTGGCTGGTCCGCATGGAGTGCCTGCGAAGAAAATGCCATCCTGTGCTTCTACCAAGTTCAGTACTCCGCCACGAACCCGAGTACCGTGACCGCGGTGACGCAGATATCGTGAGAAAAAAGTGTTCACTGCGAGGACTTTGCACGTTTTGCATTACAAGTTCGTTGCTCATGACAAGGAAAACCTGCCATGCGTACTACCTAAGGGAAAACACATTGAAAAAGACAATGTCTTGCATGTGTAGCAAGACAAATGCGTCTGTGTTGCATTCCATGCATCACAAGTTTACAGTCAAACAGTTTTTTCCTGCGATAACAGAAGACGCAGGAACAGTACCAAACCCTGCTGGACGCGGGCACCACCAGTGGGCTGACCTTATGAATGTGCACAACTCCCCTTCCCCCTCATTTGTGTAGCATGAACGGCAATACAAGCATCAGCAAGAGTGCCGGTTTTGCATGACAAATTTGCGCTGGATTATAGTGCTCTTTGGGCTACCAGAACTTGTCATGCAAACAGTGCCACGATGCAAAGGGTGGATTGGGTATTTTGTATGGCAAATGAGGGGGAGGGGGAGTTGTGCACTTTTATAGACCTGGAAGTCGTTGCTGAAGCAGAATGCGGACGGAACCACGGCCAACACGGCCTGCAGCGCCATCAGCACCACGGAAGCAAGCACGCTGATCTCCGCCGGGCATACAGGAGCTGTGAATGCCTACGTCCCCGGAAAGAAAACCTATCCAGTGTGAAAACGTCACTTCCCCAGGCCAGGCACCGCCCGACACACCTCGTCGTCGGGCGCGCTCGCGTTTTCTAATATATAGTCTCGACGGTTTTGCAATGATTCAGTTAATGTCAACCGGGAAGTGTCTGTGAATTGAATGATCGGGCCGTTATTAGAAATCAAATGGCCGCGATCACGATCTTCACACGGACAATCATGCAATTACAGTGTCACTGGTACTACTACTACAGAACAAATCAGAGAACATCTGAACTCCTTTACCTTTAGCAAGTGTTACGACCGGAATAATAAACCTGCTGTATCTGTTGAGTATCGGGTCGGGGGGACGCTTTTGCTCCGGATAAGAAGCGGTCCTTCACTGCAACGCAACAGCCTAGTGGCAACGGTGCGGCTTGCCCCGCATCTCCGGAAACCAAGGTGTGCAACTTCGTGTTCAAGACCGTCGCGAGCGCGCCGAAGAAGACGCTCCAGCCGACCCAAATCGCCACCCGCTTGTCCGCCGGCTTCGCGCTGCCAGCCTGCAAAACGCAGGCAGAACTCAATGCGGACACAGCGTTCAAGACCGCGATCGCAAACGGAGTCCGAGGCTCGGTGTCGTCGCAGACCTGCGTGGCCGACCAGATTATCTGCACGAGCTGCCCCACGGTGTCTTCCTGCCCCGCGGGGGTCCGCCGCCGCCTGCAGACGTCCACCACGGACCGGGAACTGCAGGTCGATTATGGCTCTGAAAACTACTGGCCCCGCGACCCAACGAAGAAATTCAATTTTTTTGTTTTGGTTTTTCAGTAGCAGTCCTTATTTAATTGGCAGAAAATAAAGTACTATGCAGCGAGTGTCTTCGAATGTCTCTATTAACAGCAGGCTGTGGAAGTATCTATGTCTATCTTGCATCCTTCCACACGAGAAGTCGCTTCAAAATCGGGTCGTTGCAGTTCAGTTTTCAGACGGATACAGACGTCACCATCACTTTTACCGACGCCGCGTCGGCATCAACGGCAGCCACGGCAATGCACTATGCGACTGCATCCTCTCCCCCTCATTGTGAGTGCATGAGCAGCAACAGCAAGAAAAAAAACAAAAACTGCATGACGAAAACATCAAGCTTGTATCTTCAACAAAAGACTGTACTTATTGCTTTTGCTCTTTGCGCGTCCCGAACATACTTTACCATGCTGGGAGCGGGTCTGCGTGATGAAAGACACCCGGACTAGGTGGAAACTTGCATTTTTGTGTGGCAAACAAGGGGGAGTCAGTTGTGTGCTTTCATATGCAGACGGACACCTACAAGACCACCCTGAAGACCCAGGTCAACTCCGCGATCACCGCCGACAGCAACTTGGCTGCCAAATACCAGGTTACCGCAGTCACCGGACTGTCCGCCGTCCAAACATACGACGAGAACCCGACGGTGGCCTCATCCAGCGCGACGTACTGTGTGGCCGCGGCGGTCATGGGCGTGCAGCTGCTTGCGTTCCTTCTGCTGCAATTGTGATTGCTGCCAGGCATTGATTCCTCTCGTGCATCGTTCTTCTATGTTGAAAAGCACTTAGACTTAATGTTTAAGTAATTATATTACCCCGTCCGCCCGTACCACAATTTATCACTTGATTTTCGGGTAGTATGAGATGGGATGCAGCCAGGGTAGGAATGTTCGAAAGAATTTATCAAAAAATGCAAGTAGGTTATCCAGTGCAAATCTCTCTGGGTCTGGACGATTCGTGCGCGTGTTTGTCATGCCTTTTCTGCATCAGAATTCATTGCCTTTTCTGCATCAGAATTTTCGACCGTATTGTAGGAGCAATGGAAATTTGAAAAGCTTTTTGCCTTCTTGCAAGACAGATTGGTGTACGATCCGCACCTCGAAGGCCATGAAATTGCATCTTTTCAGACCCAGATACGCTTCAAATGCATATAGGTACCTACTTACCGATCTTGTTTAGTACTGTTTGTCTTTCCCCGTTGCAGCACGACCATCCGAATTTTTACAGCGGAAACCTTATTTAGCTTCGAGCAAGCGCAGGAGCATGCGAAAAGAAATCACTACGTCTGCAACGTCACCCGCTACTGCGAGCTTTTTTACCTATAGTTTTCACTGTACAATTATGATCATCTGAACTGCTTCAGCACTTCATTTTTTATACACGCAACGTCAAAAAGAAAGATCGATCTTTTTCTTGGTCTCAGAAGTGTCACAAGTAACCGCCAACTCCAACTCGCGTGATTTCTCTTTTTCTTGCATTTTTTCAGCAATCAGGAAAATCAAAAACGCAAAGGCAAGAATGAAGCTTCTGAATAAGTAGGTATGCTTGTTGGAAAGAACAGCAATATTTATTACTGCGCGTTGAGACGGACGAAAATGTTCTTTCTCTCGAATTCGATTTTTACCCTTTTTTATATTCAAATTCGTCTTTAACCAACAATCTATAGTTCTGTCAGTGTCGGGTGGCCCCGCGTTAGCAGTGGGACTAACACATATCCAACACAAACTTGTACAATACGTATAAAGGTGCCGCAATGAAGAACCTCCCTGATATTAACCGATTTTATAGTAATTATCAAGGGCTTGTTAGTAAGCAGGACCGTTTACTCGACGTGGTATTCAGGGAACAATAAATTATAGACAGATACATCGAGGAGCTGTTTCTAGCATTTTACTGGTGGTCTCCTCCGTTTCATTTTGTTCACCGGACTGAAGAATGCAAATTGAAATTAGCTATGTCGATGAGAGTCACGTTTTTCATCCGGCCTGTTGATTAAAGCTTGTGTCACAGGACAGTCGCCGTAAGTGAGAACGAGAACGACGAATAAACAACGGAGACAAAAGGTAGAGGTAGTGCGCCAACAGTCGTGCCTTCCGCATCTCACTTATGTTTTACAGGAACGTGTTCACGACAAGCGCAGTGCTCTCCGTTTGTTCAGGCTCTCTGTGGCGTATGCCTAGAATGAATAACGTGTCTGCGTGTGCACCGAAGATATTGTTATTTTTTTAAAACTTTGCAAAGCATCTTTTGTGATGGAGGAGAAGTAGCTCTCGGCTAGCGAATGGAGCGTAGTCTACTCCGCGCTATCTTGCAACATATCTGCTAGCAAGTCCTTGCATTTTTTGCGTCTTCCTCATCGGTGTTTTTTCCTCTGTGCGTTTTTTCTTTCAGCGCTATATCGCTCCGTGAGTCTTCTCCTTGTGGTTGCGCGTTTTTTTTTCACTGACAGGAGGTCGAGTCACGACTCACTCGTCAGAAACCAAACCGGGGGAGCGCGGCACGCACGAAAGCATCGCTCACCAAGGTAGTAATGAATTACATGCAGGAAAAGAGTCGGATTCCCTCCGATTACGATCGGCTCGATAAATTGATGCTATTTTCAACGCACAGAAGGCAAGCGCATCCGTGTGGCATTGCAATTGAAGGATTCAATATCACAATTCCACATACTCAGTCGCATTAGCATTCTCAGTTTCATCTCATTGTGAATTGACACGTCTTCAGCAGGTTAGTTGGTTCCCTTCTTTCCTGAATTGTTCTTCGAGAAGGCGCGCACAAGTATTTCCGGATCTGACGAGCTGTTGTGAAAGACAAAAAAATTATGGCGGAGCAGATCAACATCACTCCTCGTGAGGAGCAGGGCTCAAAAGAGTCCGTGCGGCCCTCGACGGATTCTGGATGTAAGGGAGGTATCGACACGGTGTCGGATTGGTTTGATAAGGCCTTTGACGAAGTTGGGCAAGCGTACGGTCGCCAGGCGGTGCGTCGGCCCGTCGCGTGTGCGTGTGCAGGATTTTGGGTCTTGCTCCTAACCGCCATCCCCGTCTTGGTCAGTCTGACGCAAACCGACCACAATGGGCGCCCGATGCGCAGTATTTTTTGTTTTTCTCTTGTTTAGAATACGTTGAGCAATACACGATGTCTGGGCTCCCGCAGTTCATCCGGCCGAAACCGACATGTCGCTGCTGTCGGACACGATCTACTAGAACATGAACTGACTGTAATAGAACTAGGACTTGGCTATTTTATCTTGCACTTCCACGTAACTACAGGCCCCGTCAACAAAAACCGCGGATTTGCGTACCGCTCTGACTACAAAATGTGGTCCCCAGTCTATCGTAATGATTAGCGCACTCGCCCCGAAGTTCCTCTATCAAATTAATATTGCTAGGCTCTACTTTCGAGCGAGTTGTAAAAGCAATTGCGTTTTGCATGACCATGACAAACATTTGTGTGCGATATTCCCCTTGCACTCCTGGAACTTTAGCAGGACAGCTGGCCGCTGATCCTCGTCCATGATGGAGGATACTGCCATACATAAATATTTTCGGTGTGATGAACAGGGAATCAGTTATTGTGATGAAGCTCCACATCAAAGCAGATCGTCGCCCTTTTTGTTCGTTTTCATTCCAAATTTGTTTTTCATTTTCTGAAATGGGCATCGGCAACAAACATTCCATAGACAGACACCGGCTGATGTTTCTGAGGCAGGGTGGGGCGCGTCTTTTCATCACCATACGGTCTCAACTCCGCAGGCGGAACGCTTGGATCGCGTGGAGAAGTCGGCCCAAAAGATGCGGAAGGATATCATAATGAAAAACGCTCCGACCTTCGTAATAAAAGCGAAGATCAATCATACTGCTGCATTGCTAAAGTTCCAGATAGCATCCAGAATCACGCACGAGCTGCGATTTTTCCTTTGTTTGCAAGCTTCGCGACGAGCAGCAGCTGCTCTGACACGACAAATATCTCGGCCTTCTCCTGTGCCTCTCCGTCGCGCGTCTTATCGCACATTTGCACTGCATTCATGTCGCTCTTGTTCCTTCATGCTCATGCAGGCCGATATGACTCACGGTGATGATTTCAATCAAGAAACATCACGTCGCAAGCTTTCAGTTGTACAGTAGCTTTTCATGAGAAAAGGGGGATGCTTTTCACTTTGATAAAAGAGTACCTGGATTCTGCGGCGCATAAGGCAGCCGTGATCGGCTTCACGAAAAATCCCGATATTGCCTCGGATTTGAACCATATGACTGAAAAAAAGTGTTTCATCATTATGACCATTTTGCAGTTGCTGGATTCGCATGATGAGGGAACTTGTAGCTTCGCTCAACAAAGAAAATCTGCCATGCCCCGCGCTTCCCTGGAAAAATGAAGACAGAAAAAAATAGGATGATCTGCTGCGTTTCCTGCCGACAACCGACCAACGAACACAGGAGGCGTGGGTATCAGAAACACAATCGCATGCCCTGCATTATAATACTGTTTATGAAACATGAAACAAGCTTTTCTCCTTCCATATACCAGGAATGCAAAGATCAGGAGAAGGGCAAGGAAGAACAGTTTCTGTTTCTCCTCTACCGGAAAAACAACGGCGTCGATTTGTGCAAAACGGACAACTTATCCCGCAGACATCTATAAGCTAGATAAGTACTTGTCTGCCAGCCCTCACCAGCAGCTGATAAACCTGCTTACGTACTCGCTTTATCGTAGCGGGTGGCTCTCTGGGAGAGCAAATCAATACTCATTGTGATGCATCATTGACATCTCGAAATAAACAAAGGGCGATGCATGTAGAGCAGACCCACGTAAGTAGGTAGCCGCTAGATTTCGGCGGGATACAGCGTCGACAAGATCTGGAATTGGGAACAGTACGTTAAGAAGCGTGTCACGAAGGAGGGAAAGGGGTAAAATTTTCTTCCTGCACCATATTTTTAACACACTGCTGATAGATATCATGCGTGCCCGCACAATGCACGACACTACAAACTGTTTACTCAATGGAAGCACGTAAGAATAAAGCAGACAGGTCTGATCGTGTTCGTGAATGATAGCAGTATATTTATAAAGATCCACGACATCAACACCAGTCGGCAGAAGTTCTAGTAAAAAGCGTTGTACTTGCTTTTATGACTATGACGCAACAGGTACGCGTATGGCCCGGACTTCTGTCCGCTCAATCCTGACATGAACATCGGACCCCGCATGATGGCCCGAAATGCAACCGGCTGGAATGGAGCTGCATCCAACATTTTGTACCATAAGACCTTCTCAAACGTTACAATCTCAAACGTTACGGTTACAATTGAGTCTGGGATTTGTCTTGTTGCATGATGAGCATGACAGACTCGCAGAGCGTTCCACTTTCTGCAATACAAATTTCGCCCGATTCTACTGCGGTTTGGAGCTCCAAAACTTGTCATGCGCAATCCTGTGGGAGTTGGCTAGATCACGCACTTCTTGCATCACAGACTTCCATACTCTGTTGTAATGTTTGAGATTGTAACACTTGAGCAGGTTATATACCAGACCCAGGGTTTTATGGAGCCATGTGACAACTACAAAACCGCAGGGCATCCCGGCTACCACGAACACAAAGCGTGCGTGTTGAAAGGTCAGAGCCCCACGATCAAACTATCGCAAGAACTGCCCTTGTCTTCTTTACTGTAAGTACTTGGCGAAATGCAACACAGATGCACAGGCCTGAGTGAACAAGAAGTAGAGCATCTGTTTTACAACAGTGGCATGTCAAAAGGCGAATAGATACCGCAACAGGAGAAAAATCTATCAACACTTGCTTCTTTCGCAAGTAGGTACTAACTTGTTCTTCAAGATCTCGTCTCAGGCAGAAAGGACTATACTAGCTATTCCTGCACGGAATCATGACGACAGTTCTTCTTTTCATACGCCTGCGAGTGCGAAGACCGTTCCGCGTGCACGACAACGTAAGAACTTAAAATTGAAAACTCTGATGCCGCAGTAGTTTATTCGCTTTTGGTTTTGGATGAAGAAGGAGAATGAAATACACATCCTCTTCCTCGTGGTGAAGATTACGATTACCCTGTTAGAAACCTGCATCATAAATTATGATTGCAGAAACTCGACCTATTGGGGTGCGACGCGACCAGATGTCCGGGTGTGCAAGACCACGGCGGACAGCACGTGCATCGACGACAGAGGGGGCTACTCTGCGAGTGCCTGCGTCCGCTGCGCGGAAAAAGATTCCAACACGCCAGGTCTCACTGCAAAAAAGGGCGACTCCTCCACGCCGGGAACTTGTCTCGAAGACATGCGCGTCGGCTTCAACAGGTTTCTCACTTTATTGCTTCGTTCATTCATTCTAATACTTCCTCCAATTTTGGTTTTGCTTTTGTCCTCATTATTTATTGTACCAAATCCTGCTGCTATGCTATTTCTACCCGGCACGAAACCGTTGCGACGTGGTGAGCCACAGAAACCTTGCTGGTTCTGGAAATGTGGATGCACAATTTAGAAGTCACAGTCAGAAATGAAACTGATTCTACGAACTTACTGCTACCGCAGGGACCAAATGCCGCAGGCCTTTTGGTGCAGCAATTTGGTATCACATTGAATGAAAATGATCTTCCTCGTCATTCAATTTTGTGGTCGTAAATTAAATGGCGCATTCCTTGTGTCGTGTGTATATGATTCATAAGTGATAAATTCTGAGCGCAGTGCTAGAGATAACCTGACGCGCCGGCAAAAGGAACGAGGGGCAAGTAGCGCTGCCACCTAGTCTTCGTTGCGCGCTCGTCAGAGGCTCAGCTACCGCTACGCATCGATTGATATACCGTTGGTGCAGAAGATGAGTTGGGATATTAAAGTACCTGCAGGGGCAGGTTGTGGCTAGTTGCATGTTTTTGTTTTAATATTCTTACCTTCAAATAATTGGTTGCTTTATTGAAGTGCAATGCATGGACTTGCCACTGCACCAGTCTGGACGGGGGAGATCCTTTTCAAAGCAATAGTTTGCGTTTTTGTCGCCCGTTGGGTTGATGAATGCCGTCGCCTACGTATCATTTGCAAAACGGCCCCTACTTACTCCCCATCAAGTCCTTTGTTTCTGGCTGCACTGTATAAACCAAATACTTACATCAAATTTCCGTATTTAAATGCAAGAAAATATGCATGTTGATGGTCTTTTGATTATTGTGCAGCTACATCATGGACATTCACATTTTCTACTACTTAACGTCGCTTTAGGTGCTGTAAACTCGTGGCGCACCAGCGCACACGCCACACAATCACAAAGTGTGTGAGTGCCGTTCGGGTGCGACCCTGCAAAATAGCAGCGAGCAGCAGAAGTGATATGTAATGTATCGTTCTTGTAGTTCTCACTGCGGTTGTTGTGGGGAAGGACAGGGGCTTGTCGCATATGATACTAGAACTTCGACGCCTCGGTTGACGACCCCACGCACTGGGCCGTGATGCTCCGACCCAGTCCGGATCCGCAGGACCCCGCTGCCGCGGAAACCCGTGCGAACAAATACGGTCCGGTGATCAGTGACAGTCACTACGGCGCCTCTACACTTGGGCTGCTCCGGGAGTTCAGTTTCCGCCCAGTGATGGCGGGCTTCATGACAGACGTGGTGCTCTCTATCACAGAGAAAAAATTGCACGTCTGCCTTTAGCTTTACCAGATTTGTGCGTAGTTGAATAATTTGCATTCTGTTTTGCACGTGTACGAGTTCGCATTAGTATTTTGTTTTTGGATATATGTTTGAATTTCCGCGAATAATGTATGCCCCGCGATTTTTCGCTTAGATGTCCGAAAATGCCTGGCCTTAGCAAAGGGAGCCACGACCTATGGCCTCAGGGATGCAGGCTGTTCCTGCCCCGCAACGGGGAGAGGGCAGTTGCGTGGAGTACAAAACTCTTTACTCAAAATCAGCAGTATCGCTTTATCAGGTTTGAAGAAAAATACGCCATTCGTTTTCTCTGGCATATTTTCCGGGACCCACCGAGACCGACGGCAGGAACTGGTGAGGAATGGAACTTGCGACCAGTGTATCAACTGTAAAAATGTCTGGGTCTGGAAGAATTCATGTTTGTCATGGTTGTCTGGCATGACTCTTAAATCTGTCATGCACGTTACCCAAGAGCTCCGTTTTTCTGTGATGCAGAAGGGCAGTTTGTCATGCAGAATAGGCAACACCTAGGAGCTCAGAAACTTGTCATGCTGAGCCAGCATTTGTAGCCTCATCATGAGACGCCAACCAGCATCACAAGTTTCCAGACCCAGACATTTTTACTTTTGATACAGTGTCGCGCCGAGCTCGAAACAGCGTACGTCGCGGACCTGGACCGTTTCAACGGCAGCTACGTCGCTCCCGCGGACTCGTGCAGTGACTGCCACAAGGGCGGCGACGACGCGTGTTACGGCTGCGTCGCGGGCGGCGCGGGCGGGCCGCTCCCCCCGGGCGCAGATCCCAACCTCGAAAACACCAACCGCGATCCCGCCCTCCCGGGAAACCAGAACGTCGCCGAGTGCATGGGCTACACGACAGAAAACGACTGCTGGACCAACGGCTGCCAGTGGTACACGTCCACCTTCCTGGCGGCTTTCACCAACGCAGGTGGGTTGGACCCGGCACACTGGACCCCGGCTGGTGCTGCCACGGTATCCCTTGTGGAAAAGTGCTCGTCACCCCCAGACTTCTCGTGCCATTTCGCATGATGCCCAGAAAAGAATGTGTCTCGTGTGCGGCGGCCCCTCGACGGGCATGTGTAGTCGTATTTATTCTCGTGCTCATGCTTATTCACGCAGCCAGGGCCACGGTAGCTAAGCACGACTTCTACTTCGCTTACCCACATACACATTAGTCATGACTCCCACCACTTGAACTTCTTGACACGTAGTGCAGAAGAATTCCCATTTTGAATCTTGGGTGGCGTCGCTTTTGCGCACGATACCTGGGCATTTGTCGTCTATGCATTGTAAATATTTATCTGGATCTGGTTCCACAGTGGAAGCAAACGTTGTGCTTGTGATGCTCGGTTGGCATGACTGTGATGTATCGTCATCCTCGATGTGTTGTGGTCACGCATGTTGACACGACAACGGTGCAGTTGTTTGCACGCAATTGCTGTTCATGCTTAGCTGCGTACTGATCGCTTGTGTGCAGAGAGCATCCACGAATTGACGTAACATGCTTGTTCAGGCGCCAGATCAATCTTTGCCGTCTATAGCGACCGTGCGTCGACGACTCGCGCACTATTTTTCGGCATCCGGTGGTCACCTTGGCCGGTTGCGCCGTCCAGGATACGGCCTGCGCGTGTGGAGTGAACTCCGGCGGCTATTGTGAGGAAAAACGTACCCACACCAGAGTTGTAATGCAGATTTGCAAAGACAGGAAGACCTGTAATGCGCATCCCCATGAGAGCCATTCCCAGTCGTGTTTTGGAATTTGTGATGCTGTGAACAGGATGAGCAGATGAATCTGTGATGCGGATGCACTTGCTAACCTGCACTACACTGCATAGTGAAGCTTGTCACGCGTGACTCACAAAACTCCTGGGTTTGTGTTGCAAAATCCCCATCCTGACTCTGGTGTGGGTACGTTTTTACTCAGGATAGCGGCTGCGCGATCGCCATGGCCTGGGATGTCGCTTCGCGGGCCTGCCCCCATGTCTGCCCGCAACATATTGGCAGCGCCGTTTCGATGAACAACAAAAACTGTGCCAGTTCGGGCGTGAACCCGGACCTCCCGCCCCGGAGCCGCACCATGCTCCGGAGGCTGAAGGACGCGCAAGAACAACAGAGCACGACAAAGACCTCCTCCGCCGAAACCTCCACGTCCGCACGCAAGTTGTCCGTCGCCCCCGCTGTGGCCGAGGGTACGGCTACGCAGGAACAGTGCCAGGCCTGCCGCGAGTACGTGACGCAAGGCCTGCCCGCGAGTCGCGACAGCCTCGATGGGGACGGTTCCAAGGTGCGCGACACGATGGCAGCCAGTTACGAGGCGGAAAACTGCAAGGGGTTCCTGGTGGCCATCCGCATGCGCGCCGAGTGCGAGCTGAACCACCCCGACTGGCGCCGTATCTCCAACAACTGGACGCCGCCGCAGTTGATATCAAATGCAACAGTGTCTGGGTCTGGAAGAATGCAAGTTTGTCATGATGCTTGTCCGGCATGATTCGACGAGAATCTGTGTTGCATAGGCACGAAAAGACCCTCTTACCTGTCATGCAAAAACGCAGCTTGCCATGCGGAATACGTAAGACATGGCAGCCAAAAAATTTGCGATGCATAGCTGCGTACTGCAGTCCGGCTATCATCCACTTTTTGCATCACAAGTTTCCAGACCCAGACACTTTTACAATCCATAGCTGAAGGACCGGGACGATTGGGTCCGCGAAATGATTAGCGAGTACAACGAGAACTACAAGTATTCAATAAAAAAACACCCTCACAATCACTTTTGCACATTTTTGCAATACAAAAATTTTTGTCATGCGCAAAAATGCATCACAGTCAAGAGTTATTGGTGATTTCCCTTTGTGTTTTTGCAATACAAGAAAAATTTGTCATGCGAGAGAAATTTCTGGTGCAAAACCTCCTAAATGTGATTGTGATGGTGTTTCTTCCTTGGATGACAAGAAGGATCCCGAGACGGGGGAGAAGCTGGACGCGCCCCCCGCGGGCAAAACGTATGCGGGCGAGCCCAGCCGATGGCGCCAGCTGGAGGACGCCGGCATCGGGGTCACCATGTACCACCCCTACTTCCTGGGCCAGGAGACGACGGAGCTCGTCGTAGCGGAATTGGCATCCCTGTCTCTGACCTTACGCAGGAAAAAGATTTGTTGCTTTTCATCTTCGATCTGTCCTTTATTTCTAATCTGTGCAGCTCCAGGATGGTCCTGGCAGGACGCCACAATGTCTCAACATGCATGGCCAGCGACACATCATGATACACAAGAAAACTCCACGGCCATATTAATCTTCGGCATGATCATATGTGTACGACGGACGAGCATAAGTAGCAGGCTTGTTCTACGTGGGAATAAAAGTAGTTGTGCATTTTCTACTGCTGCAGCACCGCGGATAAGTAATTCATTACGCTGATCGATCGATCCTGGCACAGCACCACCATGATTTTTTTTTCTGCATAGGTGTTTGTACTCATGTACTTCTTCCTGATCGCCGCCATCGGCCCGAAACAGTGGCGGCGGTGGGTGTTGAGCTCCCTCGTGCTGGTGCAGCCCTTCCTCGCCATCCTGCTCGCTATGTATCAAATGTAAAAATGTCTGGGTCTGGAAACTTGTGATGCTGAGTGGCGTAGCATGAGGAGGCCTCAAGTGCTGGCCCAGCATGACAAATTTCTGAGCTTGTAGGTGTTGCCTATTCTGCATGACAAATTGCGTCTCCGCATGACAGAAAAACGCTGCTCTTGGGCAACGTGCATGACAGGTTTATGAGTCATGCCAGACAAGCATGACAAACATGCATCCTTCCAGACCCAGACATTTTTACATTTGATACTATGGGCATGAGTGCAATCCCCTGGTGGTGGTGGGTGCCCGGTGACCTGGACCGGGACGGCGAGGAGGACTATCGAAAGGAAAAATCCCCCCTCCCCATATCAAAACTGAATTTCTGATGCTGGATTTGCTTACACAAATCAGCTTTGTATTGCAGAGAGGCACTGCGGCCACGTCCCCAGGCTAGGTAGGGGCGTATGGGTCTAGTTGTTCAGCATGGCAAACGGCTCCCCTTTAGGCCCAACAGCATGACAAGCCGCTTCCATAATATGGCGAGCGCTTCTGTCCTTGTCTTCTTGCAAGGCAAACGTGATTTGTGACCTCAAATCAGCAACACAGATCTTCGGAGACATACCTTTTCAATATGGGGAGGGGGGAGTTTTCCTTACGATAAGGATATGGTGGTCCCCACCACCGTGCTCACCGCCCTGGGTCTGCACTTGATGCTCGCGGTCGTCGTGGATTACGACATTATCCTCGTGCGGGCGTTCGACCGCATCACCAAGATGCTGCCGTTTGAGGACCGGGTGGCCGTGGCCGCCGGGTACGCCCACCGAACCGTCTCCGTGTCGATGTTGGTCGGCGTCGCGGCCTTCGCCCTCGGTTCCTTCGTGGATCTCCCGGTGCTCACCTACTTCTGTTGGCAGTCCTTCGTGGCGATGATCGGCCTGTACGTGGGGATGTATTACAAGGAAAAATGCCCCCACCCCCAGCTTGGCAGCATTTGTATTGCAAACCCTTCCAACAGAAACATTCCCCGTCTTGCATATCTCAGCATCACAGATTTTCGATGCTGAATAGGTCAAATTTGTGTTGCGAAGCAGCCCAACAGCAGCCGGATCTGTTATGCACAAGGCACCTTGCGCACCCAGATTCTGCATCAGAAACGCTCGCAATCCTTTGATGCAAGACAAAAAGCTTTCATTTGGAAACTTTGCATGACAAATTGAGGGGTGGGGGCGTTTTTCACTGTAATAGGATGTTCTCCATGTTCCTGGCGACCATGGTCATGCTGGAAAAGCAGGACCCCGCCAACGCGCAGTATCAAATGCAAAAATGTCTGGGTCTGGAAGATTGCCAGGTTTGTCATGCACATTTTGCATGACTCCTGATGTCTGTGATGCATTCCCTAGCATCACAGACTTTCTGAGGGCTTCCTGATGCCTATACCGCATGACAAATGCTCTTTCCGTGTAGCAAAACTTGGACCCTCTTTGCTGCTCATGCAATACAGATTTTTTTAGAATCCAAAATCAGCATGACAAGTTGGATTCTTCCAGACCCAGACATTTTTACAGTTGATACGCAGGAGGAAAACGTGAAAAATCTGACCGCAAAGTCGACGATGAAAAAACTGGTGGTGAAGAACTCCGCGGACATGAAATTCGCGAACGCGCTCTCCAAGCCGGTCATCGTCGCGGGCATCTGCGTCGTGGAGCTCGCTTTCATCTGCCTGTACCTCTTCGGCGAGCCGTTGAAGGCCGAGTTCGAGGGGAGCCGGTACCTGCTGCCGGACAGCAAGGTGCGCGTGTTCACGCTGAAGGTGGACGAGATGGGGGGGCTCCCGGATCCGGTCTCCGTGTGGTTGCCGCCCTCGCATATCGGCCAGTACCACAAGAAGGAAAACCGCCAGTACTACATGCAGGTGATCGACCAGATGCGCGCCATCCCGGAGGTGAAGGCCATTGACGCCGGCCTGCCGAGTCTCTGGTCCTGGTTGCATGAGTACGAGGCGCAGCTCCGGGGCGTACAGGGCTTCCAGGGCTTCGAGAAGGCGCAGGACCCGGGCTACAACGCCTATTCTGCGAACTACGACACCACCGCCGGCGAGTACCGCCCGGCCCATGCGTACGCGTCCACCTACGCGCACAAGGGCTGCGTGGCCTGCCCGCGCATGATCCGGTCCGCCTACTACGATACCGCTTTGCGACTCCCCGACACCATGACCGACGCCCAGATTGACTTGATTTTCGCCGCCCCCGCGGCATTGACCAAGGAGCACAACGGCCCCTTCGTGCAGTTTTTGGTCAAAGACGTGGATTACAGCGTGCCGGGCCTCGAGTTCTACTCCGGCGGCCAGGGTGCCGCCATCACGGTGAACAGCGCCGCGTCGCTGGCGGACGCCTTCCAGGGCACTTTGGCCTCGGACGGGTTCCACATCGCCTCCGTCACCAAGGTTGCGCCCAGCTCCTCCACCTGCGGCGAGGTGCTGCGTTCGCTGAACCCGAAGCACGCCGACGAACGCTTCGCCAACGACACCTCGGTGGCCAGTTTCAAGTGGTGGCTGAAGTCCGAAGTGAACAAACTCAGCACCGGCGGCAAGCTGGAAATCTATCAAATGCAAAAATGTCTGGGTCTGGAAACTTGTGATGCTGGGTGGCGTAACATGAGGAGCCCACAAGTGCTGGCCCAGCATGACAAGTTTCTGAGCTTCTAGGTGTTGCCTCTTCTGCATGACAAACTGCGTTTCTGCATGACAGAAAAGTGGCGCTCTTGGGTAACGTGCATGACAGATTTGAGAGTCATGCCAGACACGAATGACAAACATGGACTCTTCCAGACCCAGACATTTTTACATTTGATAAAATCCGCTTCAAATCCATTTTCGGCGGCCGGTTCGCGACCGACGACACCTTCTTGAGCGACAAGGTGGCCTGCTCCAACCGGACGGACTACGTCGGCGTGCGGGAAGACTTCTGGGGTACGCCGGAGGGGGAGCCCTACTTCTACGACTTCGTGCACGACTTCTACGAGAACTGGGACCAGTACAAGACCTGCTGCGCCACCCAGTACCGCCCCAACACGCTGCTGGACAAGCGGGCGGGGATATTGAGAGGAAAAATCCCCCCTCCCCATATCGAAAAGGTATGTTTCCACAAATTTGTCTTGCTGATTTGATGCCGCAAATCACGCCTGTCTTGCAAGAAGACGACGCCACAGGCTCTGCCGCATTATGCAGGCGGTTTGTGATGCTGTTGGGCCTACAGCATAAACGTTTCTCATGCTAAGCGCCTAGGCCAAAACCTCTCTACTCAGGCTTGGGAGGAGCCTGAAGTCCTCTACTGCAAGACAAACCTGATTTGTGCACGCAAGTCCAGCATCAGAAACTTCCTTTTGATATGGGGAGGGGGGATTTTTCCTTGTGATAGGGGAAGGAGAACAAGCCCCACACCGCGGTCTTCCCCAAGGTGGAATCCGCGGCGGGCCGCATCCACTGGGCCACCTATGGGCAGAAGGTCGCCGGCCTGCGGTCCTCGATCTATCCTATGTAAAAACGTCCCCACCCCCTATGTAAAAACGTCCCCTTCGAAATTTCTCTGTCTTTAAATTTGGTCTTTTCCAGTACATAAACACCCCAGAGTCAAGATGGGGAATCGGCTAGACAATTCCGCAAGTTTTGGCTGTTTTGCATGACAAACTTGGACTCGTAGCGTAGTACTGTTTGAGATAGTTCAGCAGCGTCACAGGTCTAGCACATCTTCATGCTGATTGGAGCATAACAAATTCCACAACGCGACGAGATAACTCTTCTCATGGGGCTTCGCATGAGAAACATTTTCAGCATGCTGATTTGCATTACAGCTATGGGGTGGGGACGTTTTTAAATGCGATACGATCGTGACCTTCTTCATGAAGTACGACTTGAACGACAGCAAGCACCGCATCAAGGTGATGCACCTGCTGCAGGACCACCTGGAGAAGCACCGCAGCATGTACCCGCACCGCTGGGGTTCCCTGTCGAAGGATTCCGGCGGCGACCCGGACGGCAAGGCTGACGACTCGTTTGTGGTCGCCCGCTTCTTCCCCAACGCGGATCGCGATGAGAACATGAACGACTACTTGCAACACCACTTGCTCTTCGTCTACATCGCAACAATTATTTCCTGTGTCGTTTTCATGCACCCCTTCTATGGCACCTTGACGGCCGTCTTCTTGATGCTCACCATGATGCAAATCCAAGGACTCATGAGCGCTTTCGGAATGAACTTAGGTACAGTGAATAACTTTAACTTCTGTTCTTATTTAGCGTCTCTTGTACTACGCGCCGTCGTCGGCTCTGCACATCGCATGCTAACTATAATACGGTTAACGAGCATGGTACTTGCAGTGCAGCTGGACAGTGAAGAAAGAATCTGAATCGTGGCCGCAGCACCGCACTAACACAATTTCAATTGTCCTCCCGCGGCAATAGCTGCATGTCGTGGTCAACTTAATTTCTGTGTAACCTACCCACTCCACAGATATCGTGACGTTCGCGGTTTTGGTGATGGCATATCGAAATCAAAATCTTTTTCACTCCGGTTCACGCTACAGGCACACAGATACAATGATAGAGACGCATGGCTGTTGACAGTGATAAGTATTTATTCTCCGGCAAGGGAACGAAGATTTTTCTACTCTATGTAGACGAGTACTTGTTGTGTGGCAGGACGAGTGATAATGAAAGATTTTCAGTTTCATACGTTGATGGGCTTCGCGATTGAGTACGTGGTCCACATCGCGCATGCCTCTATCCAGACATCAATTTTGTCGGTGTACTGCTTTGCTTCGTATCTTGCATGCGTAGAAAATTCCCATTTTTGGCATGCCAGATGCGCCATGAAGAACAGGATTTACTTGCTTGATCGTGCCTGGCGGGACATCGTAGAGCGGCTAGGTTGTCGGTAGCTGCGAGCAGCGGCTAGGCAGTAGACCGTATCAAACTGCATCGATGGCGATGGGAATAAAGCGAGGCATACTAGTACAACTACCACGCTTTTTACATTGCACAACCGTCTTGCACTGCCAGGGTCGTGGGTTGGAGCGCACGAAAAACGCCCAGGAAGAAATGGGCCTGACGGTGTTTTCCGCATTTCTCTCCACCGCAGTTCAGCAGATCTATGGCGCTGCACAACTCTCTCTGTTCCTTTTCATTTTCAGTAAGTAGTTCTTCAAAACGCCAGCCCCAGCGAGTGCAGTTTTTGAGTCGGTTAGCTGCTGGCACTGTTTGAAGGATAACGTTGCAGAAAACCGAATAGGAGTAAGTTGTACAAGAACCCGTGTGTGACTTTCCGTAACATTTTTATGCACAAATTTTTGCATCACACATGGGTGGCGCATCACCTCTGTTGCTCGTCTTCATCATGCCCTTCACAACATGCATGCGGAGCAGGGGAAGTTCTGCAATCGGATAGGATTGTACTGCTGTTTATGAACTCCAGTTTGGTGTTCGAGACGTACTCCGGCACCATGATGTTGGTGATCATCAAGAGTGGTATGACCGGTTTCCTCCTTGTCCCCTCGCTGCTGGGGCTTCTGGACATGGGAATGGAAAAGTTCTTCCCGCAGATGGAGGGTATCCAGTGCAAATAATATATCTGGGTTTGGAAGAATGCAAGAGGTTCTTCGTCATGCTTGTCTCAGATGAAAACTTGAATCTGTAATGCGTGAACAGGAAAAAAACCGCACCGCTTGCCTGTCGAGCAAAACTGCAATTCTCCATGCGCAAAGCGAAAGAACGCAAATGAGCACAGAAACTTGTCATGCGTGGCTGCGTATAATTGCAGAGGTCCGCCCACCATGATTCACAAACTAGCATGATCACGAGGCGCGTTTGTGGTTTCAGTCGTTTTAAGCATCACAAGCTTCCAAACATATTTGCAATGCATAGAGGGCGGCATGGCGCAATCTCGGAGAAGAAGCTTGGAAAGCGTGGACGCCTATTGCCATGAAAAATCCCCCTTCCCCATATCAAAACGGAAATCTGTGATGCAGATTTGGGGTCACAAATCAGCTCTGTGATGCTAGAAGGCAAAAGATGCGGACTGTAGTGCTGTCTAGCGTGGGAAAGCCTTGCAACTCCAGGATGACAGGAGGCAACTGGAAGTGGGAAACAGCATGACAGATTACCTGCAATTTAGGCCGCAGCTTCGTCTCTTGGCCTTCTAGCAATACAAGTCGATTTGTGTACTCAAATACAGCATCACAAATTCGCGCATCTTCCGTTTCCGATATGGGGTGGGGGCTTTTTTCACTTTGATAACGCCCTCACCCCGAAAAACCTCGAAGAGCTCCAGAAGGTCGCAGAGGCCGCGTAAATTTCATCTGAACACCTGGAAATTTTTTTTTACCATCTTGCACGCTCCCAAGCAAGAAACTTGTGAAGCTTTAGATCAACAACTAAATCAGTAGGTAGAAGTACATTATTTTCATCGACTAGGCGTATCCGGAGAACCCGGTTCCACTGAAGACGAAAACAAATGAAGTAACGCCTGTGCACCACGCTTCGAATGTGCAATTGCCTGCGTTTCGGCAATATAAAGAACTGTGAGTTTCCTGCGCCTTTTTCTTGTTTCTATTTCCAGAGCTAAAGCAAACGGGGCACATAACAACACCATGACTTGTTCATCTAGTGCACAGATGCATGTAATAGAAAAATATACTAAAGTAGAAGCTTCTTATAAATAATTCCAATATTTATATTTTCAAGTTAGTTCTGCAAAAGTAACAACAGCAGTCACAAAATAAACAAAATTTTTAAGCACTCAAATCTGAAAAACAAAATCATTAATAAAACCACAACGACAACGCCAGAGCCAGTCAAAGGCGAAGATACAGATACGATGAAATATTAGATCAAGTAAAAGCATATTTGTTGAAACTGCTCTATTAGAAAGTGAAAGAATACTATCGGGATTACTTACCAAGACATCAACTCTCATGTTAGTGGTCCACTTGTTTGCCACTACATGACAAAGACCCCCTCGTCTATGCAGGTCCCGTGCCCGGCGATCCTGGGGCGGAAATTGGGGAAATGCCTAAGGGATCTTGGTACGGCAGCAGTCATACTGTACGCCGTAAACTACGGCAATACATGACAAAGACGCATGTCGTGGACGATGTTCAAAATAAATTGCAGACTCGATCCGTTGATTGTGATTCCAAATCATCATACATGCGATGGAAATTGATCAATGAGTTATGATGTGTGGTCGGAAAAAATAGAAAAAGATCATCAGGAGAGAACGTGACTCGAAGGTGTTGGTGGTGGGTTGGCATGGGGAGAGTTGTTCGTGTGGAGGGGGGGAAGGATTATATACTCGCCCTATTCAGACAGATCACTCAGACAGATGGTTGCCTATATATTCTCCCGGCCGGCGCCCGCCATCGGATCCAAGTGTCCGATAGCATGAATTAAGTATTGGTCATAATTATCCGCGAAATTTATCATCCGGTGGGACCATGAGCAGCACATCGTTTAATTTGTTATCCCATTCATATGCTGATCTTTCGTCAAATAGTTCGAATGGTATTAATCACATAACATATTACAGTAATCTTTCGGAATTCTTACCGAAAAATTTGGTCTTACTTTCGAATGGAACAGGATTGGATTTGATCTTGCCGTCGGGTTGTGTCTGTGGCGTGGGTCCTGGGATTGGGCCGATTGTCGGACCGCCTCCCTTCGGCACCTGGCAAACATGAGGGGGGCGAGCCGCTCGCTCCTGTCCAATGGCTTCCCGTTGAAGTTTCTATTTGTGTGAAACTCAACAACCACAACCTCAATTTGTAGAAGTTGTGAAGTCGGAAAATGAAAATGATCTGTCAAAAAGGGTGAGACCACCCCAAAACAATCATGTGTTTTTTTTTTTTGTGTGTTCTGGTGGAGTCAATTTTTTGATGAGATCTATTAATTTTTCACCCCTAGAAAGTCATTCAAGTGAGTATTTTCACATCGAATAATGAGACCCTGACGCTCTGAGACCTAAACCAACGAATCACGACGGCAGCGCGGTTTTCTTGTGTTTAGAATGAGGGGAAAAAAATACGCATAGCGTCGTGATTTCGCTTTGTGGATTTTTTTGGGGGATCCGCCCGCTCCCCGGGGATCCGCCTTCGCCCAGGGGATCCGCCCGTTGCCCGGGGATCCGCCCGCTCCCCGAGGATCCGCCCGCTTCCCGGGGATCCGCCTTCCCGCAGGGGATCCGCCCGCTCCCCGAGGATCCGCCCGTTCCCCGGGGATCCGCCTTCGCCCAGGGGA